CATAAAGTCAAGCTTGGGTAGCTGCGTGGAATACATTTTAAAAATCAACACGTATTCTTAACTTGCTAAACAGTGGCTACTTTATTTATCGCTTAGTTTTATTACTATCTATTATTTGTTTCGCATTTTTTGGGTTTCAGATTCTATCTCAAGAAGAGTTCGATCTGATTCTTTAAAAAGATACACCGAAGAAGGAATGTCTACTGATTCCTTTATACTATAATCAGCTAATTTTATTCAATTTCGCTTTTTAAAAAGTAGCTAGCTTTCTAACACCAGTCTTTTTACCAGTGTTTTTTATGTTACAAGGGCCAAATAATCTATTTTTTGGTTTTAGGAATATTACTTCGCAATCTCAGAGTGCCCCGGCCGTGTTTTAATTCTGTCGAGGGGCTTGCTTAATTTTCCTTTTATAATGCTATTGTATGAATTGCGTTTTAATGAACGAATGGAGCCGTAATCCTGAGCTGTTACGTTGTCAATCCATTTTGTGATGCGTGTGGAATGACATTGTGGCTTATCGGTAAAAACGCTGTATGTATATTACAAAAGCCTCAGTATTGACATATTGATCACCGACATCATATATGTAAATTTTCAATTGCCAATTTCCTCCAAGAAACGCCTAGACACCAGGCACTCATTCAAAGGAGGCGCTTTATCGAGTTGGCCGCTACAAGGTAGCTTCCAAGAAAGAAGAAAAAGTTTATGTCTATCATCTGAACAATGCACAGCTTTTAGTACTTCACAAAAACATAGGGACAATGACAGCCATAGGCTAAACTGTTTCCCTTCATTGATTCCATTGTAGTCGCAAACAATTAAAGTGAGAACAAAACATCATTTTCTTAGTGATAATCTTACTATTTTTGGAAGTGAGGGGGATGGATTGGGGAGGGGGGGCAGTGGGGACGCTTACTGGGGTTGGGTTGCCTGTTTCAGCTGGTTTGATCGAGGGTGGCCCCTCATTCAGGGGAGGGCGCTTATTGGATTGTGGACTCTTGTTTGAGTGAATATACTGGCTAAAGAAAATAGAGTTTGTGTGCACTAGAAGGTCGCTTGGATGGCTTGTTTGTAAAACTGTTGCAACAATGTCGAATATGCATAGCCCTGGGAAAGATTTAGAGTGGTTAGCTCTATAATGCAATTTTCCCTCTTTTCCCCAGTTCATTTCTTTCTTTGTGATCAGTATATGATCACGCATTGCTACCACGATAGAAGAACTGAGATTTGATGATGATAACTATTGTAGGCTTAAATTGATTTACGAAATAGTTGCACTTGAGACACAGGCCCATATCGTGGCCGAGGCAGAAAAATCGTGGAATATTTTTCGTCACGTTCTCGGAAGGTATTCACGTACGTTTGAGCTACCGGTTACGGTGTTCTAGTATCCACATTCTTGATGGAGCTTGAGTATCATTTCGTAACACTTCCCTTGCCGCCTACAAGAAAATTGTTCAATTCTTTCCTTTAGCTGTAAGTCTGTTAAAACTTCTAGCTAGCTACAAGCCCAACACTTCTGTGTTATGAAGGAAACAAAGTATTAACGCTGCGGGCCTCACAATAAGTGTTAAAAGAGTACTATTGTTAAGTAATTGCTGTTCCCTTTTCTCAAGAAGGTTAGTGGAGCTCAGCTAACTCTGTGTTTGATATGCTGAGGTAATGAATTATTCTGATAAGTGTGTTGCGTTTTTGCCGGGACTTGTTGAATTCCAGTTTGAACATTCAAGTTTTTGTTAAAAGCACTTTTAATATAAGTGCATTCTGGTAGAACTTCGGGACTTTGCATGTTCCACTATAGAAAGAAGAAATTCTGCAGTCACCCACTGCCCACTGATTTTATCTTTTTCATTTGTGTGATCTTGCAGTCATTTAATTGTTCACAACCGCACTTGGTTAAAAGGTGAAACTAACTTCTTGTTATGCGGGCCGCTTCTGGCGGCCTTGTTCAAATTCCACTGATATATCAAACTAGATATTGTGCTAGGAAGCCGCATCACGCTTCATATATTTAACAAATAGATTCCAAGTTGCCGTGCGTATGTTCAGTAGTAGATCCGGCATCCCAGATGACGTCAAAATGTGGTACACGAGCCGCAGGCCAGTGTGTCACTGATGTTTTTTTGATATTTTTCTCCTGACGTCATCCATGTATCTGTACTCTAATAGATCATGGGCAACGACCAATCACAGCGCGCGTAGCATTCCCATGTAATAGCTCATTTTTTGTATTCAAGAAATTCATGATGCAGCTTAAATTTCTTTAGCTGACAAGCGCGAGCAATCATTAAGGCGCTACCACTCACTGAAAAAGAAAAAGGAAAGATTTTTTGTTAGTTTATTCGAATTTCGCTCATGAGGGATCGATTTCATCGCTACTGAGGTTATACACTATATATAACTGCTACTTTGTACAATACACTAACCAGCTATAAGGGACGAGTATAGGAGCTCCCTCTCCTATCAATAAAACGCTTACTTGACCTCTGTTCTTTATATTTCTTTATCACAGGTCAACCTCAGTTTTCTTTGCATCCACAAAATGAGACAAAGATAGAGGGGGATAACGTTACTTTCACTTGTGATGCAACAGGAAATTCTGCACCCACGTTCAATTGGACCAAAGACGGTTCTGTTTTAACGACGGGTTCAAGAATCAGTTTGTCATCGGACGGCAAACAACTCAATATAACGAATCTGACTAGAGAAGACAGTGGGCGATATGTCTGTGAGGCAACTGACAATGTGACGACAGTTCTGTCCAATTCTGCTACACTAAATGTACAATGTAAGATTACTTATTATAATTATTACCTAGTTATTACTAACTGAATACTGTTTTAAAACCTATTGCGTCCTTTTTAATATGCAATTTTAATAAAATATATGATTTATATTTTTTACATTTCAATGTTGTTTAAAATTCTGGTACCTTAGTGTGGTTACCTATGTTTTTACATATATATTCTAGAAAGGAAGCAAACAACACAACACGAGGTCTTATTAAAAGATGAATAATTCCCTAAACCAGAAAGTTTCCTTCTCTATCAAACCTTAAAATTGGCCCGTTAGCCCTTTTACCTCCATTCGTTGAATGCAATGACAGATTTCTCAAATCTTTTATTTGCTTTAAATGATCAACTGTCCTCACCTTTTAATAAGTAGTCTTGTACTTTTCCCCTTTCAGATGCACCTGGGTTCACCAAACATCCTGACAATATCGTGAAAATAGAGGGAGAGACCGCTATCTTTAACTGCACTGTAGATGGAAACCCTGAACCCAGCATTGACTGGACAAAAGATAACGTGACTCTTAACATCACAGCGGATCCAGATCTAAGCCAATCAAACTCAGGAGAAGTTCACTCTTTAGAAATACGGAATGTTTATCGGTCAGATAAAGGGCAATACAGATGTGTGGCAAACAATAACAGTATCGGTTCTGCAACTTCGTTGGCCGGAACACTCTCAGTGCATTGTAAGTACCACTTTGTATTTGAAGCTGTTCACATAATAGGTGACTTGCATTGCATTGCTGCGTCGACAATTATGTCAATCAAACCAGGCCGGATCGGAAAAAGGCTGATTCTCTATTAGTTTATTCGAATTTTGCTCATGAGGGTTCGGTTTCACAGCTACTGAGGTTATACATTATATATAAATGCTACTGTGCGCAGTACTAATCAGCTATCCGGGACAAGCATAGGAGCTCCTTCTCCTTTCGCGTGTTTCTTTTCCCTTCCGTATTATTAATAAAACGTTTGCTTTACTACTCTTCTGTATCTTTGTTTATCACAGATAAACCTGAGTTTTCTGTGCATCCACAAAATGCGACAAAAATAGAAGAGGATAACGTTACCTTCACTTGTAATGCAACTGGAAATCCTGCACCTACATTCCGATGGACCAAAATCGGTTCTGTTTTAAGGACCGGTTCAAGAATCAGTTTGTCATCAGACGGCAAACAGCTCACTATAACGAATGTGACCAGAGAAGACAGTGGGCAATATGTTTGTGAGGCAACTAACAATGTGACGACAGTTCCGTCCGATTCTGCTACACTAAATGTACAATGTAAGATTACTTGTTTTAATTACTCCCTAATTGTTGCTAAGAACACTCTTAAACCTGTTGTGTCCTTTTTAATAAGCAATTTTAATAAAATGTATGATTTATATTTTTTACATTTCAATGTTGTTTAACATTCTGGTACCTTAGTGTGGTTACCTATGTTTTTACATATATATTTGAGCTATTTTGAAAAAATAGCTCATATGTCAGTGGTGTGAGCGTATGTATCTTTGTGGCTTTGTATCTTTGTGGCTTTGCATGTTGGGATGTTTGTTGCAAGAGCCAATAAGGTTGAAGGTACTATGAGTTGATGTTTAGGAACCAATGAGATCTTGGCATCTATTTAAACATGGCACTGATAAAGGTCGAACAAGGGCACTTTGAGACCGCCATCTTGATCCTTCACAATTTTTTCGTCTTTTATTACGGGTACAGGTTTTTGGAAGCATTACATAAAATATCTTCATGATTCAAACCCTGTGAACAGTGATGCAGCTGTTTAAGGGTTCATATTTAAGTGTGGATGCTGCTTCGAGGCATTTCTGACCTAATTCGGCTATCAGTACAACGCACGTCAGTATGAGTTCTGTTTCACGTGCTACAACTGGGTAGAGTATAAAAGATCATATATTTTCAAATCTCTTCCAATGAAGCAATGATTGATATTTAGATATAGACTTTAATTCGAAAGTATGCGCCCTATAAAATGTGGTTTTAGAAGTTTAAAAGGCAGCTTATTTTTTTGAAAGCTGTATCGAGTATTGTTAATCCTGTAAACGAGCTTTAAAAATATTATTCTCTCGCTTACAAAGTTCAACCTACCTTTTTCGTTCTATTTAGTAAAGATGCGTAACTTAAGTAGAAACAGTAGCGTTAGGGAATAAAATTGAAAGAAGCTAGTTGACACAATAATTAGATACTGTTATATTGAGTGGAGTAACATGATTTAAGTAGAAATATATTTCGGCAGTTTGATAATTTTCTTGAAAGTTAATAAATGTTAGGCTATCAACCTTGACGTTGCAGGAGACATAATTTAATTGCAGATGTTGTAATAAAGCCGAGGTGATTTCTTAAAATCGTTTGAGAAAATTTTGTAGTAAAACAATTTGCCTCTTTTTTACGTACGAGTTGTGAAAGGGCCATTGACCAACATCTTCACATGCAAATTGTGTACATGAGTTATTTTTATAATTCTGTTTATTAGATTATTGTGTGATAACTCGAATTCCCTCACGTACGAACCACGAAAGGGGGCAAAGTCCAACACTTTCACGTGCCAGCTGTGTGACTGTACATCTCATGCAGATTGGCTTTTCACAATGACAATAGTAACTTGGACGTATGAAGACCTGTTTCGTTTAGTAACCAATGCCTTAAAAAGGCTCTTGTCTTTTAAGAAGCAATGGCTTTCAAAACATGACGAAATAAGTTGTCGGAGTTAAAGACTGTTTCACAAATGTTAATAAATGTTAGGTTATCAACCTTGACGTTGCATGAAACATAATTTAATTGCAGATGTTATAATGAAGCCGAGGTGATTTCTTAAAATCGTTTGAGAAAATTTTGTAGTAAACAATTTGCCTTTTTTTTACGTACGAATTGGAAAAGGGCGAAAGACAACATCTTCGGGTGCAAATTGTGTGCGTGAGTTATTTTTATAATTCTGTTTACTAGTTTACTGTGTGATACCTCGAATTCCCTCACGTACGAACGACGAAAGGGGGCAAAGTCCAACACTTTCACGTGCCAGCTGTGTGACTGTACATCTCATGCCGATTGGCTTTTCACAATGATAACTAGTAACTTGGACGTATGAAGACCTGTTTCGTTTTGTAACCAATGCCTTAAAAAAGGTTCTTGTCTTTTCAGAAGCAATACCGTTTAAAACATGAGAAATAAGTTGTCGGAGTTAAAAATAAGTTGTCGGAGTTTGTTTCACTGAGTAGGATCGCACGTGAAGACCTCGTGAATTATGATGATGCAACCATCTACCACAACGATAAAAATCCTGGTATTTCGTAACTATTCAGTATTCGATGAGTCACATTTTGGCTTAAGAAACTCGGAGGAAACCTTAGAGTTTTCCTTCTAATCAACGTTTGGTGAATAGAAATTTATTTCACTTTAATGATTTGTTTAACTTGCACCAGATGTAACAGGGAAAGACAGAGGAAAGTGAATATATAGCTTGAGGATCGACTCAGCTAAGCGTTTCGCGTTTTCATTTATGTACCGCAATACGCAATTTCGCGCAAAAACCCAATCTGCATTTAGGATGAAAGAGGTAGATTCATCACTCTTGGTAAGGTTACACCGAAGCATTAAAGTTACACTGAAGCATTCAAAATAGCTCATGCGCGTTTAACGTGCCTATGATCTAGAAAGGAAGCAAACAACGCAACACGAGGTCTTATTAAAAGATGAATAATTCCCTAAACCAAAAAGTTTCCTTGTCTATCAAACCTTAAAATTGGCCCGTTAGCCCTTTTACCTCCATTCGTTGAATGCAATGACAGATTTCTCAAATCTTTTATTTGCTTCAAATGATCAACTGTCCTCACCTTTTAATACCCCTAAAGCCTGAAAAAGAGCCCCTTTCTTTCCCTCCCGCGCGCCGGTTACACAGGTTGCTTAGCGACAAATAAATAATTGTCTTGCGGTGCTATCAAGTGTTTTAAAACTTTCTAACTCCTCAGAGTATGGATGCTTTTACTCATTACAGTGATATCCTAAGGGCTCAAGTAATCTGCGCCATGAGGCGAACTAAAGTCATTATAAGACTATTAAAGATTCATTTAGCGTTTGGTATTTTCCCTTATTTCCTACTTTAATCGCATTGCTCCTAATTACAAATCAGCCTGAGGTCCTTACGCATCCACGAAATGAGACAAAGACTGTAGTTTATGTCCGGGAAAATAATGTCTACAAAGTTTGCGCCATTGACTAAATTCATATTCACAGGCTTCCTATTTATCAAAAAGGTAGTTCTGAACATTCTACTTAGAAATCTCGTCCTGAGTAGTAGTCTTGTACTTTTCCCCTTTCAGATGCACCTGGGTTCACCAAACATCCTGACAATATCGTGAAAATAGAGGGAGAGACCGCTATCTTTAACTGCACTGTAGATGGAAACCCTGAACCCAGCATTGACTGGACAAAAGATAACGTGACTCTTAACATCACAGCGGATCCAGATCTAAGCCAATCAAACTCAGGAAAAGTTCACTCTTTAGAAATACGGAATGTTTATCGGTCAGATAAAGGGCAATACAGATGTGTGGCAAACAATAACAGTATCGGTTCTGCAACTTCGTTGGCCGGAACACTCTCAGTGCATTGTAAGTACCACTTTGTATTTGAAGCTGTTCACATAATAGGTGCATTGCATTGCTGCTTCGACAATTATGTCAATCAAACCAGGCCGGATCGGAAAAAGGCTGATTCTCTATTAGTTTATTCGAATTTTGCTTATGAGGGTTCGGTTTCACAGCTACTGAGGTTATACATTATATATAAATGCTATTGTGCAAGGCTCTAACCAGCTATCAGGGACAAGCATGTGAGCTCCTTCTCCTTTCGCGTGTTTCCTCTCCCTTCCGTAGTATTAATAAAACGTTTACTTCTCTACTGTTCTGTATATATCTTTGTTTATCACAGATAAACCTGAGTTTTCTGTGCATCCACAAAATGCGACACAGATAGAAGGGTCTAACGTTTCTTTCACTTGTAATGCAACTGGAAATCCTGCACCTTCATTCCGATGGACCAAAAACGGTTCTGTTTTAACGACCGGTTCAAGAATCGGTTTGTCATCAGACGGCAAACAGCTCACTTTAACGAATGTGACTAGAGAAGACAGTGGGCAATATGTCTGTGAGGCAACTAACAATGTGAGGACAGTTCCATCCGATTCTGCTACACTAAATGTACAATGTAAGATTACTTATAATTATTACCTACTTATTGATAAAAATACTCTCTAACCTGTTGTGTCCTTTTTAATATACAATTTTAATAAAATGTATGATTTTTGTTTTTTTGCATTTCATTGTTGTTTAAAATTCTGGTACCTTAGTGTGGTTACCTATGTTTTTTACATATATAGTCTAGAAAAGAAGCAAACAAAAGCAACACAAGGTCTTATTCAAAGATGAATAATTCCCTAAACCAGAAAGTTTCCTTGTCTATCAAACCTTAAAATTGGCCTTTTTAGCCCATTTAGCTCCTTTCGTAGAACGCAATGCAATATTTCCCAAATCTTTCATTTGCTTTAGTTGATGAAATCCTCACCTTTCATTTACCAAAAGCCTGAAAAAGGGGCCCCTTTCTTTCCCCCCCGCGCTCCGGTTACACAGGTTGTTCAGCGACAAATAATTAATTTTCATGCTCTGCTATAAAGTGTTTTAAAACTTACTACCTCTTCAGAGTATGAATGCTTTTACTCAATACAGTGGTATCGTAAGAGCTCAAGTAATCTGCGTAATGAGGCGAACAAAAGTCATTATAAGACTATTTAAGACTCATTTAGTGTTTGCTATTTTCTCTTATTTTCTGCTTCAATCGCATTGCCTTCTAATTACAGATCAGCCTGAGTTTAATACGCATCCACAAAATAAGACAAAGACAGAAGGGGAGAATGTGACTTTTACCTGTGATGCAGATGGAAATCCTGCACCCACATTCTCATGGACGAAAGACGGTTCTGTTGTGAATACGACTTCAAGAATCACTTTTAACGAAAATAATAAGACGTTGACCATAACGAATGTGATCAGAGGAGACAGCGGAGAATACATCTGTGTGGCTACGAACAATGTTGACACAGTTCAATCCAACCCTTCCACATTAAATGTACAATGTAAGGATACTTTTGCTTGATTTTTCAACATGATTGTTTTAAGAGATATTCTTTACCTCTGCTTTTGTTTTTCATTTTTTCTCAGGTGTTTTTTTTTTTCTTTCGCTTTTTTAGAATAACTGTAACTAATGCAATCATTTAATACATTTTAAGATTTACTGTATCTCTGTCATTGATTTTTGCAGCTATAATTCTTTAAAAATTTTGTTAATATAATTTAATAATTTTACTGAGGGAGCCCATTCCTTATCAGCCAAGTGGCTTCCCTTGGGCTTCCTCGCCATTAGGTTTTTAAACAGTTAGATTTTCTCGTTTCTTGGTACATGTTTTACGGCAAAACGATAAACTGAACTTAACTGAACTGATTACTAGGATCAGAACGCAGACTGGAGAAGAAAAGAGCAAACAGCCAGCAGCAAGGAGAGAGGCGTTTCATTCAAAACCGTTGTAGTTTTTAAACCAAGCAGGAGCAAACCCGCAGCGCAGCATTACAACATTGTTGCGACATTGTTTCGAATAGTTGCAACAGTGTGCCAACATTGCTATGCTGTGATGCGCTCAAACTCGTCGTTGGGATTTTACTAACAGGATTTTATTTACATATTAGAAAAGAATAAAATGCGTCCGGTAAAAGCATGGAACAGTTTTATAATTTATCCGGTATAAAAGTGTCTACAAAGTTTGCGCCATTAGAGACCTTTAGCATCAGGTTTTTCATGGGAAACCGCAAACCGCAGTTTGCACTTACGCAGTTTCGCGTTGCTGCGAGATTTCAAATTTTAGCAAGGCGTTCAGTTCAGTTCAGTTCAGTTCATTTTTATTTAGCCAAAATATAATACAATACAAGAATATATAAAGGAATTGTAAGGTTGCAAGGGAGCCCAGAAGAAACCAGAAGGCTTATGAAGCCTGGGCTCCCCAATCACAAAGAAATATAAAGTAAAAAAAAAATGAAATTCGCCGAGTGATACGTTAAAATGGGAACTAAACAAAGACTGTGTTAAGTTATGAATTCAGTAACAAAATAGAAAAAGAATTTTAACTCTGGATTGGAACAGAAAACTTTCTTATGTTATTAAGGCAGAAAGGATTATAAAATCGATTTGAACTACGCGTTTATTGCTTAGTGCCGCCATGTTGTTTTTGATCAAGTCGAAGTTTATTACTGTAATCGCCATAAAAAAGGAGTAGTGCATTGATTCGAGATCAAAAATCCAACAAACACATTGCAAACGGATATAAAAAGCTAGTTCGTGCTTTAAACGCGAGGCTGTACAATTTTTAGTGGCAAAAATCCTTGCCGTAAATCACTTACAGCTGCTTACTGCTGGAAGCCCTTCCTGTGGTTCAAAAGCGAACTGCAAACTGCAAACATGACCGCAAGGCCGTGGTCTCGTGACATTTTGTGGTTTGCGGTTTTCCATGAAAAACCTGATGCTAAAGGTCTCTATTAACTAAACTCACATCCACAGGCTTTCTTTTTATCAAAAAGTAGTTCTGAACATTTCAATTAGATAGAAATCTCGTCCTGAGTAGTAGTCTTGTACTTTTCCCCTTTCAGATGCACCTGGGTTCACCAAACATCCTGACAATATCGTGAAAATAGAGGGAGAGACCGCTATCTTTAACTGCACTGTAGATGGAAACCCTGAACCCAGCATTGACTGGACAAAAGATAACGTGACTCTTAACATCGCAGCGGATCCGGATCTAAGCCAATCGAACTCAGGAAAAGTTCACTTTTTAGAAATACAGAATGTTCATCGGTCGGATAAAGGGCAATACAGATGTGTGGCAAACAATAACAGTATCGGTTCTGCAACTTCGTTGGCCGGAACACTCTCGGTGCATTGTAAGTACCACCTTGTATTTGAAGCTGTTCACATAATAGGTGACTTCCTCCAAGAAACGCCTAGACACCAGGCACTCATTCAAAGGAGGCGCTTTATCGAGTTGGCCGCTACAAGGTAGCTTCCAAGAAAGAAGAAAAAGTTTATGTCTATCATCTGAACAATGCACAGCTTTTAGTACTTCACAAAAACATAGGGACAGTGACAGCCATAGGCTAAACTGTTTCCCTTCATTGATTCCATTGTAGTCGCAAACAATTATAAAGTGAGAACAAAACATCATTTTCTTAGTGATAGTCTTACTATTTTTGGAAGTGAGGGGGATGGATGGGGGGGCAGTGGGGACGCTTACTCTGGTTGGGTTGCCTGTTTCAGCTGGTTTGATCGAGGGTGGCCCCTCATTCAGGGGAGGGCGCTTATTGGATTGTGGACTCTTGTTTGAGTGAATATACTAGCTAAAGAAAATAGAGTTTGTGTGCACTAGAAGGTCGCTTGGATGGCTTGTTTGTAAAACTGTTGCAACAATGTCGAATATGCATAGCCCTGGGAAAGATTTAGAGTGGTTAGCTCTATAATGCAATTTTCCCTCTTTTCCCCAGTTCATTTCTTTCTTTGTGATCAGTATATGATCATGCATTGCTACCACGATAGAAGAACTGAGATTTGATGATGATAACTATTGTAGGCTTAAATTGATTTACGAAATAGTTGCACTTGAGACACAGGCCCATATCGTGGCCGAGGCAGAAAAATCGTGGAATATTTTTCGTCACGTTCTCGGAAGGTATTCACGTACGTTTGAGCTACCGGTTACGGTGTTCTAGTATCCACATTCTTGATGGAGCTTGAGTATCATTTCGTAACACTTCCCTTGCCGCCTACAAGAAAATTGTTCAATTCTTTCCTTTAGCTGTAAGTCTGTTAAAACTTCTAGCTAGCTACAAGCCCAACACTTCTGTGTTATGAAGGAAACAAAGTATTAACGCTGCGGGCCTCACAATAAGTGTTAAAAGAGTACTATTGTTAAGTAATTGCTGTTCCCTTTTCTCAAGAAGGTTAGTGGAGCTCAGCTAACTCTGTGTTTGATATGCTGAGGTAATGAATTATTCTGATAAGTGTGTTGCGTTTTTGCCGGGACTTGTTGAATTCCAGTTTGAACATTCAAGTTTTTGTTAAAAGCACTTTTAATATAAGTGCATTCTGGTAGAACTTCGGGACTTTGCATGTTCCACTATAGAAAGAAGAAATTCTGCAGTCACCCACTGCCCACTGATTTTATCTTTTTCATTTGTGTGATCTTGCAGTCATTTAATTGTTCACAACCGCACTTGGTTAAAAGGTGAAACTAACTTCTTGTTATGCGGGCCGCTTCTGGCGGCCTTGTTCAAATTCCACTGATATATCAAACTAGATATTGTGCTAGGAAGCCGCATCACGCTTCATATATTTAACAAATAGATTCCAAGTTGCCGTGCGTATGTTCAGTAGTAGATCCGGCATCCCAGATGACGTCAAAATGTGGTACACGAGCCGCAGGCCAGTGTGTCACTGATGTTTTTTTGATATTTTTCTCCTGACGTCATCCATGTATCTGTACTCTAATAGATCATGGGCAACGACCAATCACAGCGCGCGTAGCATTCCCATGTAATAGCTCATTTTTTGTATTCAAGAAATTCATGATGCAGCTTAAATTTCTTTAGCTGACAAGCGCGAGCAATCATTAAGGCGCTACCACTCACTGAAAAAGAAAAAGGAAAGATTTTTTGTTAGTTTATTCGAATTTCGCTCATGAGGGATCGATTTCATCGCTACTGAGGTTATACACTATATATAACTGCTACTTTGTACAATACACTAACCAGCTATAAGGGACGAGTATAGGAGCTCCCTCTCCTATCAATAAAACGCTTACTTGACCTCTGTTCTTTATATTTCTTTATCACAGGTCAACCTCAGTTTTCTTTGCATCCACAAAATGAGACAAAGATAGAGGGGATAACGTTACTTTCACTTGTGATGCAACAGGAAATTCTGCACCCACGTTCAATTGGACCAAAGACGGTTCTGTTTTAACGACGGGTTCAAGAATCAGTTTGTCATCGGACGGCAAACAACTCAATATAACGAATCTGACTAGAGAAGACAGTGGGCGATATGTCTGTGAGGCAACTGACAATGTGACGACAGTTCTGTCCAATTCTGCTACACTAAATGTACAATGTAAGATTACTTATTATAATTATTACCTAGTTATTACTAACTGAATACTGTTTTAAAACCTATTGCGTCCTTTTTAATATGCAATTTTAATAAAATATATGATTTATATTTTTTACATTTCAATGTTGTTTAAAATTCTGGTACCTTAGTGTGGTTACCTATGTTTTTACATATATATTCTAGAAAGGAAGCAAACAACACAACACGAGGTCTTATTAAAAGATGAATAATTCCCTAAACCAGAAAGTTTCCTTCTCTATCAAACCTTAAAATTGGCCCGTTAGCCCTTTTACTTTTACCTCCATTCGTTGAATGCAATGACAGATTTCTCAAATCTTTTATTTGCTTTAAATGATCAACTATCCTCACCTTTTAATAAGTAGTCTTGTACTTTTCCCCTTTCAGATGCACCTGGGTTCACCAAACATCCTGACAATATCGTGAAAATAGAGGGAGAGACCGCTATCTTTAACTGCACTGTAGATGGAAACCCTGAACCCAGCATTGACTGGACAAAAGATAACGTGACTCTTAACATCACAGCGGATCCAGATCTAAGCCAATCAAACTCAGGAAAAGTTCACTCTTTAGAAATACGGAATGTTTATCGGTCAGATAAAGGGCAATACAGATGTGTGGCAAACAATAACAGTATCGGTTCTGCAACTTCGTTGGCCGGAACACTCTCAGTGCATTGTAAGTACCACTTTGTATTTGAAGCTGTTCACATAATAGGTGACTTGCATTGCATTGCTGCGTCGACAATTATGTCAATCAAACCAGGCCGGATCGGAAAAAGGCTGATTCTCTATTAGTTTATTCGAATTTTGCTTATGAGGGTTCGGTTTCACAGCTACTGAGGTTATACATTATATATAAATGCTACTGTGCAAGGCTCTAACCAGCTATCAGGGACAAGTATGTGAGCTCCTTCTCCTTTCGCGTGTTTCCTCTCCCTTCCGTAGTATTAATAAAACGTTTACTTCTCTACTGTTCTGTATATATCTTTGTTTATCACAGATAAACCTGAGTTTTCTGTGCATCCACAAAATGCGACACAGATAGAAGGGTCTAACGTTTCTTTCACTTGTAATGCAACTGGAAATCCTGCACCTTCATTCCGATGGACCAAAAACGGTTCTGTTTTAACGACCGGTTCAAGAATCGGTTTGTCATCAGACGGCAAACAGCTCACTTTAACGAATGTGACTAGAGAAGACAGTGGGCAATATGTCTGTGAGGCAACTAACAATGTGAGGACAGTTCCATCCGATTCTGCTACACTAAATGTACAATGTAAGATTACTTATAATTATTACCTACTTATTGATAAAAATACTCTCTAACCTGTTGTGTCCTTTTTAATATACAATTTTAATAAACTGTATGATTTTTGTTTTTTTGCATTTCATTGTTGTTTAAAATTCTGGTACCTTAGTGTGGTTACCTATGTTTTTACATATATAGTCTAGAAAAGAAGCAAACAAAGCAACACAAGGTCTTATTCAAAGATGAATAATTCCCTAAACCAGAAAGTTTCCTTGTCTATCAAACCTTAAAATTGGCCTTTTTTAGCCCATTTAGCTCCTTTCGTAGAACGCAATGCAATATTTCCCAAATCTTTCATTTGCTTTAGTTGATGAAATCCTCACCTTTCATTTACCAAAAGCCTGAAAAAAGGGCCCCTTTCTTTTCCCCCGCGCTCCGGTTACACAGGTTGTTCAGCGACAAATAATTAATTTTCATGCTCTGCTATAAAGTGTTTTAAAACTTACTACCTCTTCAGAGTATGAATGCTTTTACTCAATACAGTGGTATCGTAAGAGCTCAAGTAATCTGCGTAATGAGGCGAACAAAAGTCATTATAAGACTATTTAAGACTCATTTAGTGTTTGCTATTTTCCCTTATTTTCTGCTTCAATCGCATTGCCTTCTAATTACAGATCAGCCTGAGTTTAATACGCATCCACAAAATAAGACAAAGACAGAAGGGGAAAATGTGACTTTTACCTGTAATGCAGTTGGCAATCCTGCACCCACATTCTCATGGACGAGAGACGGTTCTGTTGTGAATACGACTTCAAGAATCACTTTTAACGAAAATAATAAGACGTTGACCATAACGAATGTGATCAGAGGAGACAGCGGAGAATACATCTGTGTGGCTACGAACAATGTTAACAGAGTTGAATCCAACCCTTCCACATTAAATGTACAATGTAAGGATACCTTTGCTTGATTATTCAGCATGCTTGTTTTAAGAGATATTCTTTACCTCTGCTTTTGTTTTTCATTTTTTTTCTCAGGTGTTTTTTTTTTCTTTCGCTTTTTTTAGAATAACTGTAACTAATGCAATCATTTAATACATTTTAAGATTTACTGTATCTCTGTCATTGATTTTTGCAGCTATAATTCTTTAAAAATTTTGTTAATATAATTTAATAATTTTACTGAGGGAGCCCATTCCTTATCAGCCAAGTGGCTTCCCTTGGGCTTCCTCGCCATTAGGTTTTTAAACAGTTAGATTTTCTCGTTTCTTGGTACATGTTTTACGGCAAAACGATAAACTGAACTTAACTGAACTGATTACTAGGATCAGAACGCAGACTGGAGAAGAAAAGAGCAAACAGCCAGCAGCAAGGAGAGAGGCGTTTCATTCAAAACCGTTGTAGTTTTTAAACCAAGCAGGAGCAAACCCGCAGCGCAGCATTACAACATTGTTGCGACATTGTTTCGAATAGTTGCAACAGTGTGCCAACATTGCTATGCTGTGATGCGCTCAAACTCGTCGTTGGGATTTTACTAACAGGATTTTATTTACATATTAGAAAAGAATAAAATGCGTCCGGTAAAAAGCATGGAACAGTTTTATAATTTATCCGGTATAAAAGTGTCTACAAAGTTTGCGCCATTAGAGACCTTTAGCATCAGGTTTTTCATGGGAAACCGCAAACCGCAGTTTGCACTTACGCAGTTTCGCGTTGCTGCGAGATTTCAAATTTTAGCAAGGCGTTCAGTTCAGTTCAGTTCAGTTCATTTATTTAGCCAAAATATAATACACTACAGGAATATATATATATAGGAATTGTAAGTTGGCAAGGAAGCCCAGAAGAAACCAGAAGGCTTTTGAAGCCTGGGCTCCCTAATCACAAAAGAAATATTAAGTAAAAAAAAAAAAATGAAATTCGCCGAGTGATACGTTAAAAATAGGAACTAAACAAAGACTGTGTTAAGTTATGGATTTAGTAACAAGATAGAAAAAGAATTTTAACTCTGGATTGGAACAGAAAACTTTCTTATGTTATTAAGGCAGAAAGGATTATAAAATCGATTTGAACTACGCGTTTATTGCTTAGTGCCGCCATGTTGTTTTTTGATCAAGTCGAAGTTTATTACTGTAATCGCCATAAAAAGGAGTAGTGCATTGATTCCAGATCAAAAATCCAACAAACACATTGCAAACGGATATAAAAAGCTAGTTCGTGCTTTAAACGCGAGGCTGTACAATTTTTAGTGGCAAAAATCCTTGCCGTAAATCACTTACAGCTGCTTACTGCTGGAAGCCCTTCCTGTGGTTCAAAAGCGAACTGCAAACTGCAAACATGACCGCAAGGCCGTGGTCTCGTGACATTTTGTGGTTTGCGGTTTTCCATGAAAAACCTGATGCTAAAGGTCTCTATTAACTAAACTCACATCCACAGGCTTTCTTTTTATCAAAAAGTAGTTCTGAACATTTCAATTAGATAGAAATCTCGTCCTGAGTAGTAGTCTTGTACTTTTCCCCTTTCAGATGCACCTGGGTTCACCAAACATCCTGACAATATCGTGAAAATAGAGGGAGAGACCGCTACCTTTAACTGCACTGTAGATGGAAACCCTGAACCCAGCATTGACTGGACAAAAGATAACGTGACTCTTAACATCGCAGCGGATCCGGATCTAAGCCAAACGAACTCAGGAAAAGTTCACTTTTTAGAAATACAGAATGTTCATCGGTCGGATAAAGGGCAATACAGATGTGTGGCAAACAATAACAGTATCGGTTCTGCAACTTCGTTGGCCGGAACACTCTCAGTGCATTGTAAGTACCACTTTGTATTTGAAGCTGTTCACATAATAGGTGACTTGCTGCATCGACAATTATGTCAATCAAACCAGGCCGGATCGGAAAAAGGCTGATTCTCTATTAGTTTATTCGAATTTTGCTCATGAGGGTTCGGTTTCACAGCTACTGAGGTTATACATTGTATATAAATGCTACCGTGCAAAGTACTTACCAGCTATCAGGGACAAGCATGTGAGCTCCTTCTCCTTTCGCGTGTTTCCTCTCCCTTCCGTAGTATTAATAAAACGTTTGCTTCACTACTGTTCTGTATATATCTTTGTTTATCACAGATAAACCTGAGTTTTCTGTGCATCCACAAAATGCGACACAGATAGAAGGGTCTAACGTTTCTTTCACTTGTAATGCAACTGGAAATCCTGCACCTACATTCCGATGGACCAAAAACGGTTCTGTTTTAACGACCGGTTCAAGAATCAGTTTGTCATCAGACGACAAACAGCTCACTTTAACGAATGTGACTAGAGAAGACAGTGGGCAATATGTCTGTGAGGCAACTAACAATGTGAGGACAGTTCCGTCCGATTCTGCTACACTAAATGTAAAATGTAAGATTACTTTTTATAATTATTACCTAATTACTGCTAAAAATACTCTCTAACCTGTTGTGTCCTTTTTAATATGCAATTTTAATAAAATGCATGATTTTTGTTTTTTTGCATTTCATTGTTGTTTAAAATTCTGGTACCTTAGTGTGGTTACCTATGTTTTTACATATATAGTCTAGAAAGGAAGCAAACAACACAACACGAGGTCTTATTAAAAGATGAATAATTCCCTAAACCAGAAAGTTTCCTTCTCTATCAAACCTTAAAATTGGCCCGTTAGCCCTATTACCTCCATTCGTTGAATGCAATGACAGATTTCTCAAATCTTTTATTTGCTTTAAATGATCAACTGTCCTCACCTTTTAATAAGTAGTCTTGTACCTTTCCCCTTTCAGATGCACCTGGGTTCACCAAACATCCTGACAATATCGTGAAAATAGAGGGAGAGACCGCTATCTTTAACTGCACTGTAGATGGAAACCCTGAACCCAGCATTGACTGGACAAAAGATAACGTGACTCTAAACATCACAGCGGATCCAGATCTAAGCCAATCAAACTCAGGAAAAGTTCACTCTTTAGAAATACGGAATGTTAATCGGTCAGATAAAGGGCAATACAGATGTGTGGCAAACAATAACAGTATCGGTTCTGCAACTTCGTTGGCCGGAACACTCTCGGTGCATTGTAAGTACCACCTTGTATTTGAAGCTGTTCACATAATAGGTGACTTCCTCCAAGAAACGCCTAGACACCAGGCACTCATTCAAAGGAGGCGCTTTATCGAGTTGGCCGCTACAAGGTAGCTTCCAAGAAAGAAGAAAAAGTTTATGTCTATCATCTGAACAATGCACAGCTTTTAGTACTTCACAAAAACATAGGGACAGTGACAGCCATAGGCTAAACTGTTTCCCTTCATTGATTCCATTGTAGTCGCAAACAATTATAAAGTGAGAACAAAACATCATTTTCTTAGTGATAATCTTACTATTTTTGGAAGTGAGGGGGATGGATGGGGGGGCAGTGGGGACGCTTACTCTGGTTGGGTTGCCTGTTTCAGCTGGTTTGATCGAGGGTGGCCCCTCATTCAGGGGAGGGCGCTTATTGGATTGTGGACTCTTGTTTGAGTGAATATACTAGCTAAAGAAAATAGAGTTTGTGTGCACTAGAAGGTCATTTGGATGGCTTGTTTGTAAAACTGTTGCAACAATGTCGAATATGCATAGCCCTGGGAAAGATTTAGAGTGGTTAGCTCTATAATGCAATTTTCCCTCTTTTCCCCAGTTCATTTCTTTCTTTGTGATCAGTATATGATCACGCATTGCTACCACGATAGAAGAACTGAGATTTGATGATGATAACTATTGTAGGCTTAAATTGATTTACGAAATAGTTGCACTTGAGACACAGGCCCATATCGTGGCCGAGGCAGAAAAATCGTGGAATATTTTTCGTCACGTTCTCGGAAGGTATTCACGTACGTTTGAGCTACCGGTTACGGTGTTCTAGTATCCACATTCTTGATGGAGCTTGAGTATCATTTCGTAACACTTCCCTTGCCGCCTACAAGAAAATTGTTCAATTCTTTCCTTTAGCTGTAAGTCTGTTAAAACTTCTAGCTAGCTACAAGCCCAACACTTCTGTGTTATGAAGGAAACAAAGTATTAACGCTGCGGGCCTCACAATAAGTGTTAAAAGAGTACTATTGTTAAGTAATTGCTGTTCCCTTTTCTCAAGAAGGTTAGTGGAGCTCAGCTAACTCTGTGTTTGATATGCTGAGGTAATGAATTATTCTGATAAGTGTGTTGCGTTTTTGCCGGGACTTGTTGAATTCCAGTTTGAACATTCAAGTTTTTGTTAAAAGCACTTTTAATATAAGTGCATTCTGGTAGAACTTCGGGACTTTGCATGTTCCACTATAGAAAGAAGAAATTCTGCAGTCACCCACTGCCCACTGATTTTATCTTTTTCATTTGTGTGATCTTGCAGTCATTTAATTGTTCACAACCGCACTTGGTTAAAAGGTGAAACTAACTTCTTGTTATGCGGGCCGCTTCTGGCGGCCTTGTTCAAATTCCACTGATATATCAAACTAGATATTGTGCTAGGGAGCCGCATCACGCTTCATATATTTAACAAATAGATTCCAAGTTGCCGTGCGTATGTTCAGTAGTAGATCCGGCATCCCAGATGACGTCAAAATGTGGTACACGAGCCGCAGGCCAGTGTGTCACTGATGTTTTTTTGATATTTTTCTCCTGACGTCATCCATGTATCTGTACTCTAATAGATCATGGGCAACGACCAATCACAGCGCGCGTAGCATTCCCATGTAATAGCTCATTTTTGTATTCAAGAAATTCATGATGCAGCTTAAATTTCTTTAGCTGACAAGCGCGAGCAATCATTAAGGCGCTACCACTCACTGAAAAAGAAAAAGGAAAGATTTTTTGTTAGTTTATTCGAATTTCGCTCATGAGGGATCGATTTCATCGCTACTGAGGTTATACACTATATATAACTGCTACTTTGTACAATACACTAACCAGCTATAAGGGACGAGTATAGGAGCTCCCTCTCCTATCAATAAAACGCTTACTTGACCTCTGTTCTTTATATTTCTTTATCACAGGTCAACCTCAGTTTTCTTTGCATCCACAAAATGAGACAAAGATAGAGGGGGATAACGTTACTTTCACTTGTGATGCAACAGGAAATTCTGCACCCACGTTCAATTGGACCAAAGACGGTTCTGTTTTAACGACGGGTTCAAGAATCAGTTTGTCATCGGACGGCAAACAACTCAATATAACGAATCTGACTAGAGAAGACAGTGGGCGATATGTCTGTGAGGCAACTGACAATGTGACGACAGTTCTGTCCAATTCTGCTACACTAAATGTACAATGTAAGATTACTTATTATAATTATTACCTAGTTATTACTAACTGAATACTGTTAAACCTATTGCGTCCTTTTTAATATGCAATTTTAATAAAATATATGATTTATATTTTTTACATTTCAATGTTGTTTAAAATTCTGGTACCTTAGTGTGGTTACCTATGTTTTTACATATATATTCTAGAAAGGAAGCAAACAACACAACACGAGGTCTTATTAAAAGATGAATAATTCCCTAAACCAGAAAGTTTCCTTCTCTATCAAACCTTAAAATTGGCCCGTTAGCCCTTTTACTTTTACCTCCATTCGTTGAATGCAATGACAGATTTCTCAAATCTTTTATTTGCTTTAAATGATCAACTGTCCTCACCTTTTAATAAGTAGTCTTGTACTTTTCCCCTTTCAGATGCACCTGGGTTCACCAAACATCCTGACAATATCGTGAAAATAGAGGGAGAGACCGCTATCTTTAACTGCACTGTAGATGGAAACCCTGAACCCAGCATTGACTGGACAAAAGATAACGTGACTCTTAACATCACAGCGGATCCAGATCTAAGCCAATCAAACTCAGGAGAAGTTCACTCTTTAGAAATACGGAATGTTTATCGGTCAGATAAAGGGCAATACAGATGTGTGGCAAACAATAACAGTATCGGTTCTGCAACTTCGTTGGCCGGAACACTCTCAGTGCATTGTAAGTACCACTTTGTATTTGAAGCTGTTCACATAATAGGTGACTTGCATTGCATTGCTGCGTCGACAATTATGTCAATCAAACCAGGCCGGATCGGAAAAAGGCTGATTCTCTATTAGTTTATTCGAATTTTGCTCATGAGGGTTCGGTTTCACAGCTACTGAGGTTATACATTATATATAAATGCTACTGTGCGCAGTACTAATCAGCTATCCGGGACAAGCATAGGAGCTCCTTCTCCTTTCGCGTGTTTCTTTTTCCTTCCGTATTATTAATAAAACGTTTGCTTTACTACTCTTCTGTATCTTTGTTTATCACAGATAAACCTGAGTTTTCTGTGCATCCACAAAATGCGACAAAAATAGAAGAGGATAACGTTACCTTCACTTGTAATGCAACTGGAAATCCTGCACCTACATTCCGATGGACCAAAATCGGTTCTGTTTTAAGGACCGGTTCAAGAATCAGTTTGTCATCAGACGGCAAACAGCTCACTATAACGAATGTGACCAGAGAAGACAGTGGGCAATATGTTTGTGAGGCAACTAACAATGTGACGACAGTTCCGTCCGATTCTGCTACACTAAATGTACAATGTAAGATTACTTGTTTTAATTACTCCCTAATTGTTGCTAAGAACACTCTTAAACCTGTTGTGTCCTTTTTAATAAGCAATTTTAATAAAATGTATGATTTATATTTTTTACATTTCAATGTTGTTTAACATTCTGGTACCTTAGTGTGGTTACCCATGTTTTTACATATATATTTGAGCTATTTTGAAAAAATAGCTCATATGTCAGTGGTGTGAGCGTATGTATCTTTGTGGCTTTGTATCTTTGTGGCTTTGCATGTTGGGATGTTTGTTGCAAGAGCCAATAAGGTTGAAGGTACTATGAGTTGATGTTTAGGAACCAATGAGATCTTGGCATCTATTTAAACATGGCACTGATAAAGGTCGAACAAGGGCACTTTGAGACCGCCATCTTGATCCTTCACAATTTTTTCGTCTTTTATTACGGGTACAGGTTTTTGGAAGCATTACATAAAATATCTTCATGATTCAAACCCTGTGAACAGTGATGCAGCTGTTTAAGGGTTCATATTTAAGTGTGGATGCTGCTTCGAGGCATTTCTGACCTAATTCGGCTATCAGTACAACGCACGTCAGTATGAGTTCTGTTTCACGTGCTACAACTGGGTAGAGTATAAAAGATCATATATTTTCAAATCTCTTCCAATGAAGCAATGATTGATATTTAGATATAGACTTTAATTCGAAAGTATGCGCCCTATAAAATGTGGTTTTAGAAGTTTAAAAGGCAGCTTATTTTTTTGAAAGCTGTATCGAGTATTGTTAATCCTGTAAACGAGCTTTAAAAATATTATTCTCTCGCTTACAAAGTTCAACCTACCTTTTTCGTTCTATTTAGTAAAGATGCGTAACTTAAGTAGAAACAGTAGCGTTAGGGAATAAAATTGGAAGAAGCTAGTTGACACAATAATTAGATACTGTTATATTGAGTGGAGTAACATGATTTAAGTAGAAATATATTTCGGCAGTTTGATAATTTTCTTGGAAGTTAATAAATGTTAGGCTATCAATCTTGACGGTGCATGAGACGTAATTTAATTGCAGATGTTGTAATAAAGCCAAGGTGATTTCTTAAAATCGTTTGAGAAAATTTTGTAGTAAAACAATTTGCCTCTTTTTTACGTACGAATTGTGAAAGGGCCATTGACCAACATCTTCACATGCAAATTGTGTACGTGAGTTATTTTTATAATTCTGTTTACTAGATTATTGTGATAACTCGAATTCCCTCACGTACGAACCACGAAAGGGGGCAAAGTCCAACACTTTCACGTGCCAGCTGTGTGACTGTACATCTCATGCAGATTGGCTTTTCACAATAATAATAGTAACTTGGACGTATGAAGACCTGTTTCGTTTAGTAACCAATGCCTTAAAAAGGCTCTTGTCTTTTAGGAAGCAATGGCTTTTAAAACATGACGAAATAAGTTGTCGGAGTTAAAGACTGTTTCACAAATGTTAATAAATGTTAGGTTATCAACCTTGACGTTGCATGAAACATAATAGAGAGATTAAGATTCACGTTTGCCAAACGAGAGACGTGAATTTGTACCACGTGACCAAGTTTTCCCCTTATTTTTCGTTTAATCTTTATTGCTTCTACACAAACATAAGTAGTTTTATGCCAGTTTTAACCACAGGAATCGTTCGAGACTGTTTTTATCTGCTTATTTTCTATTCTGAGAAATTCTCAACTTGAGTCTGACGTTTGTCGTTTGCGGTAAACGTGAATCTTATCTCTCTAATTTAATTGCAGATGTTATAATGAAGCCGAGGTGATTTCTTAAAATCGTTTGAGAAATTTTTGTAGTAAACAATTTTTTTTTTTACGTACGAATTGGAAAAGGGCGAAAGACAACATCTTCGGGTGCAAATTGTGTGCGTGAGTTATTTTTATAATTCTGTTTACTAGTTTACTGTGTGATACCTCGAATTCCCTCACGTACGAACGACGAAAGGGGCAAAGTCCAACACTTTCACGTGCCAGCTGTGTGACTGTACATCTCATGCCGATTGGCTTTTCACAATGATAACTAGTAACTTGGACGTATGAAGACCTGTTTCGTTTTGTAACCAATGCCTTAAAAAGGTTCTTGTCTTTTCAGAAGCAATACCGTTTAAAACATGAGAAATAAGTTGTCGGAGTTAAAAATAAGTTGTCGGAGTTTGTTTCACTGAGTAGGATCGCACGTGAAGACCTCGTGAATTATGATGATGCAACCATCTACCACAACGATAAAAATCCTGGTATTTCGTAACTATTCAGTATTCGATGAGTCACATTTTGGCTTAAGAAACTCGGAGGAAACCTTAGAGTTTTCCTTCTAATCAACGTTTGGTGAATAGAAATTTATTTCACTTTAATGATTTGTTTAACTTGCACCAGATGTAACAGGGAAAGACAGAGGAAAGTGAATATATAGCTTGAGGATCGACTCAGCTAAGCGTTTCGCGTTTTCATTTATGTACCGCAATACGCAATTTCGCGCAAAAACCCAATCTGCATTTAGGATGAAAGAGGTAGATTCATCACTCTTGGTAAGGTTACACCGAAGCATTAAAGATACACTGAAGCATTCAAAATAGCTCATGCACGTTTAACGTGCCTATGATCTAGAAAGGAAGCAAACAACGCAACACGAGGTCTTATTAAAAGATGAATAATTCCCTAAACCAAAAAGTTTCCTTGTCTATCAAACCTTAAAATTGGCCCGTTAGCCCTTTTACCTCCATTCGTTGAATGCAATGACAGATTTCTCAAATCTTTTATTTGCTTTAAATGATCAACTGTCCTCACCTTTTAATACCCCTAAAGCCTGAAAAAGAGCCCCTTTCTTTCCCTCCCGCGCGCCGGTTACACAGGTTGCTTAGCGACAAATAAATAATTGTCTTGCTGTGCTATCAAGTGTTTTAAAACTTTCTAACTCCTCAGAGTATGGATGCTTTTACTCATTACAGTGATATCCTAAGGGCTCAAGTAATCTGCGCCATGAGGCGAACTAAAGTCATTATAAGACTATTAAAGATTCATTTAGCGTTTGGTATTTTCCCTTATTTCCTACTTTAATCGCATTGCTCCTAATTACAAATCAGCCTGAGGTCCTTACGCATCCACGAAATGAGACAAAGACTGTAGTTTATGTCCGGGAAAATAATGTCTACAAAGTTTGCGACATTGACTAAATTCATATTCACAGGCTTCCTATTTATCAAAAAGGTAGTTCTGAACATTCTACTTAGAAATCTCGTCCTGAGTAGTAGCTTGTACTTTTCCCCTTTCAGATGCACCTGGGTTCACCAAACATCCTGACAATATCGTGAAAATAGAGGGAGAGACCGCTATCTTTAACTGCACTGTAGATGGAAACCCTGAACCCAGCATTGACTGGACAAAAGATAACGTGACTCTTAACATCACAGCGGATCCAGATCTAAGCCAATCAAACTCAGGAAAAGTTCACTCTTTAGAAATACGGAATGTTTATCGGTCAGATAAAGGGCAATACAGATGTGTGGCAAACAATAACAGTATCGGTTCTGCAACTTCGTTGGCCGGAACACTCTCAGTGCATTGTAAGTACCACTTTGTATTTGAAGCTGTTCACATAATAGGTGACTTGCATTGCATTGCTGCTTCGACAATTATGTCAATCAAACCAGGCCGGATCGGAAAAAGGCTGATTCTCTATTAGTTTATTCGAATTTTGCTCATGAGGGTTCGGTTTCACAGCTACTGAGGTTATACATTATATATAAATGCTACTGTGCAAGGCTCTAACCAGCTATCAGGGACAAGCATGTGAGCTCCTTCTCCTTTCGCGTGTTTCCTCTCCCTTCCGTAGTATTAATAAAACGTTTACTTCTCTACTGTTCTGTATATATCTTTGTTTATCACAGATAAACCTGAGTTTTCTGTGCATCCACAAAATGCGACACAGATAGAAGGGTCTAACGTTTCTTTCACTTGTAATGCAACTGGAAATCCTGCACCTTCATTCCGATGGACCAAAAACGGTTCTGTTTTAACGACCGGTTCAAGAATCGGTTTGTCATCAGACGGCAAACAGCTCACTTTAACGAATGTGACTAGAGAAGACAGTGGGCAATATGTCTGTGAGGCAACTAACAATGTGAGGACAGTTCCATCCGATTCTGCTACACTAAATGTACAATGTAAGATTACTTATAATTATTACCTACTTATTGATAAAAATACTCTCTAACCTGTTGTGTCCTTTTTAATATACAATTTTAATAAAATGTATGATTTTTGTTTTTTGCATTTCATTGTTGTTTAAAATTCTGGTACCTTAGTGTGGTTACCTATGTTTTTACATATATAGTCTAGAAAAGAAGCAAACAAAGCAACACAAGGTCTTATTCAAAGATGAATAATTCCCTAAACCAGAAAGTTTCCTTGTCTATCAAACCTTAAAATTGGCCTTTTTTAGCCCATTTAGCTCCTTTCGTAGAACGCAATGCAATATTTCCCAAATCTTTCATTTGCTTTAGTTGATGAAATCCTCACCTTTCATTTACCAAAAGCCTGAAAAAGGGGCCCCTTTCTTTCCCCCCCGCGCTCCGGTTACACAGGTTGTTCAGCGACAAATAATTAATTTTCATGCTCTGCTATAAAGTGTTTTAAAACTTACTACCTCTTCAGAGTATGAATGCTTTTACTCAATACAGTGGTATCGTAAGAGCTCAAGTAATCTGCGTAATGAGGCGAACAAAAGTCATTATAAGACTATTTAAGATTCTTTTAGCGTTTCCCTTATTTTCTACCTTAATCGCATTGCCTTCTTATTACAGTTCAACCTGAGTTTCTTACGCATCCACGAAATAAGACAAAGAAGGAAGGGGAGAATGTGACTTTTACCTGTGATGCAGATGGAAATCCTACACCCACATTCTCATGGACGAAAGACGGTTCTGCTGTGAATACGACTTCAAGAATCACTTTTAACGCAGATAAAAAGCAGTTATCTATAACGAATGTGGACAGAGGAGACAGCGGAAAATACATCTGTGTGGCTATGAATGATGTTAACGAAGTTCAATCCAACTCTTCCACATTAAATGTACAATGTAAGGATACTTTTGCTTGATTTTTCAACATGATTGTTTTAAGAGATATTCTTTACCTCTGCTTTTGTTTTTCATTTTTTTCTCAGGTGTTTTTTTTTCTTTCGCTTTTTTTAGAATAACTGTAACTAATGCAATCATTTAATACATTTTAAGATTTACTGTATCTCTGTCATTGATTTTTGCAGCTATAATTCTTTAAAAATTTTGTTAATATAATTTAATAATTTTACTGAGGGAGCCCATTCCTTATCAGCCAAGTGGCTTCCCTTGGGCTTCCTCGCCATTAGGTTTTTAAACAGTTAGATTTTCTCGTTTCTTGGTACATGTTTTACGGCAAAACGATAAACTGAACTTAACTGAACTGATTACTAGGATCAGAACGCAGACTGGAGAAGAAAAGAGCAAACAGCCAGCAGCAAGGAGAGAGGCGTTTCATTCAAAACCGTTGTAGTTTTTAAACCAAGCAGGAGCAAACCCGCAGCGCAGCATTACAACATTGTTGCGACATTGTTTCGAATAGTTGCAACAGTGTGCCAACATTGCTATGCTGTGATGCGCTCAAACTCGTCGTTGGGATTTTACTAACAGGATTTTATTTACATATTAGAAAAGAATAAAATGCGTCCGGTAAAAGCATGGAACAGTTTTATAATTTATCCGGTATAAAAGTGTCTACAAAGTTTGCGCCATTAGAGACCTTTAGCATCAGGTTTTTCATGGGAAACCGCAAACCGCAGTTTGCACTTACGCAGTTTCGCGTTGCTGCGAGATTTCAAATTTTAGCAAGGCGTTCAGTTCAGTTCAGTTCAGTTCATTTTTATTTAGCCAAAATATAATACAATACAAGAATATATAAAGGAATTGTAAGGTTGCAAGGGAGCCCAGAAGAAACCAGAAGGCTTATGAAGCCTGGGCTCCCCAATCACAAAGAAATATTAAGTAAAAAAAAAATGAAATTCGCCGAGTGATACGTTAAAAATGGGAACTAAACAAAGACTGTGTTAAGTTATGAATTCAGTAACAAAATAGAAAAAGAATTTTAACTCTGGATTGGAACAGAAAACTTTCTTATGTTATTAAGGCAGAAAGGATTATAAAATCGATTTGAACTACGCGTTTATTGCTTAGTGCCGCCATGTTGTTTTTGATCAAGTCGAAGTTTATTACTGTAATCGCCATAAAAAAGGAGTAGTGCATTGATTCGAGATCAAAAATCCAACAAACACATTGCAAACGGATATAAAAAGCTAGTTCGTGCTTTAAACGCGAGCCTGTACAATTTTTAGTGGCAAAAATCCTTGCCGTAAATCACTTACAGCTGCTTACTGCTGGAAGCCCTTCCTGTGGTTCAAAAGTGAACTGCAAACTGCAAACATGACCGCAAGGCCGTGGTCTCGTGACATTTTGTGGTTTGCGGTTTTCCATGAAAAACCTGATGCTAAAGGTCTCTATTAACTAAACGCACATCCACAGGCTTTCTTTTTATCAAAAAGTAGTTCTGAACATTTCAATTAGATAGAAATCTCGTCCTGAGTAGTAGTCTTGTACTTTTCCCCTTTCAGATGCACCTGGGTTCACCAAACATCCTGACAATATCGTGAAAATAGAGGGAGAGACCGCTATCTTTAACTGCACTGTAGATGGAAACCCTGAACCCAGCATTGACTGGACAAAAGATAACGTGACTCTTAACATCGCAGCGGATCCGGATCTAAGCCAATCGAACTCAGGAAAAGTTCACTTTTTAGAAATACAGAATGTTCATCGGTCGGATAAAGGGCAATACAGATGTGTGGCAAACAATAACAGTATCGGTTCTGCAACTTCGTTGGCCGGAACACTCTCAGTGCATTGTAAGTACCACTTTGTATTTGAAGCTGTTCACATAATAGGTGACTTGCTGCATCGACAATTATGTCAATCAAACCAGGCCGGATCGGAAAAAGGCTGATTCTCTATTAGTTTATTCGAATTTTGCTCATGAGGGTTCGGTTTCACAGCTACTGAGGTTATACATTGTATATAAATGCTACCGTGCAAAGTACTTACCAGCTATCAGGGACAAGCATGTGAGCTCCTTCTCCTTTCGCGTGTTTCCTCTCCCTTCCGTAGTATTAATAAAACGTTTGCTTCACTACTGTTCTGTATATATCTTTGTTTATCACAGATAAACCTGAGTTTTCTGTGCATCCACAAAATGCGACACAGATAGAAGGGTCTAACGTTTCTTTCACTTGTAATGCAACTGGAAATCCTGCACCTACATTCCGATGGACCAAAAACGGTTCTGTTTTAACGACCGGTTCAAGAATCAGTTTGTCATCAGACGACAAACAGCTCACTTTAACGAATGTGACTAGAGAAGACAGTGGGCAATATGTCTGTGAGGCAACTAACAATGTGAGGACAGTTCCGTCCGATTCTGCTACACTAAATGTAAAATGTAAGATTACTTTTTATAATTATTACCTAATTACTGCTAAAAATACTCTCTAACCTGTTGTGTCCTTTTTAATATGCAATTTTAATAAAATGCATGATTTTTGTTTTTTTGCATTTCATTGTTGTTTAAAATTCTGGTACCTTAGTGTGGTTACCTATGTTTTTACATATATAGTCTAGAAAGGAAGCAAACAACACAACACGAGGTCTTATTAAAAGATGAATAATTCCCTAAACCAGAAAGTTTCCTTCTCTATCAAACCTTAAAATTGGCCCGTTAGCCCTATTACCTCCATTCGTTGAATGCAATGACAGATTTCTCAAATCTTTTATTTGCTTTAAATGATCAACTGTCCTCACCTTTTAATAAGTAGTCTTGTACCTTTCCCCTTTCAGATGCACCTGGGTTCACCAAACATCCTGACAATATCGTGAAAATAGAGGGAGAGACCGCTATCTTTAACTGCACTGTAGATGGAAACCCTGAACCCAGCATTGACTGGACAAAAGATAACGTGACTCTAAACATCACAGCGGATCCAGATCTAAGCCAATCAAACTCAGAAAAAGTTCACTCTTTAGAAATACGGAATGTTAGTCGGTCAGATAAAGGGCAATACAGATGTGTGGCAAACAATAACAGTATCGGTTCTGCAACTTCGTTGGCCGGAACACTCTCGGTGCATTGTAAGTACCACCTTGTATTTGAAGCTGTTCACATAATAGGTGACTTCCTCCAAGAAACGCCTAGACACCAGGCACTCATTCAAAGGAGGCGCTTTATCGAGTTGGCCGCTACAAGGTAGCTTCCAAGAAAGAAGAAAAAGTTTATGTCTATCATCTGAACAATGCACAGCTTTTAGTACTTCACAAAAACATAGGGACAGTGACAGCCATAGGCTAAACTGTTTCCCTTCATTGATTCCATTGTAGTCACAAACAATTATAAAGTGAGAACAAAACATCATTTTCTTAGTGATAATCTTACTATTTTTGGAAGTGAGGGGGATGGTGGGGGGGGGGGCGGGGGGAGGGTTACTCGGGTTGGGTTGCCTGTTTCAGCTGGTTTGATCGAGGGTGGCCCCTTATTCAGGGGAGGACGCTTATTGGATCGTGGACTCTTGTTTGAGTGAATATGCTAGCTAAAGAAAATAGTGTTTGTGTGCATTAGAAGGTCATTTGGATGGCTTGTTTGTAAAACTGTTGCAACAATGTCGAATATGCATAGCCCTGGGAAAGATTTAGAGTGGTTAGCTCTATAATGCAATTTTCCCTCTTTTCCCCAGTTCATTTCTTTCTTTGTGATCAGTATATGATCACGCATTGCTACCACGATAGAAGAACTGAGATTTGATGATGATAACTATCGTAGGCTTAGATTGATTGACGTAATAGTTGCACTTGAGACACAGGCGCATATCGTGGCCGAAGCAGAAAAATCGAGGAATATTTTTCGTCACGTTCCGGGAAGATATTCACGTACGTTTGAGCTACCGGCTACGGTGTTCTAGTATCCACATTCTTGGCGGTGATTGAGTATAATTTCGTAACGCTTCCCTTGCCGCCTACAAGAAAATTGTTCCATTTTTTCCTTTAACTATACGTCTATTAAAACTTCTTGCTAGCTACAAGCCCAACACTTCTGTGTTTTTATGAAGGAAACAAAGTATTAGCACTGCGGGTCTCACAATGAGTGTTAAAAGACTTCTGTTGTTATTAATTGCTGTTCCCTTTTCTCAAGAAGGTTAGTGGAGCTCAGCTAACTCTGAGTATATTATGCTGAAGTGATGAATTGTTCTGATAAGTGTGTTGCGTTTTTTTCAAGACTTGTTGAATTCCAGTTTAAAAATTCAAGTTTCAGTTAAAAGAACTTTTGATATAAGAGTGCTCTGGTAGAACTTCGGAACTTTTCATGTACCACTAGCAATTCTGTAGTCACCCACTTTCCATGCAATGATTTTATTTTTTTCCATTTGTGTGATCTTACAGTCATTTAATTGTTCACAACTGCAGTTGGTATGAAAGGCAAATCTGCTTGTTATGCGGACCGCTTCTGGCGGCCTTGTTCAAATTCCACTGATATATCAAACTAGATATTGTGCTAGGAAGCCGCATCACGCTTCATATATTTAACAAATAGATTCCAAGTTGCCGTGCGTATGTTCAGTAGTAGATCCGGCATCCCAGATGACGTCAAAATGTGGTACACGAGCCGCAGGCCAGTGTGTCACTGATGTTTTTTTTTGATATTTTTCTCCTGACGTCATCCATGTATCTGTACTCTAATAGATCATGGGCAACGACCAATCACAGCGCGCGTAGCATTCCCATGTAATAGCTCATTTTTTGTATTCAAGAAATTCATGATGCAGCTTAAATTTCTTTAGCTGACAAGCGCGAGCAATCATTAAGGCGCTACCACTCACTGAAAAAGAAAAAGGAAAGATTTTTGTTAGTTTATTCGAATTTCGCTCATGAGGGATCGATTTCATCGCTACTGAGGTTATACACTATATATAACTGCTACTTTGTACAATACACTAACCAGCTATAAGGGACGAGTATAGGAGCTCCCTCTCCTATCAATAAAACGCTTACTTGACCTCTGTTCTTTATATTTCTTTATCACGGGTCAACCTCAGTTTTCTTTGCATCCACAAAATGAGACAAAGATAGAGGGGATAACGTTACTTTCACTTGTGATGCAACAGGAAATTCTGCACCCACGTTCAATTGGACCAAAGACGGTTCTGTTTTAACGACGGGTTCAAGAATCAGTTTGTCATCGGACGGCAAACAACTCAATATAACGAATCTGACTAGAGAAGACAGTGGGCGATATGTCTGTGAGGCAACTGACAATGTGACGACAGTTCTGTCCAATTCTGCTACACTAAATGTACAATGTAAGATTACTTATTATAATTATTACCTAGTTATTACTAACTGAATACTGTTAAACCTATTGCGTCCTTTTTAATATGCAATTTTAATAAAATATATGATTTATATTTTTTACATTTCAATGTTGTTTAAAATTCTGGTACCTTAGTGTGGTTACCTATGTTTTTACATATATATTCTAGAAAGGAAGCAAACAACACAACACGAGGTCTTATTAAAAGATGAATAATTCCCTAAACCAGAAAGTTTCCTTCTCTATCAAACCTTAAAATTGGCCCGTTAGCCCTATTACCTCCATTCGTTGAATGCAATGACAGATTTCTCAAATCTTTTATTTGCTTTAAATGATCAACTGTCCTCACCTTTTAATAAGTAGTCTTGTACTTTTCCCCTTTCAGATGCACCTGGGTTCACCAAACATCCTGACAATATCGTGAAAATAGAGGGAGAGACCGCTATCTTTAACTGCACTGTAGATGGAAACCCTGAACCCAGCATTGACTGGACAAAAGATAACGTGACTCTTAACATCACAGCGGATCCAGATCTAAGGCAATCAAACTCAGGAGAAGTTCACTCTTTAGAAATACGGAATGTTTATCGGTCAGATAAAGGGCAATACAGATGTGTGGCAAACAATAACAGTATCGGTTCTGCAACTTCGTTGGCCGGAACACTCTCAGTGCATTGTAAGTACCACTTTGTATTTGAAGCTGTTCACATAATAGGTGACTTGCATTGCATTGCTGCGTCCACCTTTATGTCAATCAAACCAGGCCGGATCGGAAAAAGGCTGATTCTCTATTAGTTTATTCGAATTTTGCTCATGAGGGTTCGGTTTCACAGCTACTGAGGTTATACATTATATATAAATGCTACTGTGCGCAGTACTAATCAGCTATCCGGGACAAGCATAGGAGCTCCTTCTCCTTTCGCGTGTTTCTTTTCCCTTCCGTATTATTAATAAAACGTTTGCTTTACTACTGTTCTGTATCTTTGTTTATCACAGATAAACCTGAGTTTTCTGTGCATCCACAAAATGCGACAAAAATAGAAGAGGATAACGTTACTTTCACTTGTAATGCAACTGGAAATCCTGCACCTACATTCCGATGGACCAAAATCGGTTCTGTTTTAAGGACCGGTTCAAGAATCAGTTTGTCATCAGACGGCAAACAGCTCACTATAACGAATGTGACCAGAGAAGACAGTGGGCAATATGTTTGTGAGGCAACTAACAATGTGACGACAGTTCCGTCCGATTCTGCTACACTAAATGTACAATGTAAGATTACTTGTTTTAATTACTCCCTAATTGTTGCTAAGAACACTCTTAAACCTGTTGTGTCCTTTTTAATAAGCAATTTTAATAAAATGTATGATTTATATTTTTTACATTTCAATGTTGTTTAACATTCTGGTACCTTAGTGTTGTTACCTATGTTTTTACATATATATTTGAGCTATTTTGAAAAAATAGCTCATATGTCAGTGGTGTGAGCGTATGTATCTTTGTGGCTTTGTATCTTTGTGGCTTTGCATGTTGGGATGTTTGTTGCAAGAGCCAATAAGGTTGAAGGTACTATGAGTTGATGTTTAGGAACCAATGAGATCTTGGCATCTATTTAAACATGGCACTGATAAAGGTCGAACAAGGGCACTTTGAGACCGCCATCTTGATCCTTCACAATTTTTTCGTCTTTTATTACGGGTACAGGTTTTTGGAAGCATTACATAAAATATCTTCATGATTCAAACCCTGTGAACAGTGATGCAGCTGTTTAAGGGTTCATATTTAAGTGTGGATGCTGCTTCGAGGCATTTCTGACCTAATTCGGCTATCAGTACAATGCACGTCAGTATGAGTTCTGTTTCACGTGCTACAACTGGGTAGAGTATAAAAGATCATATATTTTCAAATCTCTTCCAATGAAGCAATGATTGATATTTAGATATAGACTTTTATTCGAAAGTATGCGCCCTATAAAATGTGGTTTTAGAAGTTTAAAAGGCAGCTTATTTTTTTGAAAGCTGTATCGAGTATTGTTAATTCTGTAAACGAGCTTTAAAAATATTATTCTCTCGCTTACAAAGTTCAACCTACCTTTTTCGTTCTATTTAGTAAAGATGCGTAACTTAAGTAGAAACAGTAGCGTTAGGGAATAAAATTGGAAGAAGCTAGTTGACACAATAATTAGATACTGTTATATTGAGTGGAGTAACATGATTTAAGTAGAAATATATTTCGGCAGTTTGATAATTTTCTTGAAAGTTAATAAATGTTAGGCTATCAACCTTGACGTTGCAGGAGACATAATTTAATTGCAGATGTTGTAATAAAGCCGAGGTGATTTCTTAAAATCGTTTGAGAAAATTTTGTAGTAAAACAATTTGCCTCTTTTTTACGTACGAGTTGTGAAAGGGCCATTGACCAACATCTTCACATGCAAATTGTGTACATGAGTTATTTTTATAATTCTGTTTATTAGATTATTGTGTGATAACTCGAATTCCCTCACGTACGAACCACGAAAGGGGGCAAAGTCCAACACTTTCACGTGCCAGCTGTGTGACTGTACATCTCATGCAGATTGGCTTTTCACAATGACAATAGTAACTTGGACGTATGAAGACCTGTTTCGTTTAGTAACCAATGCCTTAAAAAGGCTCTTGTCTTTTAAGAAGCAATGGCTTTCAAAACATGACGAAATAAGTTGTCGGAGTTAAAGACTGTTTCACAAATGTTAATAAATGTTAGGTTATCAACCTTGACGTTGCATGAAACATAATAGAGAGATTAAGATTCACGTTTACGCCAAACGAGAGACGTGAATTTGTACCACGTGACCAAGTTTTCCCCTTATTTTTCGTTTAATCTTTATTGCTTCTACACAAACATAAGTAGTTTTATGCCAGTTTTAACCACAGGAATCGTTCGAGACTGTTTTTATCTGCTTATTTTCTATTCTGAGAAATTCTCAACTTGAGTCTGACGTTTGTCGTTTGCGGTAAACGTGAATCTTAATCTCTCTAATTTAATTGCAGATGTTATAATGAAGCCGAGGTGATTTCTTAAAATCGTTTGAGAAAATTTTGTAGTAAACAATTTGCCTTTTTTTTACGTACGAATTGGAAAAGGGCGAAAGACAACATCTTCGGGTGCAAATTGTGTGCGTGAGTTATTTTTATAATTCTGTTTACTAGTTTACTGTGTGATACCTCGAATTCCCTCACGTACGAACGACGAAAGGGGGCAAAGTCCAACACTTTCACGTGCCAGCTGTGTGACTGTACATCTCATGCCGATTGGCTTTTCACAATGATAACTAGTAACTTGGACGTATGAAGACCTGTTTCGTTTTGTAACCAATGCCTTAAAAAAGGTTCTTGTCTTTTCAGAAGCAATAGCGTTTAAAACATGAGAAATAAGTTGTCGGAGTTAAAAATAAGTTGTCGGAGTTTGTTTCACTGAGTAGGATCGCACGTGAAGACCTCGTGAATTATGATGATGCAACCATCTACCACAACGATAAAAATCCTGGTATTTCGTAACTATTCAGTATTCGATGAGTCACATTTTGGCTTAAGAAACTCGGAGGAAACCTTAGAGTTTTCCTTCTAATCAACGTTTGGTGAATAGAAATTTATTTCACTTTAATGATTTGTTTAACTTGCACCAGATGTAACAGGGAAAGACAGAGGAAAGTGAATATATAGCTTGAGGATCGACTCAGCTAAGCGTTTCGCGTTTTCATTTATGTACCGCAATATGCAATTTCGCGCAAAAACCCAATCTGCATTTAGGATGAAAGAGGTAGATTCATCACTCTTGGTAAGGTTACACCGAAGCATTAAAGTTACACTGAAGCATTCAAAATAGCTCATGCACGTTTAACGTGCCTATGATCTAGAAAGGAAGCAAACAACGCAACACGAGGTCTTATTAAAAGATGAATAATTCCCTAAACCAAAAAGTTTCCTTGTCTATCAAACCTTAAAATTGGCCCGTTAGCCCTTTTACCTCCATTCGTTGAATGCAATGACAGATTTCTCAAATCTTTTATTTGCTTTAAATGATCAACTGTCCTCACCTTTTAATACCCCTAAAGCCTGAAAAAGAGCCCCTTTCTTTCCCTCCCGCGCGCCGGTTACACAGGTTGCTTAGCGACAAATAAATAATTGTCTTGCTGTGCTATCAAGTGTTTTAAAACTTTCTAACTCCTCAGAGTATGGATGCTTTTACTCATTACAGTGATATCCTAAGGGCTCAAGTAATCTGCGCCATGAGGCGAACTAAAGTCAGATTATAAGACTATTAAAGATTCATTTAGCGTTTGGTATTTTCCCTTATTTCCTACTTTAATCGCATTGCTCCTAATTACAAATCAGCCTGAGGTCCTTACGCATCCACGAAATGAGACAAAGACTGTAGTTTATGTCCGGGAAAATAATGTCTACAAAGTTTGCGCCATTGACTAAATTCATATTCACAGGCTTCCTATTTATCAAAAAGGTAGTTCTGAACATTCTACTTAGAAATCTCGTCCTGAGTAGTAGCTTGTACTTTTCCCCTTTCAGATGCACCTGGGTTCACCAAACATCCTGACAATATCGTGAAAATAGAGGGAGAGACCGCTATCTTTAACTGCACTGTAGATGGAAACCCTGAACCCAGCATTGACTGGACAAAAGATAACGTGACTCTTAACATCACAGCGGATCCAGATCTAAGCCAATCAAACTCAGGAAAAGTTCACTCTTTAGAAATACGGAATGTTTATCGGTCAGATAAAGGGCAATACAGATGTGTGGCAAACAATAACAGTATCGGTTCTGCAACTTCGTTGGCCGGAACACTCTCAGTGCATTGTAAGTACCACTTTGTATTTGAAGCTGTTCACATAATAGGTGACTTGCATTGCATTGCTGCGTCGACAATTATGTCAATCAAACCAGGCCGGATCGGAAAAAGGCTGATTCTCTATTAGTTTATTCGAATTTTGCTTATGAGGGTTCGGTTTCACAGCTACTGAGGTTATACATTATATATAAATGCTACTGTGCAAGGCTCTAACCAGCTATCAGGGACAAGCATGTGAGCTCCTTCTCCTTTCGCGTGTTTCCTCTCCCTTCCGTAGTATTAATAAAACGTTTACTTCTCTACTGTTCTGTATATATCTTTGTTTATCACAGATAAACCTGAGTTTTCTGTGCATCCACAAAATGCGACACAGATAGAAGGGTCTAACGTTTCTTTCACTTGTAATGCAACTGGAAATCCTGCACCTTCATTCCGATGGACCAAAAACGGTTCTGTTTTAACGACCGGTTCAAGAATCGGTTTGTCATCAGACGGCAAACAGCTCACTTTAACGAATGTGACTAGAGAAGACAGTGGGCAATATGTCTGTGAGGCAACTAACAATGTGAGGACAGTTCCATCCGATTCTGCTACACTAAATGTACAATGTAAGATTACTTATAATTATTACCTACTTATTGATAAAAATACTCTCTAACCTGTTGTGTCCTTTTTAATATACAATTTTAATAAAATGTATGATTTTTGTTTTTTTGCATTTCATTGTTGTTTAAAATTCTGGTACCTTAGTGTGGTTACCTATGTTTTTACATATATAGTCTAGAAAAGAAGCAAACAAAGCAACACAAGGTCTTATTCAAAGATGAATAATTCCCTAAACCAGAAAGTTTCCTTGTCTATCAAACCTTAAAATTGGCCTTTTTTAGCCCATTTAGCTCCTTTCGTAGAACGCAATGCAATATTTCCCAAATCTTTCATTTGCTTTAGTTGATGAAATCCTCACCTTTCATTTACCAAAAGCCTGAAAAAGGGGCCCCTTTCTTTCCCCCCCGCGCTCCGGTTACACAGGTTGTTCAGCGACAAATAATTAATTTTCATGCTCTGCTATAAAGTGTTTTAAAACTTACTACCTCTTCAGAGTATGAATGCTTTTACTCAATACAGTGGTATCGTAAGAGCTCAAGTAATCTGCGTAATGAGGCGAACAAAAGTCATTATAAGACTATTTAAGATTCTTTTAGCGTTTCCCTTATTTTCTACCTTAATCGCATTGCCTTCTAATTACAGATCAGCCTGAGTTTAATACGCATCCACAAAATAAGACAAAGACAGAAGGGGAAAATGTGACTTTTACCTGTAATGCAGTTGGCAATCCTGCACCCACATTCTCATGGACGAGAGACGGTTCTGTTGTGAATACGACTTCAAGAATCACTTTTAACGAAAATAATAAGACGTTGACCATAACGAATGTGATCAGAGGAGACAGCGGAGAATACATCTGTGTGGCTACGAACAATGTTAACAGAGTTGAATCCAACCCTTCCACATTAAATGTACAATGTAAGGATACTTTTGCTTGATTATTCAGCATGATTGTTTTAAGAGATATTCTTTACCTCTGCTTTTGTTTTTCTTTTTTTTTTTTCTCAGGTGTTTTTTTTTCTTTCGCTTTTTTTAGAATAACTGTAACTAATGCAATCATTTAATACATTTTAAGATTTACTGTATCTCTGTCATTGATTTTTGCAGCTATAATTCTTTAAAAATTTTGTTAATATAATTTAATAATTTTACTGAGGGAGCCCATTCCTTATCAGCCAAGTGGCTTCCCTTGGGCTTCCTCGCCATTAGGTTTTTAAACAGTTAGATTTTCTCGTTTCTTGGTACATGTTTTACGGCAAAACGATAAACTGAACTTAACTGAACTGATTACTAGGATCAGAACGCAGACTGGAGAAGAAAAGAGCAAACAGCCAGCAGCAAGGAGAGAGGCGTTTCATTCAAAACCGTTGTAGTTTTTAAACCAAGCAGGAGCAAACCCGCAGCGCAGCATTACAACATTGTTGCGACATTGTTTCGAATAGTTGCAACAGTGTGCCAACATTGCTATGCTGTGATGCGCTCAAACTCGTCGTTGGGATTTTACTAACAGGATTTTATTTACATATTAGAAAAGAATAAAATGCGTCCGGTAAAAGCATGGAACAGTTTTATAATTTATCCGGTATAAAAGTGTCTACAAAGTTTGCGCCATTAGAGACCTTTAGCATCAGGTTTTTCATGGGAAACCGCAAACCGCAGTTTGCACTTACGCAGTTTCGCGTTGCTGCGAGATTTCAAATTTTAGCAAGGCGTTCAGTTCAGTTCAGTTCAGTTCATTTTTATTTAGCCAAAATATAATACAATACAAGAATATATAAAGGAATTGTAAGGTTGCAAGGGAGCCCAGAAGAAACCAGAAGGCTTATGAAGCCTGGGCTCCCCAATCACAAAGAAATATTAAGTAAAAAAAAAATGAAATTCGCCGAGTGATACGTTAAAAATGGGAACTAAACAAAGACTGTGTTAAGTTATGAATTCAGTAACAAAATAGAAAAAGAATTTTAACTCTGGATTGGAACAGAAAACTTTCTTATGTTATTAAGGCAGAAAGGATTATAAAATCGATTTGAACTACGCGTTTATTGCTTAGTGCCGCCATGTTGTTTTTGATCAAGTCGAAGTTTATTACTGTAATCGCCATAAAAAAGGAGTAGTGCATTGATTCGAGATCAAAAATCCAACAAACACATTGCAAACGGATATAAAAAGCTAGTTCGTGCTTTAAACGCGAGCCTGTACAATTTTTAGTGGCAAAAATCCTTGCCGTAAATCACTTACAGCTGCTTACTGCTGGAAGCCCTTCCTGTGGTTCAAAAGTGAACTGCAAACTGCAAACATGACCGCAAGGCCGTGGTCTCGTGACATTTTGTGGTTTGCGGTTTTCCATGAAAAAAACCTGATGCTAAAGGTCTCTATTAACTAAACGCACATCCACAGGCTTTCTTTTTTATCAAAAAGTAGTTCTGAACATTTCAATTAGATAGAAATCTCGTCCTGAGTAGTAGTCTTGTACTTTTCCCCTTTCAGATGCACCTGGGTTCACCAAACATCCTGACAATATCGTGAAAATAGAGGGAGAGACCGCTATCTTTAACTGCACTGTAGATGGAAACCCTGAACCCAGCATTGACTGGACAAAAGATAACGTGACTCTTAACATCGCAGCGGATCCGGATCTAAGCCAATCGAACTCAGGAAAAGTTCACTTTTTAGAAATACAGAATGTTCATCGGTCGGATAAAGGGCAATACAGATGTGTGGCAAACAATAACAGTATCGGTTCTGCAACTTCGTTGGCCGGAACACTCTCAGTGCATTGTAAGTACCACTTTGTATTTGAAGCTGTTCACATAATAGGTGACTTGCTGCATCGACAATTATGTCAATCAAACCAGGCCGGATCGGAAAAAGGCTGATTCTCTATTAGTTTATTCGAATTTTGCTCATGAGGGTTCGGTTTCACAGCTACTGAGGTTATACATTGTATATAAATGCTACCGTGCAAAGTACTTACCAGTTATCAGGGACAAGCATGTGAGCTCCTTCTCCTTTCGCGTGTTTCCTCTCCCTTCCGTAGTATTAATAAAACGTTTGCTTCACTACTGTTCTGTATATATCTTTGTTTATCACAGATAAACCTGAGTTTTCTGTGCATCCACAAAATGCGACACAGATAGAAGGGTCTAACGTTTCTTTCACTTGTAATGCAACTGGAAATCCTGCACCTACATTCCGATGGACCAAAAACGGTTCTGTTTTAACGACCGGTTCAAGAATCAGTTTGTCATCAGACGACAAACAGCTCACTTTAACGAATGTGACTAGAGAAGACAGTGGGCAATATGTCTGTGAGGCAACTAACAATGTGAGGACAGTTCCGTCCGATTCTGCTACACTAAATGTAAAATGTAAGATTACTTTTTATAATTATTACCTAATTACTGCTAAAAATACTCTCTAACCTGTTGTGTCCTTTTTAATATGCAATTTTAATAAAATGCATGATTTTTGTTTTTTTGCATTTCATTGTTGTTTAAAATTCTGGTACCTTAGTGTGGTTACCTATGTTTTTACATATATAGTCTAGAGAAGAAGCAAACAAAGCAACACGAGGTCTTATTCAAAGATGAATAATTCCCTAAACCAGAAAGTTTCCCTGTCCATCAAACCTTAAAATTGGCCTTTTTTAGCCCATTTAGCTCCTTTCGTAGAAGGCCATGACAGATTCCCCAAATCTTTCATTTGCTTTAATTGATGAAATCCTCACCTTTCATCTACCGAAAGTCTGAAAAAGGGGCCCCTTTCTTTCCCTCCCGCGCGCCGGTTACACAGGTTGCTTAGCGACAAATAAATAATTTTCATGCTCTGCTATCAAGTGTTTTAAAATTTTGTAACTCCTCAGAGTATGGATGCTTTTACTCATCACAGTGATATCCTAAGGGCTGAAGTAATCTGCTCTGTGAGGCAAACTAAAGTCTTTATAAGACTATTTAAGATTCATTTGGCGTTTGGTATTTCCCCTTATTTCTTACTTCAATCGCATTGCCTTCTAATTACAGATTAGCATGAGTTCCTTACGAATCCACGAAATGAGACAAAGACTGTAGATTTTGTCCGGGAAAATAATGTCTACAAAGTTTGCGCCATTGACTAAATTCGTATATACAGGCTTTTTATTTATTAAAAAGGTAGTTCGGAACATTCTACTTAGAAATCTCGTCCTGAGTAGTAGTCTTGTACTTTTTCTCTTTCAGATGCGCCTGGGTTTACCAAACATCCTGTCAATACCGTGAAAATAGAGGGAGGGACTGCTGTCTTTAACTGCACTGTAGATGGAAACCCTGAACCCAGCATTGACTGGACAAAAGATAACGTTGCTCTTGACATCGCAGCAGATTCAGATCTAAGCGAAACAAACTCAGGAAAAGTTCACTTCTTAGAGATACAGAATGTTCATCGATCAGATGAAGGAGATTACAGATGTGTGGCAAACAACAGTATCGGTTCTGCAACTTCGCAGGCGGGCTCGCTCTCAGTGCATTGTAAGTACCACTTGTTGCATCGACAATAATGTCTCAATCCATGTAAAGGAATCCGGATTCCGGGAACCGGGCAATTTTTGCTGTGGAATCCGGTATCCTGGGCTTTGGAATCCAGAATACAGCTAAAAAAAAATCTGGAATCCTACTAAGGATTGGAATCCAGTAGCTGGAATCCGGAATCTACGGCATGGAATCCAGAATCCAAGGCTGTCTTGGATTCCGTCGCATGAGGCAAAATGTCAGTCAAACCAGGCCGGATGGGAAAAAGGCCGATTCTCTATTGGTTTAGGCCATCCTCATAAAATCATAAAATGTTTCGTTTCCCATCGCCCTCCCTCTCGTGAAGGTGGGTCGGTTGGTCGGGCAAGAAAAAAAAAAGAATGAACACATGATTGCATATTAAATCTCACGTTTAGTCTGCAAGATATAATCAGATGGTAAAAGATGTATATTTACAGGACTATCAAATGACTAGACAAAGGCTACAAAAAAGAAGTATCGATGATAATTTAGGACAATTGGTGGTAATAAGACAAGATCGTGTGCTTGTAAATTAAAGTGCTTGCTTCTTTACAAGTGATTTTGGAATTTTTTTTTTTTTTTTTTTTTTTTTCCAAAAAAAATGGGTCGGTCGGGCGATGAGAAACGAAACATTTTTTGGGGATGGCCTTAAGCGAAGTTTGCTCACTGGGGTTGGGTTGCACCGCTTTTTGCATGGCCCAGAATTCTTTTGTCTTCCGCGACATGTACTTACAGTGCCCAGTTTCTCAATGCGCTGCATAATAATTGAATAAATAAGCTTTCGGAAAGCCAGCTAAATGCCGACTATTCTCGTAAAAGAATCGGTAGCTGTCAATCAAACGGTTTGATGCGTGAAGTGTGAATCTCTATGGTAAATCTCTAGGTGTGAAAGTGAGTACGGTAATTGCACTCTAATTAAGGCCGGCCCAGCGTAACAAAGAATTTATTCGCGTGCACTTGTTTCAGATGCCTTTAGAATAATCTGACTTCTCGCGACGGCCAAACAGTCTCTCTCAATACATATTTTGATCCTGAGGCTATATACATCCTCGGAGACCCAGGGGCAGTCAGTCGGGTCGAAATAAAAGGCGGCCTTTTCTCTCGACCCGACTGCCTGCCCCTGGGTTTCCGAGGATGGGCTATATACAGCTAAATCAAAAAAGGTTGATTGGTCATTGGTATTTGGGCATATAGAACAATTCAATGATTTTCTTGAGTAAACACCAAACAATAGCTTCCCAATGCCCAGTAGCACACGTTCAATATATTAAAATTCTGACATGACTCTTAGGCCTCAGGGCCAAATTGCAAATTTTTCACGACCTTATTGTCTCACAATTCCAAGAAGAGACTTGAGCACAAAGAAGATCAAACCAATTATAGAAAAATGACCAGAAAGCCTCGGAGTCATGTTAGAATTTTAATATATCGGACGTGGGCTATTCCTAATGCTCAAAGCAATCCTTATTGAACCAGCTATATAAAAACTGATTTGTTCAATACACTAACCATCTATACATAACTGAATGCCATAACACGTTCCATATAAAGCAATAGCGGTATTAAGAACATAGACGATTTTTCCTTGTCGTAAACCTGATCATTAGCCGACTCGTGATACCTTATAATTAAAAAAGATGAAAATACTCACGGCCATTAATTCCATAGAAGCCGGCAGAGAAAGAATAGGAATGGCACAATAAGTAGTAGTCGGACTTGTTACGTACAAAGAAGGCACAAGAAGGAAAGCGGAAACAATAGAGACCAACATACAGACACACACGGATGAAATCACGATTTTTTTTTCGTTTGAAATGAGGACCGTCTCGTTTATCCTTGAAAAACGACGTGAAACTACCCAATTTCATGTTATGTAGGACATGCGAAGAATTTTTCTGGCTTTTTATTTATTTTGAATGCGGTTTCTTATAATTTAAACTCCAGGAAAATTCGCGTTCATCTGAGTCAAAATGTCAAATGGGTTGTAACAATTGCGATGAAGTTTTTAAAAGAACGGAAATACTTTTTAGTAGTGATGTTTTCACTGACGTCCTCGTCGCTGCCGCGTAAAATCCCTATTGAGACGGATTATCCTACCATAATCCGTCTATTCCGTCAAATCGGTCATTAACACCAAGGTGTGATTAGCAAAAGCTTTTTTTCGGTTTCCTTTAAAGTTATGCAAACTTTTCAAAAGGTTCGACATCTCTTGAGCTCTTTTTAGGTATTGATTATTACCGGATTTAATAGAAGCAAAACTGATTTAATTTTTTTTCCAACGGAGATTAATTAATTATTTTGAAAATATGAACAAACAATAATAAGAAGAAAGGAAAAGCAAAAAAATGCCAAGTATAAAGAACCGATTCCGGTTCATCCCTGTTGGCCATATTTGTAGTCGATGGAAGACCGCGGAAGCCATCCTGTCCTTTCTAAGGCTGAAACTAAGAGTGAAAATTAAGAGACCTTTTTTAAAAAATAACTCATAAGACACAAGTTCCTTACCAAAAATGGTTTGAAAACTCCATTTTTAGAACTTCCGATCTGTTTTTGTGTGAAGAAAGGTTAATCCGGCTTTATAATGGTCGGGTCCTCACCTTGAATAAAAAGGTTATCGCGTGTTAGTTTCACGCCAAAACATGTCAAATAGTAATAATAAAACAGCATGATACTGAACCTTGGAAAAGTAAAACTATTGTTATTTTATTAAACATAACTTAAGTTGTTGATGTATATGTCATTGTTTTGACTTTTACCGTCTTTTAAAAAAGGAATGCGTGACGTCAAGAGATTGTCTCGAACTATCTCTTCGTGATATTTCCTTGTGTGTTGCCCCGACAACTTGAGCCGATATATTCGCTTTTTATCAATTGTATCCTTTATTTTCTAAGTTGCTCTTTTCAACTGAACTCAAGAAATTTAGAAATGAACGTAAATAGCGTCGAAGTTACGAATTTTCGACAAATCTTAACATTGTTAAGGGCGATTAATTATGGAAATGTGCGGTTTATTTCGAGTCGTGACCTCACAAAGTACTTTGCCAATACGCCACCCTCGCTTTCGATTTCCGCTCAGGGGAGGGGAGAGGAACATTTCAGCTCCGTCAAGTTTATGCTTTCAAAATATGGACGAACGTCTTGCAGGAAGAATCGTCCTAAAATATCATTCGTCTTGTTGGTTTTCTCTCTTTCTGCTGTTGGTATTCCATTCGCCCGTTATTAGTGAAGGTAATAACTCTTTTCGATTTTGAAACCAAACGTTTTTACTACTTATTCGTTGAATTCACAAAGCGGAAATAATTTTACGTTTGTGTATTTACAGTCAGGTGTACTAGTAGTAATATGAGTCACTTCTGCCAGTAGCCAATCAGCGACGAGTATTTAGGTCACGTGGTACAAATGGACCAATCAGAGAGCAGTATTTTTGTGTCATATCAAATCGCATGGTACAAATTACCCATGATGCACCTTGATTAGCTGTCAATCAAACTTGATGACGTCATGGCAACGTCATAGAGTGTGACGTCATAGGGCGTGACGTCATGGGAGGGGGTGGTTCCTAAGGAATAATCACGTGACACATTGCATTTTTTTGTTCTCAAACTTCTACTTTATTTAACTAATGATACAACTCATGTTTATTAAACTACAGTATAATGAATGTCAATGTCACTTTGCAAGGTTGGTGGATTGAGGTTTCCGTCAGCATACAATACAGTATCGGGTACATGCGGTGTTACGATGGTATTATAACGTTCTCCGAACAAGTTCCTTGCATGGGCTTCGAAAATGTTTTTCATTGACAGTCCTCGTTCGGGGGTAGTTTCTCTTTCAAGTTCTTGCTTGATGGTAATCATGCGGTCATGCCATTCTTTCACTCGACGAAAGGTAGTATCTTTCCAATGAGGAAATGCCTCGTAAATGTCATCGAGACTCACCAGGTACTTATGGTCTACGGGCCAATAGCTTTCATCGAGTGCTTCGCACTTTCTTTTGTCTATCCACTTGGTGAGGTCACACACGATTCTGTGTAGAATATCCAGCTGCTCTTCTGTATAGGTTTCGTTTTCCTTGTTATTTGCCAGAAACAAGTAGTGCCAAATGAACTTTTGCACGGTGGCTCTTCGCTTGAAATTTACGCGATAGTATTTGGTCAGGGAAAGCATGTCTATGATCCACTCGGCAGTGTTATCCTCTTCAAGGACCATGCGGGTCGCGTCTAACAGTGTACCGTTGGTTACGACGGGAGGTAAATCGTCAACGTAGTTGCTTAAATCTAGCATGGGTTGCGGCAGGATATCGCTGTAGGCAGCCATGTTGGAAAAACTGAAGAGAAGTGGTGTTGTGCAATGGGTTATAAGGGAGGTGTGAACCAATCATGTGGAAGGAAAGGGGTCATGTGATAAGGGTGAGCCAATGGGAGAGAAGTAATTTTTTTTGCGTGAAAAGAGGGGGTATCCCCCCCCATACCCCCTTTTTTGACCCCTTTTTTGGAGAGCACGTGGTTAGGCGAGGTTACCTATTGAATCAGAGAGTATAAGAGCAGAGAGGGTTGGAGTGTTTCATTTGCGTTTTTTCCAAGATGGTGACCAGAGCTTTACCAATCAAGTTTGGCAGGGATGATGGTTCGTATAAGGAAACCGGATGTTTTATTTGTTTAAAGGAAGAAAAAGATTTGCCTGTGACATCATGTTGTGGGAAGATGGTTCACGAGTCATGTTTGATCAATTGGCTAGAGGTTTGCAAGGCTCCAAGTTGTCCTCATTGCAGAACAGAGATGGTCACGGTGAGTAGAGAAAAAAAACGGAGCGAGGTTTTGATCCTCGGACCTTTGGCTTATGAGGCCAATGTGCTAACCACTACACTACTCTGTTTTGTAGATACATGTTGTGCAGAATCGAGCGATATATGATAGGATGAATGCTGACTTGGGGTCTGAGACCACTCGTAAAGTGTATCAAGATAGGAGGGATCGTTTTTATTTGGATTTTGCGATGATGACATGCGATTGTGGGGATGAAGTGAAAGGAGTGGTGCGGATGGAGTTTTTTTGTGGACTGACTACATTTATAGAAAGTATTAAGGCAATCAGAGGTGTAAAATTGAAAGTAGTTTAATAACATGATGTGAATAAAGTTGTTTTTACAAGTTTTAACTGAAGTTTGACAATGTGTTCATGTTTTCCCTTAAGAGGATTGTTTTCTTCGCCGTCGTTGTGTACGGGTATCGTAGGGTAACCAATCGGAGATGAGTTTTTCTGTTTCTGTTTGTCTTCATTTTTTGGTGGTGGTTGTCTTTTTTCTTGTCTGGGGTTGTCCTCTCATGAGGTTGAGAAGTAATTTTTGAAAGGCTTTGGTTTGTTCATCTTGCCGGATAATGGAGTCAGTTGTATCATCTGGTGTGATGGTGGAGGTAAAGGGACCTTGTTTATATTTTCGTAAAGCTTTGTTGAAGGTGGAGTTCAATGCCTTGACTTTGGCTTTTTTAATGGCAGGAGGAATATTTTTGTTGGTGAGGACTTTGTGTCTTGTAGCTGCAAGTTGAGTGGCTGTGGTGAGAGTGGGATCACTGGTGATGCGTTCTTTGTAGAGATTGGTTAATTTACCCAGTTTCTCTGGGGGAATCATGAGTACTTGATTCATGGTCTTGAGCTGAGATGATGCGTCGTATTTGTTCTTGATAGTAACGTTTGGTAAAGTCGAGTTGTCGTTGTAGTTGTTCCAAATCTTTGTTTTGTTGTTGGATGATGGTCACGAGGTTAGTAGTGCAGCTTTTATACTCTTTGCATTTTGTGCATCGTTTGGATTTTACCGGGAGACACATCGACATACCTCTTGTAATCCTTTCCATAATTGTCCACCACCGCGTTGTTTCATTAAGAGCTGTTTGCGTTTTTTAAGTGAGGCACCTTTCTTGGCGATGGATCTTAAGAGGTTTTTGTGTGGTTTCAATCGACCAATGGTTTTGTTGGACACGGGAATGTTTTTTTTTAACAAATTTAAGGTGATTTCGCTCAAGGCATTAACCTGTTCTTTGTTGGCATGACGGATTTTGTCCATGCGTTTGAATCGATTGCCTTCTTTGAGGATATTTTGAATGAAGGGAACGTGTGGTTTGACTCTATTCATCCTACTCGTTTACGTCCAGTGGCCTGCGGTATGGCCGGTTGGGGTATGACTGTTTTGGAGCGTTTACTCTTTGATTTGCCGTTTCCTCCTTTACTTCCATATATAGCTGTTCCGATACCTGCAGTTGCAACACCGGTAGCGGCGGCGGCTCCAGCGGCGGTTCCGGCTGCTTTTCCAGCTTGTTTGAGTCCTTTTCGGACTGTTTTTCTCATGGTTTTTTTAGCGACGGTTTTTGCAACCTTTTTACTGAATTTTTTTCCTGACACTTTGGCTCCTCGTTTGGCTGCTTGTTTGGCTGCTTGTTTGGCTGCTTTTGTAATGGTTTTTTTCCCGACTGTTTTTAAGACGCGTTTGGTAACACCTTTGGTAATGGGTTTAAGACTTTTTCCCACTGTTTTCGAGACAAGACGTCCCCATCCACCTCCATGTTGTCGTAAATAATTTTGATATTGTTTGGCGTTTTTGAAGTACAACCAAGGTTCTTTGATTTTTCGGTCAAATTTTGGTGCCCGATAAGTCCCAGTGGCACCTTTGGCTCCTCGACGTTTATAGTCTGGGTTATGTCCCATGGACATACCGAGTTCGGCTGCTATGGGTATGATGGTTTCGAGACCTATTCCGCCGTATTGTTTTCGTCTTGGCATGGTGGTTGTTTTGAGGTGGATGTATCATCCGTTTTCTCTTTATATGTTTTTTGTCCATCCAGTTGATCGTTAGGGCATTTATAGTAGCGTAGGATATGATCTGGAATAGGAGGGGCAAAATCAATAATGACCTCTTCTAAAATTTGTTGTTTGAGTAGAAATTCATCCGTTGCAGATAATTGTAGAGCACGTAATTCCGTGAGTGCTTTGACATGAGTGGAATAAGCAAATTTACTCATGTCCATTTTGATGGAGTATCGTTTAAAATCATTCCAACCTTTGATGAACATTCCAACAGCTGCTAAGATGGAAGTGAGTAATACATTTTGTAAAACAGGTCCAATGATGAGTCCCAAGGAGGTAGCGAGCAGAGAGAGAATATTGAGAATGGTATAGATGCGTTTAAATCGAAAAAACATTTGTCGATGACACCACCATTGACGATGATGATACGTGTAGACTTGATTCATGGTGTAACTCTTGTAGACGTTCTTGACACGGTGGGTCTGTTTCTACGATTATTGCCCACGCGTGTCCTTGTATTGGTGACGGTGGGACGTCGTCTATTTTGTTTGTAAGTGGTAGTGACTGTGTTGGTGGTAACAATGTTACTAATTTCTCGATTATCTTGAGCAATGTCATCTAATAATAAACGGAGTTGTTGCTGCATACGCCCCCGAGCAGGGGCGGTGGTATTAGTAGTAGCGGTGGGTTGTCTATTGCGTCTTCTTCTCGCTGCACCTGACCTAGTGGCAGTGGTGGTTGTGGCCGTAGCAGTGGGTGCTCGCCTTCTTGCCCGTGAGGGTCTTCTTGCTCTGGATCGAGAGGTAGTAGTAGTAGTAGTTGGTCTCCTCGGTCGCGGTGGTGGTGGTGGTGGTGGTGGCGGTGGCTGCCTTGTTGTGGTGCCTGGTCCAGTGCTGATGGGAGGTGCTGTATCGATATCGGCTTCATCCAAGGCTTGTTGAACAAGATCATCAGGGGGTTCAGTGGGTCTTTGTCTACTGCTTGTACCTATCCCAGTGGTGATGGGTGGAGTCACTTGTCGCGGGGGTGGATCGCCAATGCGTGGAGTGTCTGAATCCACCGGTGGTACATTGGCCACATATTCAAATAAACCTCCAAAATCACCTGGATTGAAGCCAAGATCTTGCACTTGTTCAGCAGCGGTGAGATTTTGTACATATTGAGTAGCAGCATCGGGTGACCTTATGGGTCCTTCGGGACTTGAGTCCATCCTTTAGTCCACAAGTGTTCAATTAAGTCACTGAAATGAGTTTCGTTGTAGTGATGGACGACTGTTTGAATTTGCCGTTTTTGTCTGTTTCGAACATGATTATATACTGCTTGGAAAGGAATGTAGTCCATGTCATCAGGTGACATACCTTGTAGATAATTGTGAAATACTTGTTCTACGTGTTGCCATTGTTGCTTTCTATGTTGGATGGCCTGTTTGATTTCTTGGACATCGGTTGGTAAGAGAATATTGTGAAAACGATCGTGTTCGAGTTTCATCATAAATGATTCATGGAAATCATCTAAATCATCCACGGATAGGATCATTTGTTCCAGTAGTCTCTCCTTCAGTCTGTATCTTGCCTCGTTTTTGCTTATGTTCCGATAAACCCTTACGTCTTTTTCGTCGCGTGACATGATGTGGATCAAACTGCCAACAATTGGTGATTCCCTGATCTTTTAAGACATTGCTAAGGACGCGTTGCGTATCGGGACTGGTGGGATGAAAATCCAATAAGAGATAAGCATGGGGTTGTTCTGTGACTTTTTGAAACGTATCCAATACAGTGGACCAATTGGTCGGAAAGGCTTGCATCAATAAATTTCGAATGCCCACTTGATCCCTTGGGTTTTTGAAAGCCCAGACATAATGGACATTTCTGGAGATGGTTTTGGAGTACTTTCCAATGGGGAAAATATCCTGTAGAAGATAAATGACGCTAACATTTTTGTGATGAGAATATTTGGTGAAAATATCCAAGATATTTTTATCGTTTCCGCATTCATCCATGAGATCGTCCAAGATTAGAATACCCCCTTTAGGGAACCAAGATGAAATGTGTTGTTCTTGGGGTACACCTTGATGAAAACGTATGCCATGTTTTTTCATGCGATCGTAGGCAGGTTGCCATGCTCCATAACAATAATGAATAGCATGGGGTTTGTCCTTGAAGAGGTCTAGGTTGTGGCATAACAGATTTTCGATTAAGTTGGTTTTTCCGCATCCAGATGGTCCCACTACCATGTGTCCCGCGGGGGTATAGAGTTGATAATTTTTGGGTAGAACAAACATGATGTAAAAAAAGAATACAGACAGGAGAAGGTTTAACAAGTCCTTTTATTGACAAGAAGTACACGTTTGTGAAATGGGACGATGACTTGCTTCGCGCCATGTTTTTGGATTAGTGATAAGTTTTTTTAACATTTCACCCACTTCATGATCATTGGCAACATAATCTTTTTCTGAAAAGTAGGTTAAAAAATCTTGCATGGAATAGCCTTTGGCTTTGGCTTTTAAATAAAATAAACAATAATGTCCGCATGCTTTGCTTGTAAGACTTTGTAAAGCTCGTCCGTTGGAAACAATGTATTTCCATTTTTTGGTCCATCTCTCGAGTGGTTTGGCTTGATAGTATTGCAATGGTAGACCATAACTGTCCATGATTTCGCAGATTCCTTGATCTGTCCAAAAGGCTATCCAATGGCGTCCAGGTTTATCGTGAGGATCAGTGTTGACGATGTAAGCGGATGTTCGTTTGGAAGGAGAAATGGGTAATTGATCCGAAGCGAAGACTCCTTGAAAATACGATTTGAGTACAGGATCTTGTTGAGCCAAATACGTTAATTGTTGATCACTGAGTGCTACTTCTTCCATGATTACTGGTAGATGTTGTACTCTACGTCATTCATGCTATCAATGGTCACCAGATTTTCAAATTCACCATAGACCAGCACTGTACTGACAAAGCCAGGAGCTGAATGTGCTTCGATTTCAATCCGTACGTTGCCCTTTTTATTGGGATTCATCATACCTGTGTCCGCATTACCACTGCCTACATTGTTCCACATGAACAAATTGCAGTTTCTATCTTCACCCCAGTCCTCCTCTCTCAACATGTTTGGCTGACTCTTGATCAATGCTCCACTGGCTTGTAGGAATCGGTAATAACCGTCATAGTCATACCGATCATCACGAGTCAGTTCGAGCGTGTCATTGTAGGGGTATTCTTCTCCTTGAACAAGCTGTCTGATGTACTTGATCTTGGCCTTGAGAAATGAGAAGGGGTAGTAATCCTTGGTTCCGTTGAAGGATCTGCTATCCACAATGCCTACGATCACCCTCTGTGGGACTTTTCCATTGAAGATATCTTCTTCCTCAAACCTTAGCTGGTTATCTGAGTTCCAGATAAAGGTTCTCAGTTCACTTCGTACCACAGGGTACACTGCTTTTTGGGCATTGTTTTGTGTTTTTAGCATGAGATCATTGTAGATAGAATCATTGAGCTTTAGTCGAGCCAGATGAAACCTCATGTCAATATCGCTCTCGGTGAAACGTAGTTTCTTGGTGTTAGTACCTGCTACCATGCTCCAGAATTTAGGATCATGAAAATGAAATTCAAACTGCATTTGTACTCCAGGTTTCAACACATAAGGAAACCAAAAAGGTTCCACATGGGGCCTCATTTTCAGACGGAGCTCTAGTAACGAATCATTAGTATCATTGAAGTACCTGCCAGATTCTGCCTTGATCAGGTTATAAGCTGCTTTTTGATTGCTACTCCAACCACTGATTTTAATGTCAGTGTTGGATGAGCTTGTTTCTTCCCATTCTTTGGGTACATCCAACGCATTGACCCATCCTTGTGGACGTAGGATGGTTTTACCATCTTCTCTGTCGTAGTTCAAGATGGTTTCAATCATGGCTTTGTAGGGATATGTGTCTGTGTGTGGATTGATCAGAGTGCCATTGAGTCGTACTCCAACTTGTTTGATCATACTGTGAGGCAGGTTGTTGACCAAGAAGAGATCATCCGCTGTTTTGATTGGTTTACCGTCGGTTTTGGCGAGTTTCAGTTTCATGGTGAAGTAACTCCTGGAGAGATCTACAAATTCTTGCATGGCTGGAAGATCAAACTGAATAGGGGTGATACTTTTGCCCACTGGGCTAAAGGTGGAAAATCGACAATCATTGATACTGATGTCTGTTCGGGGAACTTTGAAAATGTTCAAAACGGGGTTGACCCCCTCTCTGGAGTAAGCGTGAGCTTTGTAGATGTCAGTGTTCATCGTGTTCTGCGTGATTTTCGTCGTTTTGCAAGTCTTCTTATATAGTAATCTGGCAAACCTCGCGTCAAGGGATTAAATTCCCCTCTAGGACCAAAGATGGTTCCACCCACGCGTCTGCGTCGAACAGAGATGACACCTCCTCCTCTTTGTCCATAACGTTTTAAGGCGCGTAGTATTTTAGGTCGATTGTATGGGGGGCTCCATTGTCTGACCATTATGCAAAAATATCGCGAATGATGCGTTTCTTTTTTTTGATGGGAAGACGATTGGTTAAAGAAGCTGCTTTTCGTTTCAAGTTTGCTGCTTTTCGTTTCAAGTTTGCTGGAAGTTGTTTCAGCTCAGCTGGAAGTGATTGAATCACGCGTACGGTATCGAGTCCTTTTATGGATAATCCACCCGTTTGATTAGCAGGGCGTCCACTTCCTGTGGAACGTTGGCCTCGGTTTGGATCGTATCGCGTCAAACTTCCTCCTATCATAGTGTGTCCTTTTTTTTTCTTGGTATGAGAGAGGGTTTGCCTTTTTATTCTCTTTTGAAGTGTAAGACCAAGGTGGTCACTCCTTGTCCGAAATCCAAGAGGGTATTATCGGTTTCGGTGATTTGTACTTCTAGGATCTCCATATCTGAACTGAGTACATCGTGATATTGGATCATATGGGGTTCAAAGTGAAAATGATCGTTTTGACCTTGGCGAGGATCATAATCGACTTCTCGCAACAAGGACACGACTTGATCCCCCACGATGGTGCTTGCCCCCACGTTGGAGTAGACGTAAAGTGTTCGTTTGTGCCGTTTGGTGACTTTATCAAAAATGCGATTTAAATGGGTAAATCGCCATTGAGCTGTTCTACTCAGTTGAACAGCTAGTTCAGATGGTATCTCTTTAAACAAGACATTACCAGTTAATTCCGTTGTATCTTTTCTTGTATTGTCTCTCAAATGAGGAATGAGGTGATGATTGAGAAATCGGGTAATATCTCCATCTTTGTCATAAGTAGTCCACATCATCAATTTGGCGAGACGACTATCGACTTTAATGATGGGAGAACCTGATGACTCATTTCCATCTTGTCCCAGATGTAATTGGTAATCATCTCCACGAGGACTGAATTTGAATGGTGCCCAATCTTCAGGTTCCACTCTGTAACCAGCATCGAGTTCTCCATATCGTCGTTCTTCGAGGATATGACTCATCATTGTAAAAAAATCAACTCCACTTTTAAAAGAATGCGAATGGACTTTCATATCACCCAGGGTAACGAAAGCTCGTTTCATCTTGTAGTTACTTCCATGTTTACCTGTTTTATTTGTAATGGACATGAGCCAGCTGCTATTGGTGATTCCTTCCTTTTCCATTTCGTGTAAAAAACACACGTTGGGGATCGTAATACTGGCCAGACCCACTTTCCATCCAGATCCTTCCAATGCGAGTCGATTGGGTAAACGCACCTTGAAACTTCCGGGCGTATTCCCTTCAAAGGATGGACGAGGAAAACTGGGTAGAGTGATGAAGAAACTCATGTTGCTCGTTTAAAATGAAGGGTGATAGTGGTTTGTGCGCCGCGTAATTGAAGTTCTTCACCCAAAATATTACATAGTTCAATCTCAATGTTTTCGATCACGGGTAGACGGACGGGAATGTAACGAATGGTGTTGGGTTCAATCCGATACGTACCACTTTGTTGTCTTTTATGAATAACTTCCGCCAGTACGTTTACTAGTGTGTCGTTGAAGATACTGCTTTGGATTAAATTGGATCGAATCTGAACGTATTGAGAACCATGTTGCGACGGATCCGTGTGAATGGTAAAGGTCCAATTGGCAGCGATGCTTAAATACATTTTATTGTTATGCGCAATTCCCCAATAAGAATCTCTTGGACGTGATCCCCAACCTTTGTCAATCCATTCACTGTGAAGGTCCCAAGCATATCGATCGTTTCCATCTGCGTTTTTTAAATACGTAGGAGTAAGATTGGGTCCAAGCGAGTAGATATGTTGATCTCCATCTATTTTGTCCGTGAGCCATCCCATTTTGATGGCCAATATTTTGCTTATGTAGAGATGAGGTGAAAACGATCCTAGATTGGTGTGGGTATTGTCCAAGAATAAGTTACCATTGCTCAACCAATCAAATTTGAAGGAAGTACGAGTCAAGCTTGGATACTGTGAATTAGACCTGGAAAATATGGAGTTGCTGTCTTTTTTCTGTGACAATAGGGAGTGGGTGTAACCAGTGATGATAGCATGGAGCAATTCGGTGCTCGTCTTTGCTCGCCCTATTAGAGATTTGGTAAAATCAAATGTTCGTGTAAATTCTTGACCCACTGCCTGCCCCGATGGAGTATTGAATTCATTCCAGACGAAGTGGATGAGAGGTGTATTACTTGGAATACCATCCAAACTTTGTTCCAAATGACTTGCATCGGGTAGAAATAAAGATGCCATACCAACCATCCATGGACCATCCTTGAGTTCAATGGTATTGGCAATTCTTTTTTGAAAATGAGTAATGGTATTGCGTGGAAATTCATTGTCGGGTTTGCTAGTGAGAGTGACGTAAAAGGAATCCATCTGTCTTAGGGTTCTATCTGGACCAATCTACCTCCTCGTTGTAAGAATGCTTTGGTGATCTTTTTTTTAGCACCAGGAACCCTACTGGCGACGCTTCTGAAACTGGAGACGTTGGGAAAGACAATGACGGGTGTTTTGGCATCTGGAACGGCCTTGATGAGTGATTTTATACTCCTAGATACTGCGCTTTTTCTTCTTCGTCTGCTTTTGTTGATGGTGGGTTTTCGAATATCTTGCAACCTCACTTGAGGCTGCATGAGTTTAATACCTTTTTTCTTTCGCTGTACCATGATTTATTTACTCTGGGCTTGTAACAATAAAGTGGATTGTTTGTCGCGTAAGACCTTTATATCTTTTTTACTCATCCAAGTATCGTATTTCGAGGGCCAACCCTTCCATCGCACCAACACTTGATTCTTTTGACGTTTGACCACTTTATCGATGCGAAACACGTGATCATCAGGAATGGTGACTTTTTGAAGATCTTCATTGTAAAAAGTACCGCGAATGACGGTTCCGTCCCATTCTTTGATGCGATAAGTGGGTACAGGGGTCTTGTTGACTAGATCCACTAAAAAGACTTCTTCAGTCCATCCTGGCAAGTATCCTTTTTTAAACACTCGATGTTTTTTATTCAATCGAACTCTATCTCCACGTTGAAATTGTGGTCGAATCGATCGAATGGTTTTACCGTACAAACGATTCCATACTGTTTTTTCATTGGCAAATGTCACATCTTTAGGGGCCATCCCAATACTTCGATGTTTACTTCGATTGTAACCACGGACAATGGCTTGTAAGACATTTTCGTAGCGTAAGGTATTGGCGGAGGTGAGATAACGATAAATCCGTTCTTTGATGGTCCGATTGACTCGTTCAGCCATGGCTGCTTTATCGTCTCCATACGTGGAAAAGAGATGAATTTTTTCCCCCTTGAGAAATGTGTCGAAGGTTTTGTTGTAGAATTCTTTCCCTTGATCCGTTTGCAGTTGAATGGGTTTTCGTCCTTTGGCCAAGATGGTTTGAAAAGCTCGAACCAATTCGGTGCCTGTCTTATTTTTCAAAGGAACCACCCAGAGAAATTTCGATAAGGCATCCACCACTGTCAATAGGTACTTGTACCCCTTGTTATTTCGACTCAACGATTGTACATCAATGAGATCCGCTACCCATTGATGATCTATACCATACACCATCACTCGAGCTTTGGGAAATCGTTTTCGTCTTGGGCGATGGAGGGTATAACTCAAATCTTTGGATAAGATTTGTTTGGCTTCTTGAACAGGAATCCCTTGCGCTTTGGCAAATCGTGCCACACCCCCCAGACTTCCATCGACATGGGGATTATTGTACAAACTCACCAAATCTTTTTTACTCATTCTATCCAATGACTCAACAACTCTAACCACGAAGGAACTTGAGATCGAAATTGATCTTCAATGCAAAAATACCACTCGGCTGCCAACGGGAACTGTTTTAACCACACGACATACGTGACAAATCTCCCCCAATCCCCATGAACATGCGTCTCTTTAAAGGTTTCCACGGGATTACCCCATTCTTGCAAAACAGGCTGCTGGGAATATTTTAAAAATACACGAGCGCAAAGAAAACGAATCAAACGCCAACGCAAATAAGACCTCATTTTTTTTTCTTTTTTTAAAAAATAACTTTTAATGACAACTCACTATATACACTTTTTTTTGGGGGTCTCATGCAAAACTAGCTCTAAGTTCATTCCACAAAAAGATGGGTCTAAAAATATGATGCTTACGCGTATAGTCATTGTCTTCATCATAATAACGAGTCAATACCTTACTATCGATGATTGCATGAGATATGTGATAACCGGTTAATAATCTATCTGTTATATAGGTGTATTTTCTTGGACGATATATACTTTCCACCAGATAACCAAATACAAATATTTTGTAACGAGGAAGATCTTTTCTCGGAAACATATCTTGGTGACTATATGCCACGCGATAGAGTTTTCGTCTCGCAGTCAGATGACAATGATGGCATACAATATCATTGGCCCCCGAAAAGATAGAATCAATTGGAAGATCAATAGTACGATTCATGAAACACAGTTCCTTTCTACAATCCCAACAGAGATTTTTTTTCCATAGTCAAAGGGAAACAATTGTTCATGCAAAGCTTTCCATCCCATCTCATTTCTGGCATGCACCATAGCTGGCCAATAAATGCGTTCTTGAATAAAATAGGGTAAAGAACCCCAAGGTAATGTCTCATCAAAAATGGACTCCATGCTCAAAGGCAGTCAACGAGTTGGATGGTACTGCTCTTGTATAGTAGACAAATGGATCTCTGCGTGGTCCGCCGCCGCCGCCGCCGCCACCGTCTTCGCGCGCGCCGCCGTCTTCGCGTGGAACCCCCCAGCCGCTGCTGCTGTTATCTGTTTTCGCCAGGTTTTTTCGTTTTTCCTCCATGTCTGCTTTCAAGTTGGTAAAGTACTGCTGAAAGGCCATCTTTTTGCAAGCTTCTTTGTGTTCTTGCGCTTTTCTTTTGGCTTCTTCTCGACTCGCTGGCACGGGTAACTTGTTGAATTCAAATCGCATTTCATCTTGCCAGGCTGCATTCTTGTTGCTAAAGGGTAGATCAAACCACTGGAAGTAAGGACATTTCAACTCTTTGCACCAATTGTTGCAGCTCAAGTACAAACGATTGGGATTGGCTTCAGATTGACTCAGTTTCAGGATAGGAGTGAAATGACAAAAACACTTCAGAATGTCCCAACATTCAATCACATCTTGACTGGGTGGTGTGTAATGCAATGCTCGTAGATAAGCATCGATGTTACTGGCAAATAGAAACACGGGGCAATCCAGTTCTGGGCAAAACAATACTTCTTGTTTTTCAATCTCATCGGGTGGTTTCCTACGAGTGAGAGGTTTCAAGTGGAAAGGACATGTTAACAAATCCACTACTTCTAAAGGAGCTCGAGGTGGACTCCGACTTTGAGGTCCAGGCGGACTTCCAACTTGAGGGATCATATCCACTTCAGCTAACAAGGACTGAATGGCTTGATCTTTTTCGTGCTCTGATTTTTCTTCGACCCACTGTCCATCTTTCATCACATAATTTTTCTCCACCACGATAGGTTCAGGTGTTTCTTTGAGAGAATCGGTCTTCAAAACAGGAGAATCTGTTTCCCATTTGGGTTTTTTCTTCTTTTTTTCTTTGGAAGGATCTTTCTTAGTATATTTTCGTTTCACGGGTGGAGCCTCATCAGTGGTGGGTGATTGCATGATGCAACTGATGAAAATGAGGAGTTGCTCCGAGACTATATAAGTAGCGAGCTCATACTCAAGAACCAATCAATTGTTTCAAGTCGTCAGCAGTACAACTTGTTTATCCTGTTTAACTTGTTTATCTTGTTTTTAAACCTGTTTAACATGTTTCAGAGAACAAGTATATTAGCAGTGATCCTCAGCCATTTCTTCATTTTAACCATGGCCAACAATTCTACTTCTCCTCTAGATCCTTCAAGAACCTGGCAACATTACAGAAATTTTCTGGAAAAAAAAGGCGAGTTTGAAGAGAAGACAGAAGAACCGATGGAAATACCAGAAGGGGAAAAATACACCATTGTGACCGGTGGAGCCCAAGGAGCCGATACCTATGCTGAACGATTGGCCTTAGCGTATGAATGTAAAGTTGAGATTATGATAGGACCTAATCATCCTAGAGCTAATTGTATCAGCCCCATTGTACCTGTCTACGCGGATCTTTTGAATGCTCAACGAGCTGCTAGACAAGCCCAGAAAGTCTTGAAAAGGAATGTTGAAGTAGGAAAAGGGGGCTATTTTGATGAATTGTTAATTCGTAACTATTTTATCGCCAAAGACTCTTATGCCTTGTATGCTTTTGGATACTTGGAATTCAACAAAACCAGAGTGGAAGGAGGAACGGGTTGGACCGTTCAAATAGCAGTGGATATGGGTAAAAAAATCTACTTGTTTGACTTGAACGAAAACAAGTGGTACGAGTTTATTTACTTTCATCTGGAAAAAGGATCTTATGAGAAGATTTTTCAGTTTCGACCCTTGAAAAGTGATTGCAAACTCACTCTAAACCATAAAGCAGGCATTGTTGGATCACGAAATTTCACCGAAACTGGTAAAAAAGAAATGAGAACACTCTTTCAACGTACCTTCTTAAGATGAATAAACCCAAGAAGAAAGTTCATTTCTGTTCACAAGTGAAAGTGTATCAACCGGTTTTAATGGGGCAAGCATACCTGTTAAAAAAACAGGTTTTAAACGATGAACAAGAACCCACCAATCGGGTGCTTTCTTTTTTTCAACAAAAACGTATAAAACTTCGACAACGTTTGCATCAACGGCATTTACTTCGAAAAAAACGACGCGCTGAACGAGCCAAACTCCATGAAAGACTATTACAAGAATCTTCGTCAACATGATTTCCCTTCATGGGATGATTATATGTTAACAAGAATCAAACGAGGATTGGAAGAAGGTTATACGTTTCAAGAGTGTTATGAACATTGGTTAGAAGATTTTTCCAACACATTGCATCAACTGAGTGACGAATTCCATGGACAAACTACTAACACAACATCCGATTCATAAGTACTCCAATTACCGACATTTTATTCGTGATTTAATTCAAAATGGTATTTCGAATCAAGGATATACCTTTGAACAGTTAAATTACGAATTGTATCGACTGAACAGTGAAATCTATCAAGAATACACCAAGGAACTGTTTGTAAATAATCATGTATATACTTCAAGATAAAAACATTCAAGATAAACTCTCGACCACTGGTTGGGCAAGAGATTGGGTATGGAGTGTCGCTTATGTCATGGTTCAAAAATTTGGAACTACTCCCACTATACAATTAATTCCTCCCAGTGTAGAAGCATGGAGTCCACAATGGTATACTTATCGAGGAAATTTAACAGATACATTGACTGATCTTTTACCCAAACTTACTTTTCATGAAATCGAAGAAGAATGGCAATGGAAAATGGTTGAAAATCATCATGAAAGTCCACAAGAATGGGGAAACAACATGGATTTTTGTTGGAGATTCATGCGACCCAAAGACTCTATCATTGAAACTTTATTGTGTTTATTTTCTTTTAATCTTAACAAATATGGTACTTATGATTACGAATATTTGGGTTTCTCGCATCAGGACATTGATCAACTGTTCCATTGGCAACGACAAATTCAATAAAGATTTTTTTTAACAAAGTTTATTGTGTCTTAAATGTTACAAGCGGGAACGTATGCATGTCCTACTGACTTGCGTCCCTTTTTTCAAGCAGCATAATAATGCAAATCATTCACATCATCTGTTAATAACATATACAACTTAATTACATCGTATTCGTAATAATACAAAAGTTCACGAGTGACACAAAATGTTAACTTTCGAGGTTGACTATTAAAGGATAAATCATACGCGCGCAAATTAATACATCCATCTCTTATTTCCTCCTCGGTATGATCTTCTATCACAAAAATTAAATCTGCAATTGTTAACATATTTGCTGAACGAAGTAAACATCTTAACATTTGCCCCATTAAAAACATTATTTTTAAAATGTCTAAATCATTGGCGAAATGATAAGTGTTTAAATTTGGATTCAGCTCAACAGTTATCCAAATAAACACCTCTGACATGGGAAATCCATCCATTCCAATTTCACCCCATTCGTTCACAAGCCAATCAACATGACGATGCAATTGTCGCTTCACGAGCGGGAAGTGAAAAAGCTACAATAACAAATTAAAAAATCATTACTAGTGACATGCATAATAGAACGTGTGTCGATTACTTGAAAATTGCTCAATGGATCCCCCATGTGTCCAACATGAAAGGCATTATCGTGAAATTCTCTGTACTTAAATTCAAATCGAGCCATTCCCCGTACAAATAAACACCGCTCCAACCTTTCAGCCGTGTGCGAACGTAATGTCAAGGTTAATGTCAAAGGCATAACAGAAACATCTTCAAATAAAATATTTCTTAATAAATCGCGTGAACCTGCATCCAAGACATTCATCAACACTCTTAATACATGCCCCAATGCATGTACCACTTGACGCATGGTTTCATAGGATAAATATGGATAATCATCGTGTAAGATATGAATCTCGCCTAGACTTTGTTCAATTTGGTGCATATCTCTCGCTTCTACTTCCTCCATAAATAATAACACTTGTTCCTTTAATTGATCCACACCAAACAACTATAAAAAAGAAACCAAATCAGCGGCACTTATAAAAACGCTATAATCTTCTATGATAAAATCACGTTCTACATCACGATCATGGGAATAGTACACATGAATTTGAGCAAATTCAGGTCCTAATACATAATTAAAAATACGCCTTAAATTATCTTCGATCATATTTACAACTTCCGTTATATAATTCCTCACTGTCATAGTGATCGACACATCAATTGGAGGAAATTGTGGTCCATAGAATCGACATGTGTGAATAACACTTTCTAAAATACGTCTCACTTCTACATCTTCAAATGGTCGATTGATCTAAGAGAAAAAAAACAAGACTACTGTATATAGAGTATTGGACATACAATCTTTTTTTTCACCACTCCCGAGATAACAAAAGAAATCGTTTCGATGTACTCGAATCGTTCACTCATGTAACAATCCGCGTAAAACACATACATGCTTCTTGGTAACACTCGATCTATAATACTATACCAACAATCTCGTATAATATCTTCCTCTATGATGGGTGTTTTTAATTTTAATGAAACAACGAGTCGAGAAGGTAAAATATTAAAGTCAACTCGACGTTCCAGAGGAAAATTCATCACTTCATAAATTGCTTTGTATAAATCCACCACATTCCAATAACCACGAACTTGCATAGGTAACAACTAGAAAAAAAACATTTTTTTCAACACATTGATAATGCAAACCACACAGTTGGACTACTGAATTGGGATGAAGTAAACTTCATAATTACTAATATACGAATAATATAATCCGATGAATAAGCATTCGAAGGAACCACTTCAGCATCACGACATTCAATACCACATGCCCTCATCTTATCTTGCCACGCATTTCCAAATTGTTGTAATGAGTTAGTTCGAGGAGCATCAAAAAACATCATTAAAGGACGTATAGTTAATTGTGCACGAAACCCCCATTGTCGTTCCATTTGCCATCGACTAGTTGCTACTAATGCTTTATACATATCAATCATTTTCAATACATCATCTGGATAATGAAACCAAGTACCACTCTCCTAAGAAAAACAACAAATAAATTCAACTCTTTGACATAGGATTGTATAACGAAGCACTAAAGGAGCCACGCGTGTATAGCTATCCCAATTACTCGGTGTAATAGGATTCACAAACATTAACATTAAACATCGAAATTCACTATGTCTTAGTGAACGATAAATAGGATAAAACACCGTCGAGATCATATCAAAATGATGATCTTGAAGCCATAATGGTCTCGTCTTTGGAAACAATGTGATACAAATAGTACGCTCTTGCTGCATATAGGCATCAGCTACCACTTGAGTGATATCATACAATAAATCATCCAATGATTCAACACGAATCCATCGTTCCTAACAGCAAACAAAAAAAAACAGTTCATTCCCCTTCTTCATCAGCTGAATTATAGGGAACCAATACTAATCCATTCAAATCAACTGAATCAAACGACCATTCATCATCACTCTCGTACTGCGTCACCTAAAAGAACCAAAAGTGACCATTCACTACAACACTCGCCATACCGTTGACTACAACCACTGTTTAATCTACAATAAAAAAAACAAATCAAAATGACTAACCCGTTCTATTTCTTGACGTAAATTGACATTGGATAGTAAGCGGTCCAAACGTTCAATCACTTCATCCCTACTAAAGTTACCAGGCACAGGAGGTATTGGATCTACGTCATGAACATCATCCACAGGTACATTAGTGACTTCTCGACAAAACGGGCAACTATTATGGCCACGTTGATACCAACCCTCTAAACAGCGTTTATGGCAATATTGGTGGCAACACGTTAACTGAGTAGCGCGTAAGTCACAGGCTTCTCCTTCAACCAAACAGATACATCGAAATCTGGTGTCAACAATTTCTGGTCTATCTCCATTCAATCGACGACTCTTTCTGGGACTGGCCATGATTTCACGCAATGAGTCCCATCCCAAGACTCTTGTTTTAAATCAGTCCATTCAATCCCATCATACCCTCTTTTTTCAAAAAAACCTTAGATGAGGGGGTATGGGGGGGGATACCCCCTCGTTTCAGATTTAAAAAAATCCAAGATGGCGCCGATTTTTACCTCTATATAATTCGAGGCAACTCATCGACCCATCACAATTTTCTCACCATGATGGACGATACTCAAGGAGATCAAGATTGCAACCAAGCCTTGAATCAATCAGAAGAAGAAGCTATTAATGCTTTTCAGTTTGAGTTAATACCGTACACGGATAGACGTTGTACTAAATTTGGTATTCATCGGCGTACCTTCACCACTCGATTGCAACAACATGGAGGTAATCTTGCCCAGTTACTACCCAATCATGTCTTGCCAAACTTGATTGAACATACGTTGGATATGGCGATTGAACAACAAATTTTAAGTGATCCAACTGCCAACAATGAGGATTGGATCATGATTAACATGTCTTCAAACCGTTTACAGAGTGCCTATCAATCGCATCGAGTGAGTATTGCCGATTGGCTCTTAGATGGAACAGGCAGCAGAGCCATGTTGGAAAAAATGAGTCAAGTTCTCAACTCCAATGAAACATTTCAAATGGATGACACTTTTCACATTGAAATTACTCATGTTCGTAATCCTGGTGTGGGCAGAGGTCGAAATCAGAACAAACCTGGTCTTACCCCCGTGGATCAACTATTGAGACGTAAAAAGAATGTGATTCGTATCAACAATTACGATGATCTCTGTTGTGCCCGAGCTATCGTGACAGCCAAAGCCCATCAAGATTATGGCTCGGGTCATTGGATTACTCGCAGTTGTAAACGTGGTTTTCCCTTGCAAGAACAATATGCTAGAGAACTCCATAACCAAGCAGGGGTTCCATTGGGTGCCTGTGGATTGGGGGAAATTCAACTTTTTCAAAACAGTCTTCCAGAGTATCAATTGATTGTCATTGATGCTGAAATGGGTTATCAACTCATTTTCAAAGGTCCATCTAAAGCCAAGGAAAAACAATTGGTACTGATTAAACACAAGGACCATTATCATACTTGCACTTCCCTGACTGGCTTTTTTGGAACAACGTATTATTGCACTGAATGTGAAAAATCATTTGCAGTGGATGACAGTCAACACCATCGATGTAAAGGAAAACGATGTTATGCCTGTCAACAACCCAATTGCATGGATTTTCAAGACATGCAAGCCACACTCTTTTGCCGCGACTGTTGTCGCTCCTTCTTTACTCGACAATGTTATCAAAATCATTTATTTTTCACTACTTCAGGTCGAAAAGCAAGTGGCAATAGTGTGTGTGAAGTGAAAAAACGATGCCCTGGTTGTAATAAAGTGGAAAGTGGGAAACAACAGATTCGTGAACATCAATGCGGTCATAGCAAGTGCCCTTCGTGTCACAAATACGTCGACATTAACACTCACAAATGTTACATTCAACCCATCGTACCAGAAAGTAACGCCAGAAAACGCAAGAGGGATGAACGCGTTCCACCACCCTTATTTGTTTATTTTGACATTGAAGCCATGCAAGATACTGGTATTCATGTCGCCAATTTGGTATGCGCAGAAACCAATGAAGACGATACCTCGTATGTGTTCAGTGGAGCCACTTGCATTGAACAATTTTTGGCATGGTTACTAACACTGACTCAAACGGATGATGTGGAATATCTACGTCATGTCATTGCTATTGCGCACAATTTTCAAGGCTATGACAGTTATTTTATTTTGGAAGAACTTTACAAACAATGCGTTTGTCCCAAGCAAGTTGTCAATGGAGCCAAGATATTAAGCATGTCATTGGATCACATTAAATTCATTGACAGTATGGCTTTTTTACAAATGTCCCTGGCTAGTTTCACCAAAGCATTTGGTCTACAGGAACTGAAAAAGGGATTTTTCCCTCATTTTTTCAATCGAGCTGAACATCAACACTATGTGGGACCCATGCCAGCTAAAGATTATTATGATCCCAAAAGCATGAAACCAGAAAGGAAACAAGAATTTGACACTTGGTATCAATCAAAATTGGATGAGGGAGCCACATTTCATTTCCAACAAGAACTGATTGCTTATTGTCAATCCGATGTTCAATTGCTTAAACAAGGATGTATGAAATTTCAGCAGGAATTTCAAACATTGACCAATTTTAACCCTATGGAACAGTGCATTACCATTGCATCAGCATGCAACCGATTTTTTCGAACCAATTGTATTCTACCGGGAACATTGGCCTGTGAACCAGTATTGGGATGGTATGGTTCAGCCAAACCGCATTCTATGGTCGCTTTAGAATGGTTAAACTGGATAGAACATTCTCAAAACAAACGTCTTCTTCACGCGGGCAATCAAGGGGAATGTCAAGTTCAGATAGGCCTGAACAAAACGTACGTGGATGGTTATGACCCCAACACAAACACAATCTATGAATTTAACGGTTGTTTTTTTCATGGTTGTCCCACTTGTTTTAACAATCGAGATCAAACGCATGCCAAATTGAATAACAAGACCATGGCAGAAGTGTATCAATCAACCATGCAACGAATTGCCCACCTTCAGCATTCGGGGTATAATGTAACTGTGATGTGGGAATGTGCATGGAAACGAATAAAAGAACAGGACTTGAACATTCTACCCTTTTTGAAACAACTCGACCTCACCAATCGTCTTCGACCAAGAGATGCCTTTTTTGGTGGTCGTACCAATGCAGTTCAATTGTATTATCAAGTGCAACCCAATGAACAAATCCGCTATGTGGATTACACGTCCCTATATCCCTTTGTCAACAAAAACTGTCAGTACCCAGTGGGACATCCTCTCATCATTAACAATCCTTCATTTTCCATTGAGGAGTATTTTGGATTGGCCCTGTGCAAGATACTACCACCGCGTGAACTGTACCATCCGGTATTACCCTATCGATGTAACGGAAAACTCATGTTTCCATTATGTCGCACATGCGCAGAAACACAAGTCAAGTTCCCCTTGAGTGAACGTGATTGTCAATGTTCCCACAATGAAGATGAACGTACTCTCACTGGTACATGGTGTACCCCGGAACTATTGGAAGCCAAACGGCAAGGTTACACAATTGTTCAACTCTATGAAGTATGGCATTTTCCCAACACGTCCAATCTTCTCTTTAAACAATATGTGGACACGTTCCTCAAATTGAAACAGGAAGCCAGTGGTTGGCCAGCGGACGTGGGAGAAGATCCTGAAAAACGTCAAGAGTACATCATGAATTATCTCCGACATGAGAACATTCAATTAGATGCTGAAAAAATTGAAAAAAATCCAGGCAAACGTTCCACTGCCAAAATGATGTTGAATAGTTTTTGGGGGAAATTTGGCGAACAACCCAACAAGAGTCATGTCCAAGCATTTACCAGTCCTTCTGAATTTTACAAGTTACTTCAAAATGAAGAACAACAAATCCATTCCATCAGGATTGTCAATGAACACATGATTGAGGTTGTCCACGATTACATTGAAGACAGCATACCCACTCAAGTGAACATTAACATTTTCATTGCTTGTTTTACCACATGTTGGGCACGCCTTAAATTGTATAAAGCGTTGCATCATTTACAACAACAAGTCTTATATTTTGACACGGATTCTGTGATTTACAAATGGAAACCCAATGCCCCAGAATTACCATTGGGCTCATACTTGGGACAATTCACCAATGAATTGGACGATCCAACTGATTACATTACAGAATTTGCAGCCGCTGGCCCCAAAAATTATGGCTACAGAACCCTCAAAGGAAAAACAGAATGTAAAGTACGTGGATTCAGTTTGAACACCCGCGGACAAGAACAATTAAACTTTGACATTTTAAAGAAGAATATTATTGATGAAGTGACTCTACCACAAGCCGTTGCCAATAGCATTCCAGTGTTCAACCCGCATAAAATTATGAGAAATCCCACCACCAAACAAGTGTCGACAGAAACTCAAGTCAAGCACTATAAATTGGTGTTTGATAAACGAGTGGTGGACTCATCAAATTTTCAATCCTATCCTTATGGTTACCAGGACAGTCACAGTCAAGACACGACAACTACAATCGAGTGCCCATTAGTATCATTACAATCCATGGTGGATAATATCACACAAGACAGTGTAAACATTTATCAAGGTTTATTAGATGGAACATTCGATATTTTCCAATGAAGAGAGATCTTTACTTTGAAACATTTCCATTCCCTTCATCCATCCCCAATGTTGTTTGCAGCAGTCACTGGATGGGTCACACGTACGATGATGATGTTGACGACGATGATGCATCATTTTCAAGCATTCCATTTTCTTTTTTGACATGGTTGGACCTTCTTTGGCATGATGGTTACTCGCTTGACGTGGACATATCTGATGCTCATCCCAACCATGACCTCCACCTTGTAATCTTTTGCTGCTTCACCCTCAGACTGAACGTCCCTTGCTGCTGATTATGAACATGCCATCAAAACCTTTCAGATTGTGGAAGACTAAAGCTGGTATCTTTGCACCTGGAAATGCAACTTGCCATTACAAGTACCTCTGGAACAGAAAAAAGCAGACACCTCCCTCCTACCTCCTACACTGCCATGCTGCTACCAGTGTCTTTCCACTGCCTGTTGGTCCACCGATCCAGTACCAGCTGCACCCTTTGTCCAAAGTTCCTTGCACCTTCCATACCAGTTACGTCGGTTGGGAACGACCGTGTACTGGGCTTGACAGTTTAGACAAGTTTTGTGGGTTACTTGCGCCAACCATACCAGATAAGACGGCTTTTTCCACCTCCTCCTCTTGCTCCTCCACCACTGGTTGAATATAGCATTTGTGGTCTTTGATCACCAGTTGTTCCGGCGGTACCTTTTCTCCACAATTCCATGGTAACCTATGGCATTTCCAGGATGTGACATCCACCTTCTTCACCTCGAGAAAAAACATTTACCCCAGAAACTATTTAACATTAGCTTCGCTGTTGCTTTTCACCTGGCGAGCAAGATCAGTCACCACACCTGTTTGCCTTTCCTGTTTCCTTTTCATAACCAACGTGAATTTCAATACATTTGCCTTGGAAAATGGAACTCATATATTGCGTTGGTTACCAACTCTGATCCTTTGTTCCAAAGCACCAATTAGTTCTAACACGATCCGCGTAAAGTCCTTCCCATAGTACGTGGTCCATGTAACAGCCATATTGCAGGGAAGTCCATCCGTAGGATTCCCACTCCGACCCAAGTATGTTACAACCATAGGTTTTCCAGTCACTCCTAAACATGACATGGGGCATCATCACCTTCCTTCATCCACTCCAAAGTGATGGTATCTTCCTGTTTTCTCGTCCATGAACTCCAACTTGTTGCCTAAAGGTCTTCAATCCAGCCTCCCAAGCATTTCCAGAGGTTCATACAGGGACACTCGAACCTCGATTTGAAGCACATGGTCACCAGGATGGCACTACCATGCAACCTCCCCCCTTTTTGTTGGTCTTTCTCCTTTCACCGCATTTTTCTGGACAATCCTTTCGGTTGCACGATTGGCAGGATCCCCCTTCACAAAGGGACCAAATAAAGTGGAATTGAGAACTTTCTTTCACCTTCCATAATATATTTCTCCAGGAATGTCGCCCTCTGAACACTACAGTATAAACATTTGTGGACATGTTTTTCCGTGTGTGTAGTCTTTTGGCAGTGTATTCCATTTTAGCCTAATGAAGTGTATCCATTAAGCCGCCGTAGTTTACTCGGGTATCCATTAAGCCACCATAGTTTACTCCATTTTTTTTCGCATCTTCTTCGACCTCCGCATCTTCTTCTTCTTCCTACAAAGGATTTCATCACCAAAGTGGTCATGCGATCTCCTTTGTGCCATAACACATCAGTTTAAACTCAAACTGTCCATACGGCTGTTCCATAACCTCCCATCTACTCCCATCGCTCGTATGCTCTGTTTAAAATAGCATCTTCTACAATAATAAAAAAATGTAAATAAAAACTAATTAGTTAGGTTGTTAAATAAAGTAGAAGGTTGATAAAAAACATGCAATGTGTCACGTGATTATTCCTTAGCAACCACCCCTCCCATGACGTCACGCCCACATGACGTCACGCCCTATGACGTCACGCCCTATGACGTCACGCCCTATGACGTCATCAAGTTTGATTGACAGCTAATCAAGGTGCATCATGGGTAATTTGTACCATGCGATTTGATATGACACAAAAATACTGCTCTCTGATTGGTCCATTTGTACCACGTGACCTAAATACTCGTCGCTGATTGGCTACTGGCAGAAGTGACTCATATTACTACTTGTACTTTACGTAATATATCAAACATAAGACGCAGTGTTTCATCACCAGATGAAACACCGAGAAGAGAGTTGAAAATACGACGCGCAGCGGAGTATTTTTGACGAACTTCGAGGTGTTTCATCTGGTGATGAAACACTGTGTGGAATGTTTGATATTTCTTCTCAAACAAAATCATTTTTGAAGGCGAAATTAAGGATGCAAATACTGAGCAGTTTTTCATCCGATTTCCAAACACTCATTAAACATTAATTTTCTTTGTATTTTCTTTATGAATTATTAATGAGTTTGAGAACGTTTGAATCATGCCGTTTATATCTTAAAGTCTAATCTCTTTTGCTTTAGATGTATATTTCAAAAATTCTCCGCACATTTTATACCGAAAAATACAACGCATAGGCAAGCTGAAACGACTCTTCGTCGGTCTATTATAAGAATTCTCACGGTGTAACTCTGTTCTGATATCTTTGTTGGAGGTAAGCGCTTTCAAGACCGCGCTACACCCTATCTTTCCCAAATTTTTGTTACAGAGAAACTGCATTTCTTATATAATAATTTTATTGCTTATAAAGAGATAATCGAGTTACGTACAAGTCAACTTTGCTTTCGTTGTACACAGGTGCACGCATGTATTAAAGCTTCCAGAATGTATGGTCAATTAATGTTTTAATTATAAATCAAACTATTCTGAGTATTTTAATACTATTTAGCGCTTGTTATTAAATTTTCTTCCTTTTGGCCTTTGATTCGGTTACAAAGCTGAAAAGGAAACTTTGTTCATTTGAATTTTTGCAACAGTAGTTAATCCTTCATATATTTTAACTCTCTAACTTAACTTTGATAGTATTGTTATTTTGTTCATATAAGTCTTATTTTGCTTTAATACATATAATGATAAGCTTATGTATATTCAAATGGTATTCCCTGTATTTCTTGTTTTGCTAACATTTTCGATAATGTTTTATACTCTAACTTGTTGGTCTGTTCTTGACTATATTAAAACATTGGCAGGCATTTGTTGAATTCATGCTGTGAATATCTATTACATGCAGCATCAACATCACGATTAGGCCTTCAAGGCTGTGCTCTAAGGAAAATTGAAGGGAGCCCAGTGCTCTGAAACTGTAAAATCTAGGGTGCCCAGCATATGATTTGTATGAAAAATCTAAGATTTTCTAGTCGCCTGAGGGCAAAAGTTAGGCGCCAGGGGCCACCGGGCTCTGCTAGAGCACAGCCCTGGGCCTTACATGTAATGATGGAAATATATCAGCTACATATCGTACTCGTTGGTTTTGTGGATCTTTTTGTAAGAAAGTACATATTAAGGATTATATATACCTGTATATTTATCACATCACTGAAATGAAATTGATTTTTGTTAAAACAGTTTTCTGAGGCTTTGAATTTCAGAGCTAAGTTAACACTCTAGCATTCCTAAATGTATTAGTAAGATGAAACTTGTCACTGACTCCAACATTTTTTTTTTTATCACAGTTGCTCCGGAAGTAACAATTGATGGTGGGGCACAACAGTTTGTGGTGATGGGAAATAAAGTACAACTGACTTGTCATTATAACACATCACCTCCAGTATCAGAAGTGAGTTGGGAAAAAGATGGAATTGTGATATCCACGAATGTTTCTGTAAAGAATGGATCAAGAGGGGATATTACCCATTTCAATGACAGCACAGTGCAGTTAACAATTGTCTCAAGTATATCAAGTGATTCTGGGAATTATACCTGTGTTGTTATAAACAGAATTGATAACTCATCCGCTACTGCATCAGTTATAATACAAGGTTAGTTAGGATTATTTATTTATTTTCCCTGGCAAAGACATTTAGCAAACAAATTCCACAACTAAGAGGAACAATTTCAAACAAATATTCAAGAAATTTTCCTGTGAATAGCTCAAACTTGATCAGTGATGTAAAATGAGGTTAAGTAACCTCACTAGTTTATTGGTATGTAATAATGATACCACCCAAATGTTAGGGATCAAAGTCGCTGCAATACTCATCCACATATGTTGCAAAAGGCTTGTCATGTTGCACCCTCCCCAATGTTAATTCACGCATTTTTAACCATTTGCAAATAAATGCGAATCTCAATTTTGAGTGAGGAGAGAAGAAATGCTCAGTGACAACTGCGAGGATCATTCTTCATTTGATTAAAGTTAGATAAGTTGGTTGTGACGGAGAGACATCAGAAATCATCTCTTTTAGTCAATTGTTTCTACGAAATTTGATCAGTATTGTGGTCATAAAAATGCTGGTGAAAGCTTTTATATTACCATCTATCGTGTTCACTTTAACTTCAGGGTACTCAAAAAGAATAGCAATAAATTCTTCGTATTGTTAGACATAGTATTTTGTCACTGCATTTTACATTCCCCACCCCCTTTCATTTGTTTGTCACTTTGTGGTAGTTAGCCATGTTGTATATTATACAAGTTGCAAATAAGGAAGGTCTGTTACAAGTATCGGCATCCAGATAAGTTCCACCATGGGTTGAGCACTTAAGAGCGGATGTCAGTAAATATCGACCAGAGGTCTACAAAAGTGAAAAATCGAAAATTCTCAAAAAAATTCACAAAGTAGCACTAGGTAAGCTATTAACATAAATGTAATTTTTACTTCGATCCGATAATTATTTTCCACGTACGGGGGGGTTATTGGTTTTGCGGCTCTCGGACCGGGTTTTCCAGGCCAGAGACCATGTGTCGCAAAAAAATCGTTTTAAAATTCAAATCCATTGTAATGCGGACAACAAATAACTTATTCAGAAGAGTACTTAATTGCACACATTCTAAGTGGTGATTTACTCAGTTTGAACGAAAGTGTAATATTTTGGAGATTTTTCATTATTTTCAATATTTTGAACGTTTTCGTTCAATGAAAAAATGGCAAATTTCAAAGCCCTAAAGCGTCGACTGGTACCTCGATTTCAGTAACGAGTCTTATACCACGTTAAAGAGCGTTATCTCTTCTTTCAAAATCTGTTTTCAAAACTACGGGCAACTTAAAAGAAAATGTTTGAGGCCAAAAAATACAAGTAGTACTTTTCTGAAATTTGAGCTTTCGAGACTCAGCGGGTCGATGCTAAAAACTCAGAAAAATGCAATAAGAAATCAGTTTGAGCAACAGTGATTTAAGGTTATCAGCTATCAGAAACCAACACGTGTTTATCGAGCGATCTGATAAAATTTAAAGCCGTTTTCCAACAAGAAAAGCAGAGTTTAGCCATCTTCTGCTACCAAACGCACGAGTGACGTAAGGTTGTCAAAGGGCAAAGCACAGTAATAAACTTCAAAAGGCACAACGTTTCTGCGTCCAGGAATTAGACTTCAGCGGACAGAACAATGCCTACGAGTGTATGTTTCATACCTTAGCATTGGTTTCCTAGATACTGGAAATAAAAAAACATCAAGGACAGCATCGGCAAGAGCATCTTCGGCTGCTCTCAAACGACGGAGATTGCGTTACTTTTCACAGATTGACCGCTTACCACCTGTTTTTGGGCTCGCATTTCGAAGGAACGCTTGCCTCGAGAGGCGCGCGGCACGGATCTGAACTCTTCTTCACGAGACATTGAGCTGAATTTATCGGAAATACGCCACCAACACCAACAACATGAGCTTTTTTCGGGTATTTGTCGTTTTTTATGCGAAAAGTTCGGGTAAGCAGATTCTCGCAAAAACCATTTGGCTTAAAAAATGTGTTTAAAAGCCCACCCTGGATTTGAACCAAAAAGTATTTCCTCGAAATAAGCTAAAAATACCCAATTCACGCGGTGAAAAAATGGATGATTATGGAAGGATTATTGAATGCTTGCCTAACCTGAGGGATTTCCCGTGATGTAGGATTAGGGCTAGGAAAAAAGCCCATAACCTGCTCCTGTCGTTGTGAATTTCCTCAAAATCAAAAATTTCAGTAAGAACCGAAAACAACAGCTTAAAGGAGGTGCACACACCTTGAACTAGCCAGGGAAAAGGGGCTTCTGATTGAGCTAAACTGCCATTGATGCACTTTGCAATTAGGTAGACCTGTTACTATCCCCCGCGCAACCACATGGGGAGTACTTTGAAGCGGTCCTGTCGGGGACTTTCGGGGGTAGGGGGCGGGGCAAATCGAAAATAACTTCTCTTTGTTTTTGTGAAGTACATCATTTCTCGCACGGTTGACAAGGTGACGGCGGACTCCGTACCTTTGGAAAGGCCCTTTTGAAACACGTCCAGGCAACATGCAGGGCATCACGAAATTGACGTCAACACCTTGAATCAACTCCATGAACAGGGAGAGGCGATAAGTCCCATCTTAAAAGATGTAGAAAAAGTTGGGCGTACCTCCGGAATAATCCTGACTACGCACCTGCTAAAGCCTGAAACTGAACAACAGGAGTCTTGACGAAACGTCCTCAGTTATCACCTGTCCGGGGTCGTACTTTCAAGGAAACGCTGATCAAGAATCACTCATGACGGAATGAAAACTCCTCCTAGCTTCCAGCGAAAAAAGGAGCGACAACAGTGGTAAGCGGTAGTTCTGTGAAATGTAACGCAATCTTTGCCGTTTACGATCTTTCGGCGCTTGGATTTGAAACGTTTTTGTTTGGTATTATATGTTCTCCCGTGTGGATACTTGGCATTTCCAATATATGGAAAAACCATGCTAAGGTACGAACAACAGACATTCACAACATTGTTTTGTACGCTAAAATCTGATTCCATGGACGTAAAACGTTTTGAATTTTAAGACTTTTTAATATTAGTGCTTTGCCCTCCCTTTGACAACTTCACGTGACCGTAGTTACTAAAACAAGGAATGACCTACAATGATCTACAATGACCTACAATGATCTACAATGAGCTACTATGAGCTGCTAGGAGCTAAAATAAGTATAAAATGAGTTAAAATAAGCCCTACAATGAGCTACAAAATGACAGACAATGATGTTTGTCGTGTGTCACGCTTGGACGTGACACTAAGCTCATGGTATTAAATTGCCAAGCACATTTTGAAAAGGCAAAACAAAAATAAAGCCTGATCTCAGGTAACTTGAGAAACTTGAACATAAATTATTGCAATCGCGTTTTTACCGGTAACACTATTATACCCCGTATTGATGGAAGTCATCCTGCGCCTGCGTGAATCCAGTGTATTGTCACAGTACTGTTTAATTTGTTTGAAAAAAAGACAACACAAAACACAACTAACGGGAAAGGTTGCTAGGGATGGTTTGGACAAAAGTCACAGTACTGTGACAATACAGGATTCACGCAGGCGCAGGATGACTTCCATCAATACAGGGTATAATAGTGTTACCGGTAAAAACGCGATTGCAATAATTTATTTTCAAGTTTCTCAAGTTACCTGAGATCAGGCTTTATTTTTGTTTTGCCTTTTCAAAATGTGCTTGGCAATTTAATACCATGAGCATAGTGTCACGTCCAAGCGTGACACACGACAAGCGTCAAACAACAACATCATTGTCTGTCATTTTGTAGCTCATTGTAGGGCTTATTTTAACTCATTTTAGCTCCTAGCAGCTCATAGTAGCTCATTGTAGATCATTGTAGGTCATTGTAGATCATTGTAGGTCATTCCTTGTTTTAGTAACTTCGTCACGTGACTGGTGCACTTGGCAGGAGTTGACAGCTTAAATCTGCCTAGCAAACGGCATTAATTTATATCAGATCGCTGTATAAACACGTCTTGGTTTCTGAAAGGTGATAACATGAAACCACTATTGCTCAAACTGATTTCTTACTGTATTTTTCCAAGTTTTTAACATCCGGCCCGCTGCGTCTGGAAAGCTCAAATTTCAGAAAAGTACCACTTGTATTTTTTGGCCTCAAAAATTTTCTTTTAAGTTGCCCGTAGTTTTGAAAACAGATTTTGAAAGAAGAGATAATGCTCTTTAACATGGTATAAGACTCGTTACTGAAATCGAGGTACCAGTCGACGCTTTAGGGCTTTGAAATTTGCCATTTTTTTATTGAACGAAAACGTTCAAAATATTGAAAATAATGAAAAATCTCCAAAATATTACACTTTCGTTCAAACTGAGTAAATCACCACTTAGAATGTGTGCAATTAAGTACTCTTCTGAATAACTTATTTGTTGTCCACATTACAATGGATTTGAATTTTAAACGATTTTTTTGTGACACATGGTCTCGGGCCTGGAAAACCCGGTCCGAGAGCCGCGAAACCAATAACCCCCCCCGTACTTGGAAAATAATTATCGGATCGAAGTAAAAATTACATTTATGTTAATAGCTTACCTAGTGCTACTTTGTGAATTTTTTTGAGAATTTTCGATTTTTCACTTTTGTAGACCTCTGGTCGATATTTACTGACATCCGCTCTTAAATAGGTGTTGCATATAGACATGATGGGAGTCTCTTTGTGCAAATTAATCATCAGTAACAGCAGTACTATTTTCTTTTTGTAGTGGTGCCAAGTCCACCCCAGAATGTTAAAGTTATTGCTAAGACCTCACGAGTTGTGAACGTCTCCTGGACACCTGGCTTCAATGGCCACAGTGATATTCTTAACTACACTGTAGAGATCAGTACAGATAATCAGACATTTGCACAAGCTACATGTCCAGGGCTATCAAGTAGTGGTTGTGTGGTATCAAGCTCCTCCACAAATGCTTCTCTTGTAGAGCTACATCCAGGAACGGCATATTACATTAGGGTGTTTGCTACTAACAAAGTTGGTTCCAGTGCTGCTAGCTCAGTAATCACCACAACCACAGATGAAGAAGGTATACCTTGTTACATAAAATTGTTGCTACTTCTCTAGCCTGAAGAAAAAAAAAAAGAAAAAACACCCAGCATTCTGGTTTCCCCCCAAAATGACTGCAGAAATTCTATACTGATGACAGGTCTTGACTACCCAGATCCGGGTAATACTTCTGATTGGCTGTGTCCTGAGGAAATTTGCTTCAGCCAATCACTGAAGCACTACCCAGATCTGGATAGTGGCACGTCATTAGTATGGAGTTTCTGTGCTTGTTCCTCAGACAGCTAGCATTCTACTGCGAAAACAGTAATAGGTGTCGCAAAATGTTGACTTTTTTCCAGGTTACTATTTATGAGGTTTCTCTAACTAATTTAAGTTTTAATTCTTATTTTACAACGTACATGTAAATTTGTTGCCTTTTTGTCTTAAATATAAAGTACATTTTACTTTAGGGAACACACATAGAGGGGTGAGGACAAAACATAGACCAGGGGTCCATGGACCCCCACTTTGGACCAGGTCCATGGACGACTTTCATGGACCGGGTCCATGGACCCCCTGTCATGGACCAGGTCCACGGACAGTTTTTTTTAATAATGAGAAATGAAGAAAAACAGAAATAGTGCAAAAATAAGGTTAAAAAACAACAGCAACAACAAAAAATGCTCGATTGATCAGTAATGTTTAATTGTGTTTACATAGTGTAAACAAGGGGGGAGTGGTCGGTACCTCATGGCAAAATGTTGCCTGTTCCAATGAATTGTTTTCTCTGATGGATAGATTATGCTTCAGAGGAAAACCTTTTGACTGAGCAAATGTGAATTTTTGCTGCTTATTTCATACTGAGAGGTCATGACACACATATTGATTTTCTACCTCTTTTAAAATGTAAAGCTGTTCACTGCAGCTGATTAAAAGGTTCCTTAGCTCTTTTAGCAGGACGATTATAATTTCTCACGGATAGTGATTTACAGATCCAGATCTCAAAGAAGAAGAAGTGGCATGGATTGTAGCTTAAACTGAAGCTACATCAACTATGGAGAATTGCGATGTGACACAGCCATGATTGCTCTAAAAGTAATGAATTTTTAACTCCAGCTTGTTTTTCTAAGGGTGATGCAAGTCTTTGTACTGGAGTGCGTAATTCCTCTCTTGGTGATAACTTTTGAATTAGCTTAATTTAACAGTCTTGCGACTGCACATGTGCAAGCAGAGTGTACGTCATGTAAGCGCAACTAAATATTTGTGATCAATTGTGAGCATTGGTTGACAGTGTCTCGTCAAATCTTTTTTCGGCGCTATTTCTGTTTTCCATGGACCTGGTGCAAAACCTTCTTATAAGAATAAAAAAAAACTGTCCATGGACCTGGTCCTTGACAGGGGGTCCATGGACCCGGTCCATGAAAGTGGTCCATGGATCTGGTCCAAAGAGGGGTCCATGGACCCCTGGTCCGTGTTTTGTCCTCACCCCACATAGAGTGCCTCCCATTGAACAAAAATTCCGGTTTGAAATTTTGGAAATTCCACATTCCCAATGGAACGGTACACTTAGGTTGCACTGACCCGAGCCACTGTGCATTTGGTTATTGTTCTTGTTAGCAGGATACAAAAGAATGGTACTGGGAACAACAATTTTTTCAAATGGAAAGGGACAAGTTGTTCCTAACAACCGAAATGACTGCGGACCGGTCAAAGAAGACCATCTTCAAAGGTGGTCCTGAATATTCCAGTTAGACTGCACCAAAATGGTCTGTTCTATTTGATTTCTAACCCAAGTTTCTTGAATTTTGGGCACCTAGATGGAAATTGAGCACCCGTAGATTATGTTATGGTCACCACATACCTGAGAATGTTATACTAGAGACAAAGCCTGTTCAGCTAATGTTTCATTGTGATACAGTGCACAATGTACAGTCTCTGGAAGTTGATCAATCTGTCCTGTAATTGTGTTCAACTTTCAAGGGAATTGTGCCAAACAGGAGCTAATTTTAGTTGGACATTGTCTGATGGATGTCCAGCTGCTATTTGCAGCTTTAACTTACACTACAGGTAAAGCTCTTGTAATATAGATATTCTTCACAATTCCCTGTTTTAACTCTCTATTTGAAAAACAATTCCGGCAGCCAGGTCCAGTTAATTTTATCATTGACAGTTTTTCTGATTCATAACAGGGGCTTTAATAGTGTTTTCTATTTCAGCGAATTTGCCATGATTTTTTTGTGAAGTTGTTGTGTTGATGTGTTTGTTGTTGTAGTACCAAATGCTCCCCCAGATAATGTCACTGGAAACAATCTAACCTCTACCAGCATTTTTGTACAGTGGGATGAAGTTCCAGCAAACAATCAAAATGGCATTATAGTGAACTATACAGTCACCTACACGGAGTTGCCTAATGGTAGTCTAACAAATGAGCTGGTAGTGATTGCTCCAAAAAGAGATGCTACTTTGACAGGATTAAAAGAATTTACCAATTACAGTATCACAGTGTTTGCATCCACTGCTAAAGGAGGTGGCAGCAGAAGTGATCCCTTTGTTGTCATTACAGACGAAGATAGTAAGTGCAACAGTGGTCTTCATTAATGTGTACTGTAGCCATTTTAGTTCTTTTTTTTACATTATGTATCGGTATTTAAAGTTCTTTTTTTATTACGAGGTGGGAAACACTTTATCTTGAGGTGGATAACTCTAGTCCACTTGAATTGTACATCGCAGGGTTCTCCTTAAGTGTCAGCAATTTGCTAAAAAACTGACCACTTCTAGTTTTGAGCCTCCTACTCTATGGGAACAGTGAGAGAGCAAGAGCCTCAAAATGCCTTCAGCAATCGACTGCCAAGCCGCAAACTTTAACATCCTACATGTAGCTGTCTAGTTCAAAAGTTAATGAGAACCCTGACAATTACTAGGCAAAACTGTCTGTCCCATTGTTCTCTCTCTCCATGATAATCCTATGTCTGTTTCAGTTATATTTTTAATGACACAAATAGAGAATATTACACGGTGGCGAGAAGATATGAATTTTATGTTCGAGTGGCAAGAACAATATCTCACCAGTGAGCGCAGTGAACGAGTGAGATATTGCTCTTGCCACGAGAACATAAAATTCATATCTTTGAGCTAACGTGTAATATTCTTTCTATTACATAAACATACTGATGACGGCGTTTTTGATGATTTTCCGAAGATTTCCGACCACCTTCCGAAGATTTCCAAAGATTTTTCAAATTGTCCCGAAGACCAGACGAACTTTCCTGAATATTTTCCGAGAATTTCCGAAAATTTCCGATGTCCGAAGATTTCTGAAGGTTGCCGAGCACTTTCGAGGAAGACCCGAAGATGTTTCGATGATACACCAACGAATTTAAGTACAATTTAAGAGACAAACCTGATGTCAGTGAAATTATCGATATCTTCGCATGTGAGAATATCATATCTTCACATGTGAGGATATCGTATCGTTTTTATCAATTTGTTACCACTCGGTATACCACTGACTTTTATGTAATAAAAATATTTTCACAATATCAATCTTTCTATACTTCGCTACAGTCGAACATTCCATAATTAACCCCCCAAAATGCAAAGACTTACTGGTCGCTTACGGGAGGTGGTCGCTTACAAGAACCAAACCACAGGTCTTTGACTGGGAAAGTTTTGGTGTTTTGGAGAGGTGGTCGCTTATGGGATGTGGTCGGACATGGAGGTTCAACTGTACATGTAGTTAATATTTTCAATACTGCCCTCTATCAGTGCACTATGTATTAGCCAAATAAACTAATTAGAAGAAAGATGTCCTCTATAATACTATACTTGCAAAGTACTTAGACAATTACTTGGTACACAAGAAACCTCATCTTTCAATCCCCACTTATTCATTGCTAAGGCTTTAATATTAATTCTGTGATGCCAGGTTAGTATTGCTCATTCTATAATAAGCTGACAATTGCCAACTTTAGACCTCTCCCTAGATGTTCAAAAGGTAATAATTGTTAACACTATTCATGGGATAAATCTCTATCCACTGAATGGTGCAATTTGTTTCCCTAGTACTTATCCACTGAATAGTGATCTGTTTGGAGTATAGCGCTATTCAGCTTTCGAACAACCAAGGCCTAAACGCTTCTTCGACTCAGTTTTTTTCCCACAGGGTTGAAATGTCCTGGCTTAGTTAAATATGTTACATAACAATCAGTAATAATCAGGGAAAGGCTCTCTCTCCTTTGGCAACTTGCGACGATATTATAAGACTTTAACAAAACGCACGTCTTTGTTGCCTGGTTGGGTCGCTTCGCAACCTTATTAAAGCTCTGTTTGCTTGATTTAGTGTCACTAACAAATTTTTACCCTGTGGTACTGGGCCCAGTTGTTCAAAAGGTAAATAGCGCTATCCATCGGATAAATCACTCTCCAGCGTATGTCATTAGGAAAACCGATTGCACTATCCACTGGATAGAGATTTATATCCACTGGATAGCGTTATCTAACTTTTGATCAATAAAAAAGAAGTCGACTTGGTGCAAGTCTATGCCCTCTTTTCAATGCGAAATCTGGATGGATGCCAGGTTTTTGTCCCAAGATCTTTTAATCAAAGACGGTTCAGCGGTTGTCTCAGTGATGCAAATAATTATTTTATTATTTTTTAAAAACCTTTTCAGGGCCAAGCGCTCCTCCAGTCAACGTCTCGGCACGCAGCCTGAGTTCTACCAGCATTTTGGTACAATGGGGCGAAGTGCCGGATACTGATAAAAACGGAATTATACTGAGTTACACTGTTAATTACAAAGCAACTCCTGAGGGTATTCCACAACAAAACCAGGTTGTGAATGCTTCAACGAGGGAAGTAACGCTGACAGGACTCAAAAAGAATACAGAATATAAAATTGAGGTTTTCGCTAATACTTCAAAAGGAGGTGGAAAGAAGAGCGAACCTCCAACCACGGTGCAAACGGATGAAGACAGTAAGTATACCATTGCAGAGGTTACTGTCAGGTTACTGCTGCAGCTTCACAGACGCTCTTTGCAGGTTTGCAATATTGCCCAAATTTATACTGTTATGGAGCGAAGAAGAGTTCATCTATTGATGGCGTTGAATAATGCAGTCTTTCAACTGATTCACGGTCGTTTCGTCAACTTCGACCTACGTGTTAGGTCGGTTCTCTTATTTCTTTCGTCTGATCTGTGGCTAAAAGAACGAGGCATATGCTTGTGAAACTTTCGTTTCGTTTCTTAGCGAAACGACCGGTCACTTTTCAGTTGCAGTATGATATCCGATTTACCGCAAGAAACCTATAAAACAAGACCATGCTTAAATAGATGGCAATATGACACAAGACTGGTTAACTGTTGCTAGCCCACAGATTCAGGTAAAAACGTGGAGCGCTTTAGTCAACATACAGTACCGCTCAAAAGTAAGTTACCAGTTGCGTGTTTAGGCCATCGCGCGATTCGCGTCTTGCGAGAGGATGGTAACTTACTTTTGAGTAGTAGTTCTTATTTCTTTAGCCCAAAGTTTTTCTTTGATGATTCTGAGTGATCAGAATGTCTCCTACCCCTGGGAAACAGCTAGGGTAACAGGAAGAGCGATAATGCCATATCGTATTTCAGTAGGACTAGAAGTTCTCATTGAGGGAAGTGCTGCCGTTAGTTGCGATGCGAATAATAGGACAAAGAGAGTATGTAGAACAGTTGAACATATGAATTTTTGATATGAACGCTTATAACTTAGACTTGTTGGAATTATGAAACACTCACAGCGAAATATAAAAAATGAACCGATCACAGTGACAAGTATGCTTACGTTCAGATAACACGCTAAAGTCTCAATATGATTTTGTACTTCATTTAATAATTTTAATAAGTCACTAAATTCTAAAACAACAGCAGTGCTGATAGGCTGTTTCCTCATCGGACAATCATCGTACACATGACGAGAAGAGTTTCGAACAAATCACGTAAAGGCCAAAACTTGTTTATTCTCAGGTCAGGTAGATGTACAGCACATGCCGTTCAGTTATGCAACTTACAATCCTGATTCCCGAGATAACAATCTGTGTGACAAAAGAATACGCCCTATAACTAGTAATAGTTGAAACTAAGGCTGCCCCCGCTCTGCATATAGTATTCTTGCTCCTTGGGTAGCTCTTTGAAATATACCGATTCATAATGAAGATGTTCACACATATTCCATACAATAGGTGAGATAAATACAGGAAATAAACGCAAGGTTCCATGCACAGTTTCGGTTCGATTTACACAGCTTTGATCAAAACATAATCATTCTCAGTTTCAAGAATAGTTTATTCTAAACCATAAGAAAAGATTTAATTAGAAGTTTAATTTTTCGCTATTTCTATTTCACTTTTTACATTTAGTTCATTTCATTTGCCGGAAAGTAAGCCTTAGAAATTAAAAGGACGTTTGATCAATTCACGCTCGCGCATTCTAGTCTTATTTTAAACTTTATGGCGGAAGGACATCTGTGAGCAGGGAATAAGTCAGCACAGAATTTGATGGTCGGCGAATTTCTGTAATTGTCTATTGTTCTGCTAGTGATAAGCTAGCCGTTGATCAATCACTCGTCTTGCTTGTTTTGGGCCGAGTCTTAATCCGGTCAAAGAGAGAGAAAGAGTGTCTGGCAAGGTTCAGCTGAAGGTTTCCAATCAAAGATTTGTGAACTCGTGTCTGGTAAACTCACTTAGTGTTAAAATATACACAGTCTGCGCACCTTATAACTTCATCTGCGCTTAACGAGTGTCTTTTGGTCCATAACTTTCATAACAACTGCTCCACAGAATGTCACTGATAACACGTAACGCAAAAGAGTATCGAAGTGTGACTGCACAATTAATGTCACAAAATCTACCTAGTGAAAGCTGTTCCTTCGGGATTTTTTGTGTTTGACGTCATCCTAACCATTTCGTACTAGCGGGCGCAAACAATAGAAACGTCATCATTACCTACCGATTCCTCGTGGCCCCTGTTCAAGCAAATCGAGATTTTTTTTTTGACTGTATGACTGTATATTTCAACTGTAAGTAATTTCCTTAATATGCGCGCGAGTTACTAGAGTGCCTCCTCGGGATTTCGCCTTCTGGGCGAAATCCCTGCGGGGGCAACTAATCTTGAAACCTAGAATAATAATAATAAAAAAAACAACGAAAAAAATGTTCAGTACGATAGTTCTTGAACTGTTCTTACCGTTTAGGTCGCTTAAAAAGACAGCAAACATCCGATGGACTACGATTTCTGTACAAGAGAAAACCAGGCGCGGCAGCTAAGCACTTGCTTTAACAAACCGCTGACTGCACAGTGCTGAAGTCACAGATTGATTGAACCATGAACCAAAAATCTCAAATCGCTCAAGAATATGGTCTGCTGCCGGCTGATGCTCGGCAGCCAAAAAAAAATTTAAAAAACGGCAAAATAAGGTATTCACTGTATTGTAGAACCAAAATGAGATCCAAGGAATGCACACGAAACATCTTTAGAAGCAACAAAATAACTTTCCTAACTCTTTGAACAGCACGATTATAAGTAAACTTATTACCTCTTAATTTGTTTATCAGAGCCAGATGGTGCACCACAAAATGGGGGTGGACAAAACACCAGTTCAACCAGTATTTCAGTAAGGTGGGATGAAGTGCAAGCTGAGTTACAGAATGGTGCCATTACTGGTTACAATATAACGTACCAGTCACTGACAGAGAATGACAGTGGATTTGTAACTGCTGGTCCTAATGATCGTCAGGCCAACCTCACAGGACTGAAGGAGTTTGTTGAGTACAATATTTCAGTGGTTGCTTTCACAGTGAAAGGAGATGGACCTCCCTTTGTTTTTATTGTTAGAACAGACCAAGATAGTAAGTCTTACAACACTTTATTATTATTATTATTATTGATATGGCAATCAGTGTCAGCGTTTGTTTATTTGTTTGTTTGTTTTTCGGGTTAGTATAGCGACGCTCAGGCTGATGTCATCATCCCATCTATCGATGGAGATGGATCGCCTTCTATTATTATTATTAGAACTGACGAAGATAGTAAGTGACGAATCTTAGTGTAAATCAAATAATGCATTAACATTTGAATTCAGTAGCACGTAGACAAAGTGGCAATGGTTTTTTGGGCCTGTACAGCTTTCATATTCAAACTTAATTTACAATTTTGGAACCGGTGGTAGATAGTCGGCTACAGTCGGAAAAAAAAAAAAACAGCAACAACAACAGATAGAAAAGTTTCGTTAATATTCAGATATTACTCAGGAGCAGAGACTTATCAGTAAGTTTACAATGATTTTGGATTCTGATGCCAGCCAAAAGGGAAAAAATTGAAGGTGGACATCCTTTGAAAATGGCCAACGTTGCTGCGTGATGATTTTTTTTGTAACCAGTTAGAGTGGTCTGGAACACGGTAACTGATATGGCCATCAATAATTCCGTTGTCCCTAATAATTCCACTGTCAGTGTGTACGTCATGGACTTATATTTTATTGGTACAAAGACCAATACATAAAACGTAATTTCATAGCAACAAATCGATTTTTTCTATTTGGACTATAACTTAAGCTCAGTCAAGAAAATGAACAAGCAGAAAAGCAAAAATAACTAACAGAGCTCGTTGTTGTAGTTTTATGTTCACCTAGTATTTGAAACGTAAACGTCGTTCACCGTAGCTGTTTAAACTAGATCGTAACTTTCGCTTGCAAATTTGTACTGAACGTAACGTTTATCCACACGGAGTGACTGATTATCTAGCAGAATTACTTTTGAAAAATTATTGGCCTGTACTTTTATTTTTTCACCGGCAAAATACATTTAGCAGTGAGCAGATTCCCAGTGTCCGTAAAGCGAGGTTTAATTCAGTTGTATCATATGACATGTATTTACCATTGTATGTCTTTTCACTCAGTTAAGTGCCTGAATAGCCTGAGAAAACAGCCGACATTTCGCGACGCCACCACTAGTTTCCCCGCGAAATGTCATCTGAGGAAGGAGCGCAGAAATTCCACACTGATGACGCGTCACTACCCAGATCTGGTTAGTGCTTCTAATTGGTCGTGCCGCGTAGGAAATTTATTTCAACTAATCAGAAGCACTACCCAGATCTGGGTAATGACGCGTCATCAGTATATGAAGCTAGTTTTTCAGGGGCCTAGAAAACAGGGTACTAGACATTTGTTACAAAACTTTTGTATATTCTTTTTTCTGTAATAAGATCAATCGAACGCACTCTTATTTCGAAGGTCTATTTATGAACAAAATAACAGCCGCGTAAGCCATACAAGGATGCGCTTTTGCTGGGGTAGCAATTGTAAAATTCGGTACCTATTATGTCCCTCTTTCTTGCTTGTTCTTTACTTCAGTACCAAGATTAACTTTATACTTGTTTATCAGAACCGGATGGAAAACCACAAAACGTCAGTGGACGTAACACCAGTTCAACCAGCATTTCAGTATCGTGGGAAGAAGTACAAGCTGAGTTACAGAATGGTATTATTAGTGGTTACAATATAACGTACCAGTCACTGACAGAGAATGACAATGGATTTGTAACAGCTGGTCCTAATTATCGTCAGGCCAACCTAACAGAACTGAAGGAGTTTGTTGAGTACAATATTTCAGTGGTTGCATTTACAGTGAAAGGAGTTGGGCCTCCCTTTGTTTTTATTGTTAGAACAGACCAAGATAGTAAGTCTTGCAACATTTTTCTATTATTATTGATACGGCAATCAGTGTCAACGTTTGTTTATTTCTTTGTTTGTTTTTTGGGTTAATTAGTATAGCGACGCTCAGGCTGACGTCATGATCTCATCTATCGGTGTTTATGTGCTAACCATAACCTTTTTTGGAATACGATCAATGGAACGCACTCTTACATGTACTTCAAGGCTCTATTTCTGAATAAAATAGCAGAAGCATCGGCCATTAAAGGATGCGCTTTTGCAGGGATAGCAATTGTTCAGTAAATAAAATAGACAAAAAAAATGTAAAATTGGGCAATATTATAATGTGCCTCTCGCTTGCTTGTTCTTTACTTTAGTACCAAGATTAACTTTAAACTTGTTTATCAGAACCGGATGGAAAACCACAAAACGTTCGTGGACGTAACACCAGTTCAACCAGTATTTCAGTATCGTGGGAAGAAGTGCAAGCTGACCTGCAGAATGGTATCATTGCTGGTTACAATATAACGTACCAGTCACTCACAGAGAATGACAATGGATTTGTACCAGCTGGTCCTAATGATCGTCAGGCGAACCTCACAGGGTTGAAGGAGTTTGTTGAGTACAGTATTTCAGTGGTTGCATTTACAGTGAAAGGAGATGGACCTCCCTTTGTTTTTATTGTTAGAACAGACCAAGATAGTAAGTCTTACAACACTTTTTTTTCTATTCTTATTACTATTGCAATCAGTGTCAGCGTTTGTTTACTTGTTTGTTTGTTTTTTTCGGGTTAGTATAGCAACGCTCAGGCTGATGTCATGATCTCATCTATCGATGTTTATGTGCTAACCCTAACCTTTCTTGGAATACAATCAATCGAACACACTCTTACGTGTATTTCAAGGCTCTATTTCTGAATAAAATAGCAGCAGCATCGTCCATTAAAGGATCCGCTTTTTGAGGGATAGCAATTGTTCAGTAATTAAAATAGAAAAGGAAAAAATGTAAAATTCGGCAAGTATTATAATGTGCCACTTGCTTGTTTGTTCTTTACTTTAGTACCAAGATTAACTTTGTACTTGTTTATCAGAACCGGACGGAAAACCACAAAACGTTAGTCGACGTAACACCAGTTCAACCAGCATTTCAGTATCGTGGGATGAAGTGCAAGCTGATCTACAGAATGGTGTTATTACTGGTTACAATATAACGTACCAGTCACTGACAGAGAATGACAATGGATTTGTACCAGCTGGTCCTAATGATCGTCAGGCCAACCTCACAGGGCTGAAGGAGTTTGTTGAGTACAATATTTCAGTGGCTGCATTTACAGTGAAAGGAGATGGACCTCCCTTTGTTTTTATTGTTAGAACAGACCAAGATAGTAAGTCTTACGACACTTTATTATTATTATTATTATTATTATTATTATTATTATTATTATGTCAATCAGTGTCAGCGTTTGTTTATTTGTTTGTTTGTTTTTCGGGTTAGTATAGCGACGCTCAGGCTGATGTCATGATCTCATCTATCGATGTTTATGTGCTAACCCTAACCTTTCTTGGAATACGATCAATCGAACGCACTAATATATAGATTTAGCCAGGGCTAAAAGCGAGGCTCCCATTAATATATTTATAATTTAAATCAAACAATAAACTTGTATTCCACAATTTTGTTAACTTTAGAGCACATAGCCCATTCATGTGACTTTTGAGGGAAAGGCTAAGTGATTTTAGAAAAAAATAATTTGCAAAAAGCCCAAGAGTGAACAAAATCTTACATCGAGTTGATAACCTCATATGTACACCCAAAAAACAGCAATCATCTTCACTCACATTTAAGAGCCATAATGGCTCTTGATCACCGTAAGATTAATTAGGCCTGGAAAAAAAATCAGGTTGAATTTTTTTGCGTTCGACAAGTTTACTTTACAAAATCTTGCCAACAAATCTGGTTGCGTGTAAACCAACCTTTTATACCATTTATACATCACATCTGAGGTGAAACAGTACTATGAGGTACTGTTTTTATCATACAGACCTCGGACAGAATGCGGTATTTCACAATTTTGCAACACAAATTGCACTAAGTCAATATTTAGGACGATCGGAGCACGCGTGGGCCGTTTTAGCTAAACCGTTAAAAAAATTTCCAAAATCACATATACGGCCAGCCGGTTTTCCCACTTTTGCCGCGGCATTTTGAGTACTCCTGCTAGCGATGTTCACTGAACGACTGAAAACAAACGGCACAGCGATTAAAATTACAAGAGAGACTTCCAACAATACTACCAACTACCAACAACCACAATACTACCAACAATAAAAGAAATATAATTCGGTGAAACATATACAGAGACAACATTTTTCATTCACGAAGACAAGTATTAAAGTGTCTCTAAAAATCCTGAGTCTTCAAGCTTAAAGCTTAAGTTTATGTTTTAAGCGGCCGGCTTCCCGGTATTTACTTTTTTCAAAGATGAACTCGAGGCAAGAAAATCGCTCAAAGCTTTCTTTTACAGCCAGAATTATAACTAAATGTTCTTTGGAACGTTTTCTTTCTATTTGCGGTGAGAAAATGTCTAAAGAGTTTTTAAAGTTGTGTAAGCTTATATCAAACCTGATTCATGGTCAGATCAAATTGTCTCAAATCTTACAAACGTGCATAAACTACATAGCCACATAAACTACGCTCGACTTCATTAAATTAGAGATAAAAAACAAACATCAAACATCAAACACAATAATTACTGAGACTTAACATTCGAGATGCAGCTCTTGAAAGGTATCAAGTAAGGCCAGTATCGCTTCAGACTTTTCAACCTTTACGCATCAAGCAAGGTGAAAAACGAAAACGATGCCATCCGAAATCGGATTTACGACTTTGACAAGTGATGTATCAATTTCTCAACCAAAAACCAGCTAGCCATGAATAACAGAAGACTCTTGATAGCAGCTGAATTTCATTTTGTGCATCCACTGGAAAAAGACAGTTAAAAACATCACAAGTTGACACAAAACTCTGTCAGCTTCAGCTGTCAAAGTAAACAAGATTCAAGATGCTGCATAAATTTTCCGCATGAGCTCACCAGTCAAATTTTGACCAATCAGAGCGTAAAAAATGGACGTAGAGCGTGACCAACAAAAAATACTTGACCTCTATGGGTCAACACCCGAGCCTGCGATACGGCCAAGTGATACTGGTCAGCGGATACCCTGTTTTGACAGCTGTCAATTGATCACAACATTGATGTCCAATGGATGTGTGCATGATCAGTTTTCCTGTGCTCTCAAACTAGCTAGAAAGAATGAGATTAAACACTGATCGCGATCTAGTAAAACAACTGGTCAGCGGACAGCTTCCAAACAAATCACGTCACCTTGATGAGTTGATACATGAGCCCTCGATATGGCAATGTGATTCTGGTCAGTGGCTATCCTGTTTTGACAGCTGTCAATTGACCATATTGTGAATGGCCAATGTAAAAGATGTGGATTTTCCAAGACACGCCTGAGACACCCCTCCCTTCCTTTTGATAGTCTCCCCTACCCTACCCGTACAATATGTAGACGCGTACGTACGTACGCTCGGTCAGTCACGTGACAACCAAACGAAAAGAGGTTGACCATATTTTATGATTATGGGGCTCTGTCCCACGCGCGCTTCGCGCGCGAGGGAGCCCCTCTATGACATGTATTTCCAGGCTCTATTTCTGAATGAAAGAGCAGCTGCACCGTCCATTAAAGGATGCGCTTTTGCAGGGGTAGCAATTGTTCAGTAACAAAATAGAAAAAAAAAATGTAAAATTCGGCAAATATTATAATGTGCCTCTTGCTTGCTCGTTCTTTACTTTAGTGCCAAGATTAACTTTATACTTGTTTATCAGAACCTGATGGAAAACCACAAAACGTTCGTGGACGTAACACCAGTTCAACCAGCATTTCCGTATCTTGGGACGAAGTGCAAGCTGAGTTACAGAATGGTATTATTACTGGTTACAATATAACGTATCAGTCACTGACAGAGAATGACAGTGGATTTGTAACATCTGGTCCTAATTATCGTCAGGCCAACCTAACAGGGTTGAAGGAGTTTGTTGAGTACAATATTTCAGTGGTTGCATTTACAGTGAAAGGAGATGGACCTCCCTTTGTTTTTATTGTTAGAACAGACCAAGATAGTAAGTCTTACAACACTTTTTGTTATTATTATTAGTACTATTATTATTATTATTATTATCGTTGATATGGCAATCGATCAGTGTCAGCTTTTTTTTATTTGTTTGTTATTTTTGAGTGTAGCTGAATGTCGTGGGTCGTGGGTCGTGGGTGTGAGTCGTGGGTGTGGGTGTGGGTAAATGTCGTGGGTAAAAAAAAGTCTTGCAAAAAGAAATAAAAATTAAAAAATTAAATAGCAAATAGTTGTAAAATTCATGAAAAGAAAATCTCCGCGTACATACCAGTCCTTTCCCCCTTCCCCGCGGTCAGCAAAGCAAATAACCGAATCCTGTAGTACAAACGGACACTAAAAAGACATTTAGGTGAAAAATAAAAGAAACTCTGTGCACTATACAAAAACTGGAGACTGATATTTCGAATTGTTACGGTAAAGAGTTTGTACACAAAACAAAACAAAAAGTAATCGAGAAAATTGTATTTTCGTACGGCAATAAAATTTACATACAGTCTAGCCTGAAAGGAGCTGTGTCACGGCAGTCCAGTTCATTTAGTTTAATTTTGCTAATTACTCGCCCTCAATCGCTATGGAACTTAAAGCAAGCAAAGAATTCGAAATGACAAATCAGAGATCTGAGACAAACAAATTTGTCTCCTGAGCATTATTTTTGAAGCTGCAAGCAGCAGGGATCAACTTTGAAAAACTGTTAGGCTGAACAGTTTTCAAAAACCTTGTTTCAGTCCGTTTCAATCTTCTTCAGTTTTGACCATCCGTGGCATCTGTTGTTTCTGTTATGTTATTTTAACCTTCCTTTGAAGTTTTAAGCGGTTATTTTTGTTTCTCTTAATCTATCGGGCATTTTGTAATTTCCTAATTTGGGTGAATTTCATGACACAGCTCTTTTAACTTGAAAGGTTGGGAATGCAGGTGTTTCCTTCATAAGGTAAGAGACCTAAAACTTCTATCCAAAAATATAAAATACCTAAAATTGTCCTTTTCCCTTCCCTTTCTCACGGTTATCGCATTCCATAGTGTTAAAAAATCTCCACTGATCATTGGAATTGTAGATCAAATAAAGATAAATAGTGAGCAGCTATTTCCATTCAGCGAGTCAGAGCTGTCCCATACTTTCTGCAAATTGCAGGTATAATATACGTCTATTTCGTTCATTTCGCGGCGATAGCTTAGGTATGGATAAATCTTCATCGGCAAAATGTCTCTTATACAGTGATGTTGTGAAAGGGGAGCCAAGTCCCACAGGAAGAGGACGAAGACGCCGTGACGATCAATCAAGGAATTGGAGATATTCGTTTCACAAACATTTTACAACTTTTTTCTATTTATTTCTTTTTTTCAATTACTTTACTTTAACACTTTTTTTCTATACTTTTTTTCACCCACGACATTTACCCACACCCACACCCACACCCACGACCCACGCTCTCTACCCACGACCCACGACCCACGACATTTAGCTATACTCGTTATTTTTTGGGGGTTAATTAGTATAGCGACGCTTAGGCTCAGATGTCATGCTCTGATCTATCGATGTTTATGTGCTAACCCTACCCTTTTTTGGAATACGATCAATCGAATGCACTCTTACATATATTTCTGGGCTCTATTTCTGAATAAAAGAGCAGCCGCATCGTCTATTAAAGGATGCGCTTTTGCAGGGATAGCAATTGTTCAGCAACAAAATAGAAAAAAAAAACAATGTAAAATTAGGCAAATACTATAATGTGCCTCTTGCTTGCTTGTTCTTTACTTTAGTACCAAGATTAACTTTGTACTTGTTTATCAGAACCTGATGGAAAACCACAAAACGTTCGTGGACGTAACACCAGTTCAACCAGCATTTCCGTATCTTGGGACGAAGTGCAAGCTGAGTTACAGAATGGTATTATTACTGGTTACAATATAACGTATCAGTCACTGACAGAGAATGACAGTGGATTTGTAACAGCTGGTCCTAATGATCGTCAGGTCAACCTCACAGGGTTGAAGGAGTTTGTTGAGTACAATATTTCAGTGGTTGCATTTACAGTGAAAGGAGATGGACCTCCCTTTGTTTTTATTGTTAGAACAGACCAAGATAGTAAGTCTTACAACCCTTTTTTTTCTATTTTTATTACTATTGCAATCAGTGTCAGCGTTTGTTTTGTTTGATTTTTTTTTTCGGGTTAGTATAGCAACGCTCAGGCTGATGTCATGATCTCAACTTTGGGTGGGGAGAGAAGAAATGCTCAGCGACAACTGCGACTCATTCTTTATTTCATTAAAGTTAGATAAGTTGGTTGTGACATTAGAAATCATCCATTTCAGTCAATTGTTTCTACGAAAAAATTGATGAGTATTGTGGTTATAAAATGCTGGTGAGAGCTTTTATGTTAGCATCTGTCGTGTTCACTTTAACTTCAGGGTACTCAAAAAGAATAGCAATTTATTATTCTTAATGTTGTTAGACATATTTTGTCACTGCATTTTACATTCCCCACCCCTTTCATTTGTTTGTCACTTTGTTGTAGTGAGCCATGTTGTATACCATACAAGTTGCAAATAAGGATGTTACAAGTATTGGCCTCCAGATAAGTTTCACCATGGGTTGAGCACTTAAATAGGTGTTTTATATAGACATGATAAGGGTCTCTTTGTGCAAATTAATTATCAGTAACAGCAGTACTATTTTCTTTTTGTAGTGGTGCCAAGTCCACCCCAGAATGTTGAAGTTATTGCTAAGACCTCACGAGTTGTGAACATCTCCTGGACACCTGGCTTCAATGGCAACAGTAATATTCTTAACTACACTGTAGAGATCAGTACAGATAATCAGACATTTGCACAAGCTACATGTGTAGGGCTATCAAGTAGTGGCTGTGTGGTATCAAGCTCCTTCACAAATGCTTCTCTTTTAGAGCTACATCCAGGAACGAAATATTACATTAGGGTGTTTGCTACTAACAGTGTTGGTTCCAGTGCTGCTAGCTCAGTAATCACCACAACCACAGATGAAGAAGGTATACCTTGTTACATAAAATTGTTGCTACTTCTCTAGCCTGAAGAAGAAAAAAAAGAAAAAAAAAACACCCAGCAATCTGAGAAGCCACCACTGGTTTCCCCCAAAATGACAACAGAAATTCTATACTGATTACAGGTGTCACTACCCAGATCTGGGTAGTACTTGTGATTAGCTGTGTCCTGAGGGAATTTGCTTCAGCCAATCACTGAAGCACTACCCAGATCCATTAGTATGGAGTTTCTGTGCTTGTTCCTCAGACAGCATTCTGCAGAGAAAACAGTATTCTTGAATTCCCCGCACCCAAAAAACTGACAACCAGAAATGCGGTGCGGGATAAGCAGACAATTCTTAGCCCATTTATTGAACTAACCAACTAATCACAAAACAAAAACAACTGTTTACACTGTTTAGACACCAAAAAATTAAACAAACTCTATACGTTCGATCCGGCCAAAGTAAATTGAATAAACAAAACCACTTATAATGACTGTCAATCATCAGGAAAGCACAACTAAAATCGTTACGAGGAAATGGATTACAGGATTTCAACCAAAATATAAAAAAGAACAAAATTTAACTGTCCGCTTGTAAAAATCCACAATGAAACTTGTTTACTGTACAGCGAATATATACTTGCTAGTTTACATATCACACTTTCTTCCCATAATCACACGCCGGCACTTAAAACACACTGCCGACAAATGCACTTGTGCTTGGGAATTCAAGAAACCATTTATCTTTTGTTTCATTACGCTTCGCTACATTCAGGCAAAGATAAATGAACAATTCTTGAATTCCCCGCACCCAAAAAACTGACAACCAGAAATGCGGTGCGGGATAAGCAGACAATTCACAATCAGTGGCAAAAGCATATAAGGATACAATATAAGGCAATGTTCATTAAGCAAACATATTTACAGTATAATAGATAGCTAATCGCTTGGATACCATAAAGGTACTGTCCAAAAATTGTTAAGCATATCCACCTGCGGCAAGGATTCTGTGTCATCAAGCAACGTTAAGCCATCAGAATTAATTGGGCAAATGTAAATCTCTCCATACTGCAACAAACAACACAACTCGCGCAATGTTTATCAAGCAAATCACATACTGAAAATTAAAGAGCCAAATTTCTAGATACCACAAGGGTATTTTCCAAAGATTCATCGACATAACCATCTGCGGCTCGGATACTGCGCCAACCACCATGTCTACGCCATACTCTCCCAGAAACTCCGCTGCGTGCTGCTTGGGAAGCACCACCTGAACGAAGGCTATGTAAACCAAATTCGTTCGAGTCTAAACCAAGTTCGGAAATCATTTGACGAAACTGTTCCCGTGCCCGAGAATATGACAGAGCAGCTTGTTGCAGCTTGCACCCGGCACCCAATTTCTGGCAGAGACAAAATAAAGACTGAGATGGTTGATGCTCTCCGCGCTCAAGGAATAACTCTAACAGTTTCACTGGACAAGAGCTGGAAGGTAAACGAGCAACTTTAACCACAGATCCCTGACGGAATTGATCGTTCTTACGCCTGTCTAGGAAAATAGACATGTGGGTGGCGCAAAACCTTAAGTCACAGGCACGTAAGTCACGCAGCTCTGACCAACGTAGGAAAGCACAAAAACCAAGCGCAACCAGCGACACCATTTGTAGGTTCGGTAGAGAAGCACGAGGGTGACCATAGGAACGAATCAGCGCCCTGACGTGATGAGATTCAATAGGCTGCTTTTTCCTAGATGGACCAGCCAGGAGGCGTTTAAAGCCAGCCAAGGTCTGAGAAACGAGCGGATCGTCGACAGGATTCAGACATCCAAGTTTCTTATGTAGCCATGCAATGCCATAAGCTGCTCCAAGGATTGACGAGCGAGATAAGCCTCGGTCTGAAAGACTTGTTAAGTAGAGAGCAACTGCGGTTGGGTTAGACTGTAAAGGAGGAAACGAGTAGCACTTGCACCAGTCAATCCATCGATTGGCTGCCCCTGCATACGAAGACACGGTTGAAGCGGCACAGTCATTAAGTATGACAGTCTTTAACAGTTCTACAAGCCTCTGAATCTCCGCGTTGCTCCGTTGGTAAGGCGACAAGCCTAAAGTGAAAATCAACAATGTCCAAAACATGGCACTTTAAAGACAGGAACAACATCCAATTGCTACAGAACACTAAACGCGCAAGATACACATCGTCTGCAACGAGAACTGCCCACATGGCAAGTTAACACAGCACCAGTACACACTCCAGCACAAGGAGGCTTGGCCCACTCGGCGTCAACTGGTAAGCAAATCCACACAAAGGATAGAGGAGTCCACTTGACTCTAAAAAACGAACACACTACTGTGTCGGCAGTGCCCTCTCGGCTTGCTTCAGCTGCACAACTCGTGCGCACTAGTACAGTTCCAAGTCCACTGACTTGCAAAGAGCAAAGGCCCACACCTAGGCCAAAGAGGCTCAGATAGAACAAAAACAAATAATTAGGATGAACAACTCGTTCAAGGTACTCATCTAATACCCGAAAAACGTTCTACAGCAAAACTAAGGAAACACAATTCTCAAAGCAAATACCCTACACGAGGGAATACCATGCCCGAAAAGATCCGCGGCTGCGGAACCAGGGAGAAAAGTAGATTCATATAAAGGAATCTCCCGCCAGTCAAGAACAAAAGGGTGGAAAACCCCGGGGCTTCGAGACACCAACGGCCACCAATGAGCAGATTGCCAAAAGGGGATAATGAGAGTGCCCTGCTCTCTACCCAGTTTCATGTGATTGATAACCCTGGGAATAAGGAACACTGGGGGGACCAACCAATTGTTTTCCCCTCCCCAGCTGACGGTAAAAGCATCAACAGTTTCGGTCCCAGGACACCACCATCGAGAACAAAACCTGGGCAACTGGAAAGAATTATGACTCGCAAAACGATCTACAGTGTGGGGTCCCCACAGAATATCCAACTGGCGAAAATGGACAGGGTTGAGCATCCAATCATCGGTGTCGACAACTTTCGACCAATAATCAGCCTTGAAATTAAAATGGCGAGGTATCCACTCCACAGAAAAGCGAATACCGGCTTCATGGCACAAATTGTAAATGGCAACCGCTTCTTTTTGCAAATGAGGCTTACTACTGCCGACGGACAAAATACTGCAGACGCTCTGATTGTCAGATCTATGCTTGCACTCCTTACCCGCCAAAAGACCGGAAAACGACTGAAGAACAAATCTAATTGCACGAATCTCGCGGAAAGAAGAGCTGCATAGGGCCTCGGAACCCAACCAGTTCCCTCTAGCGATGTGCGTACCAAATTGAACAATAAATCCTGCCCAACCCACATTGCTGGCATCCGAATAAGACAAAAGCTCTATCTTCGGGGAGGGCCTCCAGATTGGTTTGCCGCACAAACGAAAGAAATTATCTCTCCAAAAATTAAGTTCCTCTACAGCTTCACGCGTTAAAGCCACCTTGCAGCTAAGGCTATGAACGCTATTAAGGACTGCGTACAAGGCTCGGGTGCGAAACGCACAATTGGACCTAAAGCGAGCTCCATGGAAATAAGGGTACCCGTAATACGAGACACATCCCTAGCCGTGGGTGAAACATCGTCAAGAAGCAGTGAAATCAGATTAAACAGATGATCAATCTTGCCTGGTGGGACACTAAATTCTCCTTTGGTAAGGTCCAAAATAAAGCCTAAGTGCTCCCCTTTTTGGCGCGGTTCAAAATTGCTCTTCTCCTCATTCACTAGCAGGCCAAGGCGATCAAGATCGCCTCGCACTAGTTGCGCTTCCTGAGAACACGAATCTTTACTTGAATCGGTGCCGATACCGTCGTCCAAATAGACAGAAATCCTAATGCCTTGTGACCGCCAGTGTGAAACAACTGGTCTTAACAATTTGGTGAAAACGTAAGGAGACGTACTTAAACCAAAAGGAAGCGAACAAAACAAAAAATAGCGTGGCTTACCATCGAAAGTAAACGAAAAAGCCAAATACTTCCAATGCTCTTGAAAAATGTCAACATGATGGTAGCCATTACGAAGATCGAAAGTAAAAAACCAATCACCTGGCTGAAGAATTTCCGCCACGACTCGAAGGTCTTCGAAGTTCAAGTTTATGGTAGCATAAACTGTTGTTAATAAACCTGAGAATGATGCCCTATGAAAGCACACTTAGGGCATACTAGCAACAATCATATCTTGGTTCTTATGTCACACAACGTGAACATTTGTATAAGCTTTTGTACTCAGTAATGGTAGATACTAGTTCAAAGTACAAGAAAGAACAATGAACACTAAGTAGTTGTTTGATTACAATGTATCCTTCTTCTTTGGCAAAGTCCACTGTAATGTAGCATGATATATTCCTAGACTCCACAAAGGTTCCATTCATATTATCACATGCTTATCATGCACGTGTGCTCCTCTTTTTGCCGCACACTGTCCTTTCCCAGTCAGTTCGTTTAGAGCTTCGGTTCATTCACAACAGCGTGTTTTCGCCCGGTCTACTTCCTCACAAATCGCTTCGCTTAAATCGACTTGCATAACTTAGTGCATCATGCCAAGGCAAAGGAGGAACGTCAACCGTCGAAATGCCGTATTGGATGGCGCCAGCGTACCAGCAGAACCAACAGACTACAGCGCCATGTCCACCGAAGCTCTTCGCCTCATGCTGGGAGAACGTCACCTCCAGCAAACCGGGAATCGCCGCGAACTTATCTCGCGTCTACAACATAACAAGCAACAAAGACCGCCCGCATCACAATCAGCAGGCGCCCAGTCCAACTCCAGTATCGCCACCGGCGTTCCACACGCGGAATTGGCTGCCTTAATCGCCTCCATAGTGGACGAGCGGATGAACCGCCAACTAATCCAAGATGGCGGTGCCAGCAGTGCTCAACTCACTCGGCCCAGTCCTCCGAGCAACCTTCAGGACAGCCTCAGGTCCAGTCCTCCTCCACCGCCACAAGATGGCGGCCAAAACACGACACAACAACAACCTTCCTTTCAAAATCCTCCGACAGGTAATCTCCTCCCAAGCACCGCCGTTTCTTCTGGTCTCGCCGCTTCTTCTGGTCTTGGTTCCCTCTCTTCTCCAGTCGACTTTTCCGATCCAGCCCAAGTAGCGTCGCTTCACCCGAACTTCCGACAGCCTTCTCGCCAGCCATCTCACTAAAGCCACCTCGACGGCCATCACCAACGGTGAGTACGTGGACTTTGCTACCCTTTTACCAATGACCTCCCTTCTCACTGACTCCATCCATTCCCATCTTAACCTTAAGGTAGGCGATCAGGGTCTAACTATTCCCCTTCCCTCCTCCTCTAAACGCCCCAAAATCACCTCCATCGATCGATGGCTCGATGCCTTTGCCATATATTTCGCCGTTATAGTGTCGGTATATCCCTCTCGTGCCGCGGATTTAATAGCCTATCAACAGTTGATTCGGGATGCGGCACGAAAGTTCCCTGGGATGGCTTGGTATGTCTATGATGTGGAATTTCGAAGGCGTGCCTCCCATAACCTTTCTGCCAAGTGGGGGGAACGGGACGTCCAGCTGTACCTCGATACCTTCACAGGCCTCCCCAAATCAGGATGCCGATCTTGCGGCAGCACTGATCATCTTTCTGATACCTGCCCTTTATCTCCCCGTAGGTCCCGGGATGCCCTTACCCAATCCGACCTGTGCTACAACTTTAACAAGGGCCGACCCTGTGCTCGCACCCCATGCCCTTACCAACACAGGTGTAACCAGCCGGGATGCTCAGCAGCTCACTCTGGGGAAGATCACACCAAACTCACCCGCCACAGAGAGGACAGACCTAAATCGTCTTCAAGCTCTGGCAATTCCTCCCGAGGACACTCCTAATTACCTCTCCCAACTGACCCCTCCCACCCCCATTGACATCAACAAATTTGCATTCTACCTTCAGGGCCATCCAGATCACACAACAGTTAATCATCTTCTCACAGGGTTTTCTCAGGGCTTTAAGATCGGCTATTTAGGTCCAAGGGCCCCCAAGGAATATTCTAACCTTCCCTGTGCAAATATCAACCCATCTATTATTGACAAAAACATGCTAAAAGAGGTTACCGTGGGCCACACAGCAGGGCCTTTTCACATCCCTCCCTTCTCCAACCTGCAGGTATACCCCATTGGGGTCATTCCCAAGAAACACTCTTCGGAATGGCGTACCATTTTCCATCTCTCCTACCCCAAACACCGCCCCACCAGTGTCAATGCCCACATTCCTCCCGAATCCTATTCTTTGCAATACATAAAGGTGGACCACGCAATTGCCATTCTTCAGGATCTCGGTCCAGGCTGCTTCATGTCCAAACTAGACATAAAATCAGCATTTCGCAATGTTCCCGTCCACCCCTCTGATTGGGAACTTCTGGGTATGAAATGGGAAGGGCTCTATTTCTTCGATATGGTCCTCCCCTTCGGTCTCAGGTCGGCCCCCTTCCTTTTGATGAATTCTCTTCTGCAGTGGAATGGATCATTCAAACTAAACTTAATATCCCAAAGGTTATCCATATACTAGATGATTTCTTTTTTTGCTACCTCCCTCCCAGATCAAAAATGCATGACTGCTCTATGCCAAATTTTGCACCTTTTACAGATCTAAATATCCCCATAGCTCCTGGGAAAACCTTCCCTGCATGCACATGCCTTGAATTTATGGGTATCCAACTAGATTCCAAGAAAATGGAAGCCCGTCTCCCGGTGGATAAACTCACCCGCATTCAGGAAGCCCTTGGTCAGTGGACTACTAGGAAATCTGCTACCCTACAGGAGCTACAGTCTCTGATTGGCACCCTTCAATTTGCTTGTAAGGTTATTGCCCCTGGCCGCCCCTTCTTGCAACGCATTATCCACCTTACAAAGGGTATCAAGTTCCCCCATTGGCATATTCGCCTTAATTCCGGTTTCCGTAAGGACATTTCTATGTGGCAGCATTTTCTCCAAAATTGGAATGGGGTGTCTCTCTTTTTAGATACCCAGGCCACCTCTCCGCCGGAGCTTCAGCTATACACTGATGCTTCTGGTTCCCTTGGGTATGGGGGTTTCTTAGCAGGGGAATGGTTCCAGGGCCACTGGCTGCCCCACCACACCCTCAGCCAAAAAAGGGGTATTAGTATTGAATGGCAGGAGCTATTTCCCATATACTTGGCCTGTATTTTATGGGGGCCCCGCTGGTCCGGCAAAAGAATCCGCATGTGGTGTGACAACAAGTCAGTGGTGGCTAGCATTAACTCTAAACACTCCAAGTCCCCCCGGGTAATGGACCTTATTCGAGCAATCACACTTCAAACGCTCCAATATAACTTTGCGTTCACAGCTACTCACATCCCGGGCTTAGCCAATTCTATCGCTGATTCCCTTTCCCGTTTTCAGATGGACCGCTTCCGTACCCTGGCTCCCTCAGCCTCTCCCACAGCCTCCACCATCCCTCCATCAGCGATGAACATCCGAGAGGTTCCGTATAACGATACCTTCATGCTTCCCTTGCCCCTTCCACTCGACGCACCTATCAAGTTGGCGTTAAGCACTTCCTCACCTTTACACTCATGCATGGTTTAGTAGGCCCCTCAAACCCCCTCCTACCAGCCTCAGAGATAACCCTGATGTATTTTGCATCTCATTTAGCCAACACAGTCTCCTATGAAACAGTCAAGCTGTACTTGGTGGCAGTGCAGGACCTTCATCGGGAGCTTAACTTTCCTCTTAAGCTCAATGACATGCATAGGTTACAAAAGGTCCTGACAGGCATTAAGCGCCTCACTCCTACCAAGCGGCTTGACCGTTTTCCCATTACCCTCACAGTTCTCCATTCCATTCACTCCTACCTTAAGCCCGAACTTTCCTATAACCTGGACCATGTTATGCTTTGGGCGGCCTTCACCCTTGCCTTTTTTGGGTTTTTACGATCCAGTGAATTCACTTGCAATGGCCCCTTCGATCCCTCTGTCCACCTCACCTCCAAGGACATCACACTGGTACCCAACTCCCACTCGCCCAGCCACATGCTAGTCCACATCAAACAATCCAAAACTGACCCCTTCAGACAGGGCCACACAATCACCATTGCAAAGTCCTCGTCACCTATCTGTTCGGTGATGGCCATGAAAGACTATCTCCTTCAAGTCCAGCCACCATCAAGCCACCCTCTGTTCGCTTTCGTCCAACCCAGACAATGGCTTACACGGAACAATCTCACAACAGAGCTTAGGTTAATTCTTCACCAATGTGGCCTCCCTGCCAACAATTTCTACTCCCACAGTTTCCGTATTGGAGCCGCCACCACAGCAGCCAAAGCTGGCCTTCCACCCTGGCTTATTAAAGTTCTAGGCCGCTGGAGCTCAGACTGTTATGAACCATTACAAGCCGCAGGCTCGATTTTCGGGGGATTGCGACGTTCAGCGTCGCAATCTTCGCATATTTCTGAAGGGCGAGGCGCCAAGTCTATTGTTTTGAACCAAGGGTTATATTACATCAAAAGACCCTGAGCCTATCTTAAAGCTGTCAACAATTTTCGTTTTATTGAGCAATCTTTCATCTTCGACACTTAATCCAGTTTATCTTAAGTGGACACCCAACCTAGTTGCTATTCACGTGCACTGTCGAAAGCATAATATCAAATAGACTTCAAAAATTCTGCATTGGGGCTTCACGCTTCGTCTTTAATTTTAGCCGACCCACTCAATAAACAATAAATAAGAACAATATTACCGAAAAATAATTAGAACTGAGAACTTGATGAATAAACAATGAAAACAAGAACTCAATTATCTCTCAGGGAGATCACCGCCAAAGCGGATACCCGCGAGGTTTGTTCGGTTTCAACATGGACGGAAGAAATTTTTACAACCCTAGTATAAATCTGGCCTAATTGTCACTTGATCGAAGAGAGATATTTACGCAAAAAAAAACTATCACAGTTCACAAATGATTTAGACATTATCTTAATATTTTACCTTAAACTGTCGAAATTAAAGTATTGCCGCCCGCGGACAAAACTAGCTTTTTCCCGGTTTCCGGTGTACATCAAACACAGGCATCACGCTGAATATTATCCAGACTGAGAGCCGTAGATCAGAAAAAAAATCACAATGACTAAATTTCGCTTTTGAAACCAACACCACTCGTCGTAAGATTGGGCGCATCGCGTAAGAGCTAAAGACTTAAGAGGGAGAGAAAATAAAAATCTACTGAATTATATACACTAACAAAAACAAAATATGAACAAAAACAACAACTCTGTAACGACTAGCTAAAACACGATCGATTCAAGCTGTGACTTACTTTATACTTTATCACAGCTTCTTAAGAATGAGCGCGCTGCCTGTAAGCCATTAGGAAGAGGAGAGAAAAATCTACCGAATTATACAAACTAAAGCAATGTAAAAAAAGCTGCATTTACTAGCTAAAACACGATCGATTTTAGCTATGTACTATTCACTTTAAGAAAATCTCCCTTCACCTCTTAAACTTGGGCGCGCCGCCTGTAAGCCAAAAGGGAGAGGAGAGAATAATCTACTGATTTACCAAACTAACACAGCGTATAAAAACTGCAATTGGCTAGGTAGTAAAACATGATCGACTCAAACTACGAATGTTTCAATCTAAAAAAATCTCTCTTCACCTCTTAAACTTGGGCGCGCCGCCTGGAAGCCAAGGGGGAGAGGAAAGAGTAACCAAACTAACACAGCGTATGAAAACTGCAATTGGCTAGCTAGTAAAACATGGTCTATTCAGGCTACGAGTTTTTTACCGTTGAAAAAAATCTCTCGTCACCTCTTAAACTTGGGCGCGCCGCCTGTAAGCTAAGAGGGAGAGGAGAGAAAAAATTACTGAATTATCCAAGCTAACAACGCATGAAAACTGCACTTGGCTAGCTAGCTAAAACATGACGATTCAATCTACGAGTTTTTTACCTTAAAAAATCTCTCTTCACCTCTTAAACTTGGGCGTGCCGCCTGTAAGCCAAGAGGGAGAGGAGAGAATAATCCACTGAATTATCCAAACTAACATAGCGCATGAAAACTGCAATTGGCTAGGTAGTAAAACATGATCGATTCAAGCTACGAGTTTTTTACCCTTGAAAAAAATCTCTCTTCACCTCTTAAAATTGGGCGTGCCGCCTGTAAGCTAAGAGGGAGAGGAGAGAATTACCTACTGAATTATCCGAACTAACACAGCGTATAAAAACTGCAATAGGCTAGCTAGTAAAACATGATCGACTCAAGCTGCGAGTGTTTCAATTTAAATATTTCTCTCTTCACCTCTTAAACTTGGGCGTGCCGCCTGGAAGCCAAGAGGGAGAGGAGAGAGTAACCAAACTAACGCAGCGTAAGAAAACTGCAATTGGCTCGTTAGTAAAACATGGTCTATTCAAGCTACGAGCTTTTTGCCCTTGAAAAAAATCTCTCGTCACCTCTTAAACTTGGGCGCGCCGCCTGTAAGCCAAGAGGGAGAGGAGAGAATAATCCACTGAATTATCCAAACTAACATAGCGCATGAAAACTGCAATTGGCTAGGTAGTAAAACATGATCGATTCAAGCTACGAGTTTTTTACTCTTGAAAAAAATCTCTCTTCACCTCTTAAACTTGGGCGCGCCGCCTGTAAGCTAAGAGGGAGAGGAGAGAATGACCTACTGAATTATCCAAACTAACACAGCGTATAAAAACTGCAATAGGCTAGCTAATAAAACATGATCGACTAAAGCTACGAGTGTTTCAATTTAAATAAATCTCTCTTCACCTCTTAAACTTGGGCGTGCCACCTGGAAGCCAAGAGGGAGAGGAGAGAGTAACCAAACTAACACATCGTAAGAAAACTGCAATTGGCTAGCTAGTAAAACATGGTCTATTCAGGCTACGAGCTTATTGCCCTTGAAAAAAATCTCTCGTCACCTCTTAAACTTGGGCGTGCCGCCTGTAAGCTAAGAGGGAGAGGAGAGAAAAATTTACTGAATTATCTAAACTAACACAGCGCATGAAAACTGTAATTGGCTAGCTAGCTAAAACATGACGATTCAATCTACGAGTTTTTCCCCCTTTAAAAATCTCTCTTCACCTCTTAAACTTGGGCGTGCCGCCTGTAAGCTAAGAGGGAGAGGAGAGAAAAATTTACTGAATTATCCAAACTAACATAGCTCATAAAGACTGCAATTGGCTAGATAGTAAAACATGATCGATTCAAGCTACGAGTTTTTTACCCTTGAAAAAAATATCTCTTTACCTCTTAAACTTGGGCGCGCCGCCTGTAAGCTAAGAGGGAGAGGAGAGAATAACCTACTGAATTATCCGAACTAACACAGGATATGAAAATTGCAATTGGCTAGCTAAAACACGATCGATTTCAGGATCCGAGTTCTTTTTACTTAAAAAATCTCTCTTCACAAAATGCGTTCCTATAATCCATTCCTCGAAATTTGAATCTGTAAATCACTTTCGGGGAAAATCTAACATCGTGCAGAAAATACTAAACGAGCTGGGCCCAGCGTGACATAAATTGAAGGAAACCATCACATTCACGGACAAAAGAATATCGCCTTTAGCTATTCAGATCCAGGAGGCACTTTGGAGAAGACTAAACAACCTAAAACTCTTATTTAGCCGCAAAGGAAGAGATTTACGTTTCAAAAGAGGTCGAAGAAAGTGCTCTTGCATCAGAGGACAAATCATGCCGACCAGAGACAATAACCGCAGAAAATCAATATGCGTGTCATGACCTCTCAGTATGAAACAAGCGGCAAAATTCACATTTACTCATTCAAAGAGTAGAACCCAGAATATAATATACCCACCAGAGAAAACAATTTTTGGAACAAGCAGCATTTTGGCACCAGGTAAAAGTCGTGTGTTGCCTACCAGCCCCCTTTTTACACTCTGTTAGATGGTTCGAGCATTTTGGCGGGATCACGGCTCTTTGGCGCGTGTTGTAAATGCCCTTTGAATTATAATATTTGTGCCTTATTGTGTAGTGATCGAGGATATACACAATACCAAAGGCAAGTAAATATTTTCCTCTGTTTTCCTCAGTGTCGTCAAACCGGCTTCACCGATGTGCTCGAACTCCGCATGCGAGAGCCATAACAAGCTGCTCCTCTACCTTTTTAAATAATAAAGGTCTCTCTTACCTTATATCGGCGAACACAGTTTCTGTCCTTCGGACATAATGCGAAATAACATCCAGAACTCTTCACGTTGAACTTTTGAAACCATTTCGGCGACAATATGTAACTTACCAGGTAACGTACCGAATAATTATTACTTTGGAGGGTTCGAATTCGACCTTCATGAAGCGCTAGATTTTGCCTTTCGCTTAAGAAACGAAAAAAATATTTCTTTTTTTCCAAGACTTGCACCAAGACCCTTTTTTAACACCAGCCATGAATTTAAGTATTTTCATTAAGTGATTTTGACGAGAACCATAGCTGAGTTAAAATTTCTCGCTCCGATGGTATAAATTCGGCGCGCAGAAGACAAGCTCTGATATTTGACGCAAATTTGTGTCCTGTCCTAAAATGAGTTTATTGACAGATGAACTGACAGAAAGCGATTAATGTGAACACCTGAGGTGCTCAAGGAAATGTGTCAAGACTAACGCCTTGTAGTTACTTGAGTCCAGTTTGTGGGTATCTCCATGGAAATTAAGGATCCCTGGTGCGTGCACGAAAATCGACCTTGCGGCTCGTAATGGCTATATAAGGACCCCTAAATGTACCATTTTAGAAGTACCTAGACTCTTAGCTAATACTAGTCCATAACTAACGTCAGGACAGCCAGTGTTGTCTTTAACTTTCGTCAGATCACTTGCCAAGTCTCATAGGAGCGGAAGGTACAGCTCCCTCTTCTTGCAGGAGCTCGACTTTATTCGCCTTCTACTGTGGGGGGATTGTGTCCCCTGTCTCCCCATGCTCCACAATCCGTGGCAGGGAAGTGCAACCCCTGGCTGCACTTTACCCCACAGTAAGGCTTAGCCCTTGGAGACAGGTCCGGAAAAAATATCCACTCCAGGGTGTGGACCCCCGGTCCCACCTGATCTGTACTCCACCCAGGAGGGCCACCCCTGCTGGTTCCCCTCAGTTCCTGTACTGGGGGATATGGGCCTCACTCCCGGAGACTGATCAGGACTCCTGTCCAGGGTGGCTACCCCCGGTACCACTCGATCTTGTCTCCCCCCAGGAGGGCTTCTCTCCTGGTCCCCTTATCCCTAGATTTAAGCGCTTCCCTGCCACCAGAATTTTGCCCATTACCCTTTGTGTGTTTTCTATGTGGTACTGTCATAAGCATTTATGCGGGAAAAACACTGCCAATTGGAAGAGTTTATTAAGTTCAAGTTTATGTTAGCATAAACTGTTGTTAATAAACCTGAGAATGATGCCCTATGAAAGCACACTTAGGGCATACTAGCAACAATCATATCTTGGTTCTTATGTCGCACAACGTGAACATTTGTATAAGCTTTTGTACTCAGTAATGGTAGATACTAGTTCAAAGTACAAGAAAGAACAATGAACACTAAGTAGTTGTTTGATTACAATGTATCCTTCTTCTTTGGCAAAGTCCACTGTAATGTAGCATGATATATTCCTAGACTCCACAAAGGTTCCATTCATATTATCACATGCTTATCATGCACGTGTGCTCCTCTTTTTGCCGCACACTGTCCTTTCCCAGTCAGTTCGTTTAGAGCTTCGGTTCATTCACAACAGCGTGTTTTCCCTCCCACCCACCCCTTTGTTCTGACTGGAACCTTTGTTCAGTTCTTCGATTACTTCTTATGTGCCCTATATATTTCAAATCAAATCAAAATCTTTATCTCACTTCGCATTCCAAAAGATAGCATCAACTAATGCTCAGATCTCCGAAGGTATAGCAAAAACAAATAGAATATAAATGACACTGGTAATTAGAATAAAGTAATACTATATATTAGGTACAAGTTTACGATAATGCAGAAACAAGACAATTATTTTATACAGTGTGTCTACAGTACCTAGCGATAATTAAAACTAATTACAAAGTAGCAGCATTTATTATGACTTATTAATGCTCTTAATTTTTTGGATTTGAAAACGTGTAATGATGCAGCAGTTCTAAGTACCTCTAGGAGCATATTCCAATATGGGCTGGCAGAGTAGCAGAGTAGCAGTATTTAGCACGACCAGAACATATTTTAAGCAGATCATTACCTTATTCCCTCTATATATATATGTATCCGTAAGATTAATCATTTATATTATGGTGTTATACTCGACTAGGTCTGATTCCTTCATTAGGTTCCTGGGATATGAAACTGCTGTCTGGCTTCCAAATAAAAGGGTGGCAGGGAAGTGCAACCCTGGTTGCACTTCACCCCACAGTAAGGCTTAGCCCTTGGAGACAGGTCTGGAAAATATCCACTTCAGGGTGTGGACCCATGGTCTCAACTGATCTGTACTCCACCCAGGAGGGCCACCCCTCCTGGTTCCCCTCAGTTCCTGTACTGGGGGATATGGGCCTCACCCCCGGAGACTGATCAGGACTCCTGTCCAGGGTGGCTACCCCCGGTACCACTCGATCTTGTCTCCCCCCAGGAGGGCTTCTCTCCTGGTCCCCTTATCCCTAGATTTAAGCGCTTCCCTGCCACCAGAATTTTGCCCATTACCCTTTGTGTGTTTTCTATGTGGTACTGTCATAAGCATTTATGCGGGAAAAACACTGCCAATTGGAAGAGTTTATTAACTTAAACTTACGCTTGGCTAGGTGCTTGTTAAGAAAACGAAGGTCGAGAATCAATCGAAGTTTGCCATTCTTTTTAGGAACTACACCTAAGGGACTGCAAACATGAACTTGGTCACGCTTGACTTCCACCGCGCTACCCGCCAACAACAATTGCTCGATAGCTTCACAAACAAAAGCTCTATTATCAACAGCGCTTTTATGATTACTAAAGAAATACCTCAATGGAATTGAAACAAATGGTAACTTATAACCGCTTTCAATAACACTAAGAACAAAAGAAGAGGCCCCAATAGAACGCCAAACATGCAAAAACTTGCGCAAGCGGCCTCGAATCCAAAATACTGAGGAAACGCCCGTGTCAAGTTCAGCCTCGCCGCGATCCGAAAAATCGTCAAAATCAGAGTCAGCTAGTCACTTAGCGGAAGAGGAAACTTTACAATCCTTGACAAAATGGCCTGCTTTGCCACAACCAAAGCAGCGATAAACAGAAGCTTTTTTCTCCGGTACAGGATTAACCAAAAGCTGGCCGACGTCTGGGCGGAAATCTACGATTCTGTGTGATGGGCCAAAGTTAGCACTGGGGCCGCTTTTGGAAGATGTAGACTGAGACTTAAAACGAGCTCCCATTTTGCTTCTCAGACTATTTTTTCGATTTCGTTTCTCCCGAGACCTCTCTGCTTCCTTGCGCGCGACACGAAGTTTCTTTTCTTCTTCGTCATTTTTAGTGAGTGGGTCCGCCTCAAAATATTCTACCACGTCCCAGCCATCCCGGTCAGCAATAGAAATAAGCTTATTTCGGTTATCAAGGAGTGACATACCTTCGTTGGCAATCTCAGTGATGGCGTCATCCGCCCCAGCCCTCTCTAAAATCTGGTTAAACTTATCCTTGACGTCAGTGTTGAACTTGAACTGTTTCTTGTTACTCTTATATTTGAACTCGGGCTCCTCCTCCGCAGACTTGCGTTTTAATGAGTCGAGCTGTTCTTTGACAACCTTGACCTCTTGCGTTTTCGTCTCCAAGGCCTTTAAGATTTCCTTCGCCCACGTTGGGGGCTCAGGGCTGCGAGAAACCGAGCGACTTCTACGGTGCGAACGCTCGCGGACACTCCTTCGCGAAGGCGAAGCACTACGACCAGAACCGCTCGAAGCTGCAACATGTGAGCGAGAACTACGACGGCCTGAACTTCGATGTTCTCTTGACCTGGACGGCCGGACAACAGGGTCTTCAACGTCCGCGTTGACTCTCGAAACATGAGAACGAACTGAAGCAGGGCGACCACGACGGCCCCGCGCCATATGGACGAGATAGGAAAAACGAGCTAAGAATTTAACTGTCCGCTTGTAAAAATCCACAATGAAACTTGTTTACTGTACAGCGAATATATACTTGCTAGTTTACATATCACACTTTCTTCCCATAATCACACGCCGGCACTTAAAACACACTGCCGACAAATGCACTTGTGCTTGGGAATTCAAGAAACCATTTATCTTTTGTTTCATTACGCTTCGCTACATTCAGGCAAAGATAAATGAACAAATAGGTGTCACAGAATGTTGACCTTTTTTTTCAGGTTACTATTTATGAGGTTTCTGTAATTAATTTACCTTTCCTTATTTTACAACGTACAAATGTACATGTAAATTTGTTGTCCTTTTGTCGTAAATATAAAGTACATTTAAGGAACACACATAGAGTGCTTCCCATAGAACAAAAATTCTGGTTTGAAATTATGGAAATTCCACATTCCCGATCAACCATACATTCAGGTTGCACAGACCTGACCCGAGCCACTGTGTATTTGGTTATTGTTCTTGTTAGCAGGATACAAAAGAATGGTACTGGGAACAACAATTTTTCTAATAGAAAGGGACAAGTTGATCCTGCCAACCAAAATGACTGGACGGGTCAAAGTACACCATCTTCAAAGGTGGTCTTAAATATTCCAGTTGGACTGCACCAAAATGGTCTGTTCTATTTTATTTCTAACCAAAGTTTCTGGAATTTTGTGCTCCTAGATGGAAAGCGCCCATAGATTATGTTATGGTCACCACCTGAGAATGTTATAGTTCTTTAATTTAAGGAGACAATTAAGCCTGTTCATCTAATGTTTCATTGTGATACAGTGTACAATTTACATTCTCTGGAAGTTGATCAATCTGTCCCATAATTGTCTTGAACTTTTAAGGTACATGTAATTGTGCCAAACAGGAGCTAAATTTTAGTTGGACATTGTCTGATGGATGTTCAGCTGCTATTTACAGCTTTAATTTATACTACAGTTAAAGCTCTTGTAATAGATACTCTTGACAAAACCCTTTAAATAAACTTTCTGTTCAAAAAACCCATTCCAGGAGCCAGGTCTAGTTATAACTGTATGGATACTTTTTCTGCGTCATGACGGTCCTTTACGGGGGCTTTAAATACAATGCAGTCATTTTCCGCTATTTCAAAATATTTGCTATAATTATTTTTATATTGGTGTTTTTGTTGTTGTAGTACCAAATGCTTCTCCAGCTAATGTCAGAGGAAACAAAGTAACCTCTACTGAGATTTTTGTACTGTGGGATGAAGTTCCAGCAGAAGCTCAAAATGGCATTATAGTGAACTATACAGTCACCTACGGAGAGTTGCCTGATGGTAGTCCGATACCTCAAGTGGTGATTGCTCCAAAACGAAATGCTACATTGACAGGATTGAAAAAATTTACCAACTACAGCATCACAGTGTTTGCATCTACTACCAAGGGGGGTGGTAACAGGAGTGAACCTATCATTGTCATTACAGATGAAGACAGTAAGGATATAATTCTGGTTAACATTCTTCAATGATTTTGTAATGTAGTCATTTCATTTTCCTGCAGTCTATTATCTATCGACACTACTTAAAACACATGCAACGGTTGTGAGGAAATATGAAAAACAAAACAAAACAAAACAAAAGATATAACTTGCTTTATTGAACTGTGACTTGGACTCCTTTCACCTTTTACAGTCAACCCAAGTCAAGTGCACCCCCCAAGATTACATTAATGAATTTATTATTCAAAAGTTGAATCCGTTGGTAGTTGTAGATTTCAGATTCATGTCTGCATTCTTGCATGCGTAGTGAGCCGTGAATTCACACGCGATTCAGTCACGAAATTTCTACCAGCTAAGTTTCCCTGAATTTGACGTAAATGTCTTCTATGAAATTTAACCCATTTAAAGATTTTCAATCTGACCAAATACAGAGAAGTTCTCGTAAAATATTCACTGCTCAGTATGCATGCAGGAATGCCGATTTGAATTTAACACTATTTACCGGAACAACTAAAAGATTCATTTTTCAAAATAATCAATTCATTAATAGAATCTTAAGGGGTATGCTTGACCTGCCTCGACTGTAAAAGTACAATTTCCAATTATGCCTAGTGGGCTTCAGTTATGATTTTGCTACTGATTGATTTAATACAATTTTCCACACTTGTTTACGTTTAGACACTTGTGTGCTTAACTATTATATCTTTTTAAAATAAATTGCAGAGAATAAGCCCCATTTGTTTTTGTGGTGTCCACAACGAGACAGTTAAGCATTTTTTTCTTGAATGTCCACTTTATTCTGCCCCTAGAACTAATCTGCTCACCTCTGCTGCTCCCATATTTGCTGACAGTTGGCCTTCTATGTTTTAGGCACAAATTATATCAGTTTCTATGGTAGGATCACCGTTACAGTATCGGGGGCAAAATAATGTTTTGATTTTTTCATGTCAAGTGATTTTTATATCTGAATCGATGAGATTTTAAAAAAGCACCTAAATATGTATTTTTCACCTGCTAGCACTTGTTTAATATCCTCTTTGTTTTGCTGCCGCTTGATGAGTTTTTTTTTGCTCTTAGGGCAAACTTCGTGTCCGTCAATAAAATATGTTTAAATAAATAAGTTAATTTTAAAAAAAGAACATTCAAGTCCTTTATTTTAAGATCTAAATGTTGCCAAGTTGCTTGAAATCATTACCCTTCAACCTGCTATATTTATGTAAGAGTTTCACAAACTCCTAAATGTACCTCCAGTGTTTGACACTTACTTCGATTCTGTTAGGAAGATACATAGCTATAAAACCAGATTATCTTGCAAAATGAATATTATGCTATTCCAAAAGCCAGAACAAAAGTAGTTGTGGAATCTTCAACATAAGATTTTAGGGTGTCCTAGTCTGGAATGATTTAAGTGATGGCATCAAGCTTCTTCCTCTGAAAAGTTTTAAGAAAAACCACAAACTAATTCTTTCTTTAGCCCCTATGGTAATTTGAGGCAGCCTGTACTCTTCCCAATTTTTTGTTAATTTATTTTTGTTAATTATTATTGCATACTGTTGGGTACAAGTAAAGTTGTTGTTGTTTCTACTTACTTTAGGGTTTACTATGACTGGTCATTAAAGAGGTCCACTTGGTGCTAGCCTTTGATAATATTTTCCCTGAAAAATCTACAGGAATGCCAGATTCCTGCCCAGAGATACTTTCAATCAAGGACGCCGGGTTGTCCCACTGATACAATCTCCCTTCAATCTATACTAGGGTTGTTCAAAGTCGATTGATTACTTTATTATTGTGTAAACCTTTTTCAGCACCAACCGCTGCTCCAATTAACGTGCGGGGACGCAACCTGAGTTCTAGCAGCATTTTGGTAGAATGGGGCGACGTACCGGAACCTGAGCGAAATGGCATTATACTCAGTTACACAGTTACTTATGAAGTACCTCCTCATGTCCCTATACGACGCCAGGTAGTTAATGCTTCAGCTAGGCAAGCAACGCTGATAGGACTCAACAAGTTTACAGAATATAAAATTGCAGTGTTTGCCAATACTTCAAAAGGAGGTGGAACTGGAAGCGAACCTATCCCGGTGAAAACGGACGAAGACAGTAAGTAGACCATTGCAAAGGTTACTGCTGCAGCTTTTGCTGCTAGTAACAGACGCCCCTTTTATATGGTTTTTGTAATATTACCCAAATTTATATAGTCGAACCTCCACTAACGGCCACCTCTATACAACGGCCATTTTTTGGGCGGACAGTCCATACATTCACCCTTGTTTCAAGCTCTTTACAACGGCCACCTCTCACAGATCACAAACCATGACCTCTTGAGCCCGTTTCAGTAAAGTTCTGTTTTCTAAGAGATCCGTTAAGATGATTGACGGCACCGAAAAACCCAGACGTCAGTTGGCTTTTGAACTTCAGAGCTCGCGTGTCTTTGAAAGGCGCAGTAATTCATAATTGTGAAATCAGTGGAAGATAGTCAGCTACAATCGAAGAAAAACACCAAAGAGAAAAGTTTCGTTAATATTAAGATATTCATCAGGAGCAGAGACTAGCCACGACGTTTTCAAACGGATTGCAATGATTCTGGATTCTGATTCTGATTCTGATTCCATCCAAATTTAAGGTGGACAAACTATGAAAATGGCCATTGTTGCTCCGCAATGATTTTTAAATTGTTGAGCAATGATGGTAAGGTTGCAACCAATTAGAGTGGTCTGGAACACGTACGGGAATTAATAGGGACATGCCAAATAATTGTCTGTATAATACCATTGTCCCTCATTAGTTGGATGTTAGTGTATGCGTCATGGACTTATATTTTATTGGTATATGTACAAAGACCAGGACATAAAAGTAATTTCTTAGCAACAAATCGATCAGGATGTTTTCTGTTGGGACTGTAACCTAAGTACAGGCCAGAAAATGAACAAGTAGAAAAACACAAACAATGAACAGAGCTCGTTGTAGTAGTTTTAAATTTAAAATTAAAGTTTACTTAGTATTTGAAACATAACCGTCGTTCAACGTAGCTGTTTAAACTAGATCGTGATTTTCGCTTTCAAATTTGTAACGTAATATTTATCCATACCGGGAGTACTTTTAAAGAATTATTGGCCTGTATTTCTGTTTTCTCGCTGGAAAAATGCATGTAGTAGTGCGCAGATTCCCAGTGTCCGTAAAGCACATGTATTTGCGCCATCGGATGTCTTATCACTCAGTCAAGTGCCTGTATTAACCAAGGAACCATATATATCCGTTTATGGGAGAAAATATGCGAGTTAATATAAATTATTAGAGTGAGCGTCGGGAGAAAGAAACTGACTGTTAGAAGCGGGAGTCCACTGTACTACCTGTAACTGTCAAATGCAGTTATTTTTCTACCCTTCATTGCATATTAACTTTGAATTTCTACATCAGAGCCCTATGGTGCACCACAAAACGTTAGTGTACGTAACACCAGTTCAACCAGTATCGGAAAGCAGTGCGGGCTGATCTTCAGTATTTATTGCTTGCAAATGCTAATAGAAACTCGCTTGAAATAAAACACCCCGATGTATGTAGTGTTTAAGTGGCCCAGAAATCAGGTACCAGAGATTTGCTACAAAACTTTTGTGTATTCTTTTTTAGAATACGATCAATCGAACAGCACTCTTACACGTAGTTCAAAGGTCTATTTATGAATAAATTAAGAGCTGCATCGGCCATACAAGGATGCGCTTATGCGGGGCTAGCAATTGTTCAGTAAACAAAATAGAAAACAAAAAATTTAAAATTCGGCTCATATTATATTAATGTGCCCTTTTGCTTCCTTGTTCTTTACTTTAGTCACCAAGATTAACTTTACACTTGTTTATCAGAACCTGATGGAAAACCACAAAACGTTCGTGGGCGTAACACCAGTTCAACCAGCATTTCAGTATCGTGGGATGAAGTGCAAGCTGATCTACAGAATGGTGTTATTACTGGTTACAATATAACGTACCAGTCACGGACAGAGAATGACAATGGATTTGTACCAGCTGGTCCTAATGATCGTCAGGCCAACCTCACAGGGCTGAAGGAGTTTGTTGAGTACAATATTTCAGTGGCTGCATTTACAGTGAAAGGAGATGGACCTCCCTTTGTTTTTATTGTTAGAACAGACCAAGATAGTAAGTCTTACAACACTTTTTTTTCTATTCTTAATACTATTGCAATCAGTGTCAGGGTTTGTTTACTTGTTTGTTTGTTTTTTCGGGTTAGTATAGCAACGCTCAGGCTGATTTCATGATCTCATCTATCGATGTTTATGTGCTAACCCTAACCTTTCTTGGAATACAATCAATCGAACACACTCTTACGTGTATTTCAAGGCTCTATTTCTGAATAAAATAGCAGCAGCATCGTCCATTAAAGGATGCGCTTTTGCAGGGATAGCAATTGTTGAGTAAACAAAATGGAAAAAAAAAATGTAAAATTCGGCAAGTATATATTATAATGTGCCACTTACTTGCTCGTTCTTTACTTTAGTACCAAGATTAACTTTGTACTTGTTTATCAGAACCGGACGGAAAACCACAAAACGTTCGTGGGCGTAACACCAGTTCAACTAGCATTGCAGTATCGTGGGATGAAGTGCAAGCTGATCTACAGAATGGTGTTATTACTGGTTACAATATAACGTACCAATCACTGACAGAGAATGACAATGGATTTGTACCAGCTGGTCCTAATGATCGTCAGGCCAACCTCACAGGGCTGAAGGAGTTTGTTGAGTACAATATTTCAGTGGCTGCATTTACAGTGAACGGAGATGGACCTCCCTTTGTTTTTATTGTTAGAACAGACCAAGATAGTAAGTCTTACAACACTTTATTATTATTATTATTATTATTATTATTATTATTATTATGTCAATCAGTGTCAGCGTTTGTTTATTTGTTTGTTTGTTTTTCGGGTTAGTATAGCGACGCTCAGGCTGATGTCATGATCTCATCTATCGATGTTTATGTGCTAACCCTAACCTTTCTTGGAATACGATCAATCGAACACACTAATATATAGATTTAGCCAGGGCTAAAAGCGAGGCTCCCATTAATATATTTATAATTTTAATCAAACAATAAACTTGTATTCCACAATTTTGTTAACTTTAGAGCACATAGCCCATTCATGTGACTTTTGAGGGAAAGGCTAAGTGATTTTAGAAAAAAATAATTTGCAAAAAGCCCAAGAGTGAACAAAATCTTACATCGAGTTGATAACCTCATATGTACACCCAAAAAATAGCAATCATCTTCACTCACATTTAAGAGCCATAATGGCTCTTGATCACCGTAAGATTAATTAGGCCTGGAAAAAAAATCAGGTCGAATTTTTTTGCGTTCGACAAGTTTACTTTACAAAATCTTGCCAACAAATCTGGTTGCGTGTAAACCAACCTTTTATACCATTTATACATCACATCTGAGGTGAAACAGTACTATGAGGTACTGTTTTTATCATACAGACCTCGGACAGAATGCAGTATTTCACAATTTTGCAACACAAATTGCACTAAGTCAATATTTAGGAAGATCGAAGCACGCGTGGGCCGTTTTAGCTAAACCGTTAAAAAAATTTCCAAAATCACACGTACGGCCAGCCGGTTTTCCCACTTTTGCCGCGGCATTTTGAGTACTCCTGCAAGCGATGTTCACTGAACGACTGAAAACAAACGGCACAGCGATTAAAATTACAAGAGAGACTACCAACAATCAATAAAAGAAATATAATTTGGTGAAACATATACAGAGACAACATTTTTCATTCACGAAGACAAGTATTAAAGTGTCTCTAAAAATCCTGAGTCTTCAAGCTTAAAGCTTAAGTTTATGTTTTAAGCGGCCGGCTTCCCGGTATTTACTTTTTTCAAAGATGAACTCGAGGCAAGAAAATCGCTCAAAGCTTTCTTTTACAGCCAGAATTATAACTAAATGTTCTTTGGAACGTTTTCTTTCTATTTGCGGTGAGAAAATGTCTAAAGAGTTTTTAAAATTGTGTAAGCTTATATCAAACCTGATCCATGGTCAGATCAAATTGTCTCAAATCTTACAAACGTGCATAAACTACATAGCCGCATAAACTACGCTCGACTTCATTAAATTAGAGATAAAAAACAAACATCAAACATCAAACACAATAATTACTGAGACTTAACATTCGAGATGCAGCTCTTGAAAGGTATCAAGTAAGGCCAGTATCGCTTCAGACTTTTCAACCTTTACGCATCAAGCAAGGTGAAAAACGAAAACGATGCCATCCGAAATTGGATTTACGACTTTGACAAGTGATGTATCAATTTCTCAACCAAAAACCAACTAGCCATGAATAACAGAAGACTCTTGATAGCAAATGAATTTCATTTTGTGCATCCAGTGGAAAAAGACAGTTAAAAACATCACAAGTTGACACAAAACTCTGTCAGCTTCAGCTGTCAAAGTAAACAAGATTCAAGATGCTGCATAAATTTTCCGCATGAGCTCACCAGTCAAATTTTGACCAATCAGAGCGTAAAAAATGGACGTAGAGCGTGACCAACGAGTGACCATGGTGAGCAAAGTCAAAAGCAACTGTCTTCCATGCCTTTAATAGCTGGCTGAATTTTCGGGTCCGAAGTCAGTTTTAAATCAAAATTTTAATTGTGCGGCCAAAAAACAAAACATATTTCATATGAATGAAAAAAAAATCAAACTTGAGCCTGCGATCATTTGAAAACTGGTAACCTGTCAGCGGATAACTTCAAAAAAAATACTTGACCTCTATGGGTCAACACCCGAGCCCGCGATACGGCCAAGTGATACTGGTCAGCGGATACCCTGTTTTGACAGCTGTCAATTGATCACAACATTGATGTCCAATGGATGTGTGCATGATCAGTTTTCCTGTGCTCTCAAACTAGCTAGAAAGAATGAGATTAAACACTGATCGCGATCTAGTAAAACAACTGGTCAGCGGACAGCTTCCAAACAAATCACGTCACCTTGATGAGTTGATACATGAGCCCTCGATATGGCAATGTGATACTGGTCAGTGGTTATCCTGTTTTGACAGCTGTCAATTGACCATATTGTGAATGGCCAATGTAAAAGATGTGGATTTGCCAAGACACGCCTGAGACACCCCTCCCTTCCTTTTGATAGTCTCCCCTACCCTACCCGTACAATCTGTAGACGCGTACGTACGTACGCTCGGTCAGTCACGTGACAACCAAACGAAAAGAGGTTGACCATATTTTATGATTATGGGGCTCTGTCCCACGCACGCTTCGCGCGCGAGGGAGCCCCGCTATTACATGTATTTCAAGGCTCTATTTCTGAATAAAAGAGCAGCCGCACCGTCCATTAAAGGATGCGCTTTTGCAGGGGTAGCAATTGTTGAGTAACAAAATAGGAAAAAAAAATGTAAAATTCGGCAAATATTATAATGTGCCTCTTAGTTGCTCGTTCTTTACTTTAGTGCCAAGATTAACTTTATACTTGTTTATCAGAACCGGATGGAAAACCACAAAACGTTCGTGGACGTAACACCAGTTCAACCGGCATTTCCGTATCTTGGGACGAAGTGCAAGCTGAGTTACAGAATGGTATTATTACTGGTTACAATATAACGTATCAGTCACTGACAGAGAATGACAGTGGATTTGTAACAGCTGGTCCTAATGATCGTCAGACCAACCTCACAGGGTTGAAGGAGTTTGTTGAGTACAATATTTCAGTGGTTGCATTTACAGTGAAAGGAGATGGACCTCCCTTTGTTTTTATTGTTAGAACAGACCAAGATAGTAAGTCTTACAATACTTTTTGTTATTATTATTATTATTACTATTATTATCATTATTATTATTATTATCGTTGATATGGCAATCGATCAGTGTCAGCGTTTGTGTATTTGTTTGTTATTTTTGAGTGTAGCTAAATGTGGTGGGTCGTGGGTCGTGGGTAGAGGTCGTGGGTCGTGGGTGTGAGCCGTGGGTGTGGGTGTGGGTGTGGGTAAATGTCGTGGGTAAAAAAAAAAAGTCTTGCAAAAGGAAATAAAAATTAAAAAATTAAATAGCAAAAAGTTGTAAAATTCATGAAAAGAAAATCTCCGCGTACATACCAGTCCTTTCCCCCTTCCCCGCGGTCAGCAAAGCAAATAACCGAATCCTCTAGTACAAACGGACACTAAAAAGACATTTAGGTGAAAAATAAAAGAAACTCTGTGCACTATACAAAAACTGGAGACTGATATTTCGAATCGTTACGGTAAAGAGTTTGTACACAAAACAAAACAAAAAGTAATCGAGAAAATTGTATTTTCGTACGGCAATAAAATTTACATACAGTCTAGCCTTAAAGGAGCTGTGTCACGGCAGTCCAGTTCATTTTGTTTAATTTTGCTAATTACTCGCCCTCAATCGCTATGGAACTTAAAGCAAGCAAAGAATTCGAAATTACACGTAAATGACAAATCAGAGATCTGAGACAAACAAATTTGTCTGCTGAGCATTATTTTTGAAGCTGAAAGCAGCAGGGATCAACTTTGAAAAACTGTTAGGCTGAACAGTTTTCAAAAACCTTGTTTCAATCCGTTTCAATCTTCTTCAGTTTTGCCCATCCGTGGCATCTGTTGTTTCTGTTATGTTATTTTAACCTTCCTTTGAAGTTTTAAGCGGTTATTTTTATGTTTCTCTTAATCTATCGGGCATTTTGTAATTTCCTAATTTGGGTGAATTTCATGACACAGCCCTTTTAACTTAAAAGGTTGGGAATGAAGGTGTTTCCTTCATAAGGTAAGAGACCTAAAACTTCTATCCAAAAATATAAAATACCTAAAATTGTCCTTTTCCCTTCCCTTTCTCACGGTTATCGCATTCCATAGTGTTAAAAAATCTCCACTGATCATTGGAATTGTAGATCAAATAAAGATAAATAGTGAGCAGCTATTTCCATTCAGCGAGTCAGAGCTGTCCCATACTTTCTGCAAATTGCAGGTATAATATACGTCTGTTTCGTTCATTTCGCGTCGATAGCTTAGGTATCGATAAATCTTCATGGCAAAATGTCTCTTATACAGTGATGTTGTGAAAGGGGAGCCAAGTCCCGCAGGGAGACGACGAAGAAGCCGTGACGATCAATCAAGGAATTGGAGATATTCGTTTCACAAACATTTTAAAACTTTTTTCTATTTATTTCTTTTTTTCAATTACTTTACTTTCACACTTTTTCTATACTTTTTTTCACCCACGACATTTACCCACACCCACACCCACACCCACACCCACGACCCACGCTCTCTACCCACGACCCACGACCCACGACCCACGACATTTAGCTACACTCGTTACTTTTTGGGGGTTAATTAGTATAGCGACGCTTAGGCTCAGATGTCATGATCTCATCTATCGATGTTTATGTGCTAACCCTACCCTTTTTTGGAATAAGATCAATCGAATGCACTCTTACATGTATTTCTGGGCTCTATTTCTGAATAAAAGAGCAGCCGCATGGTGTATTAAAGGATGCGCTTTTGCAGGGATAGCAATTGTTCAGCAACAAAATAGAAAAAAAAAAAATGTAAAATTAGGCAAATATTATAATGTGCCTCTTGCTTCCTTGTTCTTTACTTTAGTACCAAGGTTAACTTTATACTTGTTTATCAGAACCTGATGGAAAACCACAAAACGTTCGTGGACGTAACACCAGTTCAACCAGCATTTCCGTATCTTGGGACGAAGTGCAAGCTGAGTTACAGAATGGTATTATTACTGGTTACAATATAACGTATCAGTCACTGACAGAGAATGACAGTGGATTTGTAACAGCTGGTCCTAATGATCGTCAGGCCAACCTCACAGGGCTGAAGGAGTTTGTTATGTACAATATTTCAGTGGTTGCATTTACAGTGAAAGGAGATGGACCTCCCTTTGTTTTTATTGTTAGAACAGACCAAGATAGTAAGTCTTACAACACTTTTTTTTTCTATTTTTATTACTATTGCAATCAGTGTCAGCGTTTGTTTTGTTTGATTTTTTTTTTTCGGGTTAGTATAGCAACGCTCAGGCTGATGTCATGATCTCAACTTTGGGTGGGGAGAGAAGAAATGCTCAGCGACAACTGCGTCTCATTCTTTATTTCATTAAAGTTAGATAAGTTGGTTGTGACATTAGAAATCATCCATTTCAGTCAATTGTTTCTACGAAAACATTGATGAGTATTGTTGTCATAAAATGCTGGTGAGAGCTTTTATGTTACCATCTATCATGTTCATTTTAACTTTAGGGTACTCAGAAAGAATAGCAATTTATTATTCTTGATGTTGTTAGACATATTTTGTCACTGCATTTTACATTCCCCACCCCTTCCATTTGTTTGTCACTTTGTTGTAGTTAGCCATGTTATATATCATACAAGTTTTAAATAAGGATGTTACAAAGTATTGGCCTCCAGATAAGTTTCACCATGGGTTGAGCACTTAAATAGGTGTTGTATATAGGCATGATAAGGGTCTCTTTGTGCAAATTAATTATCAGTAACAGCAGTACTATTTTCTTTTTGTAGTGGTGCCAAGTCCACCCCAGAATGTTGAAGTTATTGCTAAGACCTCACGAGTTGTGAACATCTCCTGGACACCTGGCTTCAATGGCAACAGTGATATTCTTAACTACACTGTAGAGATCAGTACAGATCATCAGACATTTGCACAAGCTACATGTGTAGGGCTATCAAGTAGTGGCTGTGTGGTATCAAACTCCTTCACAAATGTTTCTCTTTTAGAGCTACATCCAGGAACAAAATATTACATTAGGATGTTTGCTACTAACAAAGTTGGTTCTAGTACTGCTAGCTCAGTAATCACCACAACCACAGATGAAGAAGGTATACCTTGTTACATAAAATTGTTGCTACTTCTCTAGCCTGAAGAAAAAAAAAGGAAAAAGAAAAAACACCCAGCAATCTGAGAAGCCACCACTGGTTTCCCCCAAAATGACTGCAGAAATTCTATACTGATTACAGGTGTGACTACCCAGATCTGGGTAGTACTTCTGATTAGCTGTGTCCTGAGGGAATTTGCTTCAGCCAATCACTGAAGCACTACCCAGATCCATTAGTATGGAGATCTGGATAGTGACGCTATCCAGATCCATTAGTATGGAGTTTCTGTGCTTGTTCCTCAGACAGCATTCTGCAGAGAAAACAGTAATAGGTGTCGCAGAATGTTGACCTTTTTTTTCAGGTTACTATTTATGAGGTTTCTGTAATTAATTTACCTTTCCTTATTTTACAACGTACAAATCTACATGTAAATTTGTTGTCCTTTTGTCTTAAATATAAAGTACATTTAAGGAACACACATAGAGTGCTTCCCATAGAACAAAAATTCTGGTTTGAAATTTTGGAAGTTCCACATTCCCGATCAACCATACATTCAGGTTGCACAGACCTGACCCGAGCCACTGTGTATTTGGTTATTGTTCTTGTTAGCAGGATACAAAAGAATGGTACTGGGAACAACAATTTTTCTAATAGAAAGGGACAAGTTGATCCTGCCAACCAAAATGACCGGACGGGTCAAAGTACACCATCTTCAAAGGTGGTCGTAAATATTCCAGTTGGACTGCACCAAAATGGTCTGTTCTATTTTATTTCTAGCCAAAGTTTCTGGAATTTTGGGCTCCTAGATGGAAAGCGCCCAATAATTTAAGGACACAATTAAGCCTGTTCATCTAATGTTTCATTGTGATACAGTGTACAATGTACATTCTCTGGAAGTTGATCAATCTGTCCCATAATTGTCTTGAACTTTTAAGGTAATGTAATTGTGCCAAACAGGAGCTAAATTTTAGTTGGACATTGTCCGATGGATGTTCAGCTGCTATTTGCAGCTTTAATTTATACTACAGTTAAAGCTCTTGTAATAGATACTCTTGACAAAACCCTTTAAATAAACTTTCTGTTCAAAAAACCCATTCCAGGAGCCAGGTCTAGTTATAACTGTATGGATACTTTTTCTGCGTTATGACGGTCCTTTACGGGGGCTTTAAATACAATGCAGTCATTTTCCGCTATTTCAAAATATTTGCTATAATTATTTTTATATTGGTGTTTTTGTTGTTGTAGTACCAAATGCTTCTCCAGCTAATGTCAGAGGAAACAAAGTAACCTCTACTGAGATTTTTGTACAGTGGGATGAAGTTCCAGCAGAAGCTCAAAATGGCATTATAGTGAACTATACAGTCACCTACAGAGAGTTGCCTGATGGTAGTCCGATACCTCAAGTGGTGATTGCTCCAAAACGAAATGTTACATTGACAGGATTGAAAAAATTTACCAACTACAGCATCACAGTGTTTGCATCTACTACCAAGGGGGGTGGTAACAGGAGTGAACCTATCATTGTCATTACAGATGAAGACAGTAAGGATATAATTCTGGTTAACATTCTTCAATGATTTTGTAATTTAGTCATTTCATTTTCCTGCAGTCTATTATGTATCGACACTACTTAAAACACATGCAACGGTTGTGAGGAAATATGAAAAACAAAACAAAACAAAAGAAATAACTTGTTTTATTGAACTATGACTTGGACTCCTTTCACCTTGTTTTACAGTCAACCCAAGTCAAGCGCACCCCTCAAGATTACATTAATGAATTTATTATTCAAAAGTTGAATCCGTTGGTAGTTGTAGATTTCAGATTCATGTCTGCAATCTTGCATGCGTAATGAGCCGTGAATTCACGCGCGATTCAGTCACGAAATTTCTACCAGCTAAGTTTCGCTGAATTTGACGTAAATGTCTTCTATGAAATTTAACCCATTTAAAGATTTTCAATCTGACCAAATACAGACAAGTTCTCGTAAAATATTCACTGCTCAGTACGCATGCAGGAATGCCGATTTGAATTTAACACTATTTACCGGAACAACTAAAGGATTCATTTTTCAAAATAATCAATTCATTAATAGAATGATTAATGGCATGATATAAGTGATGGCATCAAGCTTCTTCCTCTGAAAAGTTTTAAGAAAAACCACAAACTAATTCTTTCTTTAGCCCCTATGGTAATTTGGGGCAGCCTGTACTCTTCCCAATTTTTTGTTAATTTATTTTTGTTAATCATTTTTGCATACTGTTGGGTACAAGTAAAGTTGTTGTTGTTGTTTCTACTTACTTTAGGGTTTACTATGACTGGTCATTAAAGAGGTCCACTTGGTGCTAGCCTTTGATATTATTTTCCCTGAAAAATCTACAGGAATGCCAGATTCCTGCCAAAAGATACTTTCAATCAAGGACGCCGGGTTGTCCCACTGATACAATCTCCCTCCAATCTATACTAGGGTTGTTCAAAGTCGATTGATTGCTTTATTATTGTGTAAACCTTTTTCAGCACCAACCGCTGCTCCAATTAACGTGCGGGGACGCAACCTGAGTTCTAGCAGCATTTTGGTAGAATGGGGCGACGTACCGGAACCTGAGCGAAATGGCATTATACTCAGTTACACAGTTACTTATGAAGTACCTCCTCATGTCCCTATACGACGCCAGGTAGTTAATGCTTCAGCTAGGCAAGCAACGCTGATAGGACTCAACAAGTTTACAGAATATAAAATTGCAGTGTTTGCCAATACTTCAAAAGGAGGTGGAACTGGAAGCGAACCTATCCCGGTGAAAACGGACGAAGACAGTAAGTAGACCATTGCAAAGGTTACTGCTGCAGCTTTTGCCGCTAGCAACAGACCCCCCTTTTATATGGTTTTTGTAATATTACCCAAATTTATACAGTCGAACCTCCACTAACGGCCACCTCTCTACAACGGCCATTTTTTGGGCGGACAGTCCATTCATTCACCCTTGTTTCAAGCTCTCTACAACGGCCACCTCTCACAGATCACAAACCATAAGCTCTTGAGCCCGTTTAAGTGAAGTTCTGTTTTCTAAGAGATCCGTTAAGATGATTGACGGCACCGAAAAACCCAGACGTAAGTTGGCTTTTGAACTTCAGAGCTCGCGTGTCTTTGAAAGGCGCAGTAATTCATAATTGTGAAACCAGTGGAAGATAGTCAGCTACAATCGAAGAAAAACACCAAAGAGAAAAGTTTCTTTAATATTAAGATATTCATCAGGAGCAGAGACTAGCCACGAAGTTTTCAAACGGATTGCAATGATTCTGGATTCTGATTCTGATTCTGATTCTGATTCCATCCAAATTTAAGGTGGACAAACTATGAAAATGGCCATTGTTGCTCCGCAATGATTTTTAAATTGTTGAGCAATGATGGTAAGGTTGCAACCAATTAGAGTGGTCTGGAACACGTACGGGAATTAATAGGGACATGCCAAATAATTGTCTGTATAATACCATTGTCCCTCATGAGTTGGATGTTAGTGTATGCGTCATGTACTTATATTTTATTGGTATATGTACAAAGACCAGGGCATAAAAGTAATTTCTTAGCAACAAATCGATCCGGATGTTTTTTGTTGGGACTGTAACCTAAGTACAGGCCAGAAAATGAACAAGTAGAAAAACACAAACAATGAACAGAGCTCGTTGTAGTAGTTTTAAATTTAAAATTAAAGTTTACTTAGTATTTGAAACATAATCGTCGTTCAACGTAGCTGTTTAAACTAGATCGTGATTTTCGCTTTCAAATTTGTAACGTAATATTTATCCATACCGGGAGTACTTTTAAAGAATTATTGGCCTGTATTTCTGTTTTCTCGCTGGAAAAATGCATGTAGTAGTGCGCAGATTCCCAGTGTCCGTAAAGCGCATGTATTTGCGCCATCGGATGTCTTATCACTCAGTCAAGTGCCTGTATTAACCAGGGAACCATATATATCCGTTTATGGGAGAAAATATGCGAGTTAATATAAATTATTAGAGTGAGCGTCGGGAGAAAGAAACTGACTGTTAGAAGCGGGAGTCCACTGTACTGCCTGTAACTGTCAAATGCAGTTATTTTTCTACCCTTCATAGCATATTAACTTTGAATTTCTACATCAGAGCCGGATGGGGCACCACAAAACGTTAGTGGACGTAACACCAGTTCAACCAGTATCGGAAAGCAGTGCGGGCTGATCTACAGTATTTATTGCTTGCAAATGCTGATAGAAACTCGCTTGAAATAAAACATCCCGATGTATGTAGTGTGTAAGTGGCCCAGAAATCAGGTACCAGAGATTTGCTACAAAACTTTTGTGTATTCTTTTTTAGAATACGATCAACCGAACGGCACTCTTACACGTAGTTCAAAGGTCTATTTATGAATAAATTAAGAGCTGCATCGGCCATACAAGGATGCGCTTATGCGGGGCTAGCAATTTTTCAGTAAACAAAATAGAAAACAAAAAATTTAAAATTCGGCACATATTATATTAATGTGCCCTTTTGCTTCCTTGTTCTTTACTTTAGTCACCAAGATTAACTTTATACTTGTTTATCAGAACCGGATGGAAAACCACAAAACGTTAGTGGACGTAACACCAGTTCAACCAGTATTTCAGTATCGTGGGAAGAAGTGCAAGCTGATCTACGGAATGGTATCATTACTGGTTACAAAATAACGTATCAGACACTGACAGAGAATGACAATGGATTTGTACCAGCTGGTCCTGATGATCGTCAGGCCAACCTAACAGGACTGAAGGAGTTTGTTGAGTACAATATTTCAGTGGTTGCATTCACAGTGAAAGGAGGTGGACCTCCCTTTGTGTTTATTGTTAGAACAGACCAAGATAGTAAGTCTTACAACACTTTTTGTTATTATTATTATTGCTATTGCAATCATTGTCGGCGTTTGTTTGTTTGTTTGTTTGTTTGTTTGTTTTTCGGGTTAGTATAGCGACACTCAGGCTGAAGTCATGATCTCATCTATCGATGTTTATGTGCTAACCCTACCCTTTTTTGGAATATGATCAATCGAATGCACTCTTACATGTATTTCAGGGCTCTATTTCTGAATAAAAGAGCAGCCGCATCGTCCATTAAAGGATGCGCTTTTGCAGGGGTAGACACTGTTCAGCAACAAAATAGAAAAAAAAAACAATGTAAAATTGGGCAAATATTATAATGTGCCTCTTGCTTGCTTGTTCTGTACTTTGGTACCAAGATTAACTTTATACTTGTTTATCAGAACCTGATGGAACCCCACAAAACGTTCGTGGAAGTAACACCAGTTCAACCAGCATTTCCGTATCGTGGGACGAAGTGCAAGCTGAGTTACAGAATGGTATTATTACTGGTTACAATATAACGTATCAGTCACTGACAGAGAATGACAGTGGATTTGTAAAAGCTAGTCTGAATGATCGTCAGGCCAACCTCACAGGGCTGAAGGAGTTTGTTGAGTACAATATTTCAGTGGTTGCATTTACAGTGAAAGGAGATGGACCTCCCTTTGTTTTTATTGTTAGAACAGACCAAGATAGTAAGTCTAACAACGCTTTTTGTTATTATTATTATTATTATTATTATTATTATTATTATTATTATTATTATTATTATCATCGTTGATATTGCAATCGATCAGTGTCAGCGTTTGTTTATTTGTTTGTTATTTTTTTCGGGTTAATTAGTATAGCGACGCTTAGGCTCAGATGTCATGATCTCATCTATCGATGTTTATGTGCTAACCCTACCCTTTTTTGGAATACGATCAATCGAATGTACTCTTACATGTATTTCTGGGCTCTATTTCTGAATAAAAGAGCAGCGGCATCGTCTATTAAAGGATGCTCTTTTGCAGGGATAGCAATTGTTCAGCAACAAAATAGAAAAAAAAAAAAACAATGTAAAATTGGGCAAATATTATAATGTGCCTCTTGCTTGCTTGTTCTTTAATTTATGACCAAGATTAACTTTATACTTGTTTATCAGAACCTGATGGAAAACCACAAAACGTTCGTGGACGTAACACCAGTTCAACCAGCATTTCCGTATCTTGGGACGCAGTGCAAGCTGAGTTACAGAATGGTATTATTACTGGTTACAATATAACGTATCAGTCACTGACAGAGAATGACAGTGGATTTGTAACAGCTGGTCCTAATGATCGTCAGGCCAACCTCACAGGGCTGAAGGAGTTTGTTGAGTACAATATTTCAGTGGTTGCATTTACAGTGAAAGGAGATGGACCTCCCTTTGTTTTTATTGTTAGAACAGACCAAGATAGTAAGTCTTACAACCCTTTTTTTTCTATTTTTATTACTATTGCAATCACTGTCAGCGTTTGTTTTGTTTGATTTTTTTTTCGGGTTAGTATAGCAACGCTCAGGCTGATGTCATGATCTCAACTTTGGGTGGGGAGAGAAGAAATGCTCAGCGACAACTGCGACTCATTCTTTATTTCATTAAAGTTAGATAAGTTGGTTGTGACATTAGAAATAATCCATTTCAGTCAATTGTTTCTACGAAAAAATTGATGAGTATTGTGGTCATAAAATGCTGGTGAGAGCTTTTATGTTACCATCTATCATGTTCACTTTAACTTCAGGGTACTCAAAAAGAATAGCAATAAATTCTTTGTATTGTTAGACATATTTTGTCACTGCATTTTACATTCCCCAACCCCTTTCATTTGTTTGTCACTTTGTTGTAGTTAGCCATGTTGTATATTATACAAGTTGCAAATAAGGATGTTACAAGTATTGGCCTCCAGATAAGTTTCACCATGGGTTGAGCACTTAAATAGGTGTTGTATATAGACATGATAAGGGTCTCTTTGTGTAAATTAATTATCAGTAACAGCAGTACTATTTTCTTTTTGTAGTGGTGCCAAGTCCACCCCAGAATGTTGATGTTATTGCTAAGACCTCACGAGTTGTGAACATCTCCTGGACACCTGGCTTCAATGGCAACAGTAATATTCTTAACTACACTGTAGAGATCAGTACAGATAATCAGACATTTTCAAATGCAACATGTCAAGGGTTGTCAAGTAGTGGCTGTGTGGTATCAAGCTCCTTCACAAATGCTTCTCTTGTAGAGCTACATCCAGGAACGAAATATTACATTAGGGTGTTTGCTACTAACAAAGTTGGTTCCAGTACTGCTAGCTCAGTAATCACCACAACCACAGATGAAGAAGGTATACCTTTTTACATAAAATTGTTGCTACTTCTCTAGCCTGAAGAAAAAAAAAAGAAAAAAGAAAAAACACCCAGCAATCTGAGAAGCCACCACTGGTTTCCCCCAAAATGACAACAGAAATTCTATACTGATTACAGGTGTGACTACCTAGATCTGGGTAGTACTTCTGATTAGCTGTGTCCTGAGGGAATTTGCTTCAGCCAATCACTGAAGCACTACCCAGATCTGGATAGTGACACTATCCAGATCCATTAGTATGGAGTTTCTTTGCTTGTTCCTTAGACAGCATTCTGGGGAGAAAACAGCAATAGGTGTCACAGAATGTTGACATTTTTTTTCAGGTTACTATTTATGAGGTTTCTGTAATTAATTTAAGTTTCCTTATTTTACAACGTACAAATGTACATGTAAATTTGTTGTCCTTTTGTCTTAAAGTACATTTAAGGAACACACATAGACTGCTTCCCATAGAACAAAAATTCTGGTTTGAAATTTTGGAAATTCCACATTCCCGATCAACTGTACATTCAGGTTGCACAGACCTGACTTGGGCCACTGTGTATTTGGTTATTGTTCTTGTTAGCAGGATACAAAAGAATAGTACTGGGAACAACAATTTTTCTAATAGAAAGGGACAAGTTGATCCTGCCAACCAAAATGACTGGATGGGTCAAAGAACACCATCTTCAAAGGTGGTCTTAGATATTCCAGTTGGACTGCACCAAAATGGTCTTTTCTATTTTATTCCTAGCCAAAGTTTCTGGAATTTTGGGCTCCTAGATGGAAAGCGCCCATAGATTATGTTATGGTCACCACCTGAGAATGTTATAGTTCTTTAATTTAGAGAGACAATTAAGCCGGTTCAGCTAATGTTTCATTGTGATACAGTGTACAATGTACATTCTCTGGAAGTTGATCAATCTGTCCCATAATTGCCTTCAACTTTTAAGGTACATGTAATTGTGCCAAACAGGAGCTAAATTTTAGTTGGACATTGTCTGATGGATGTTCAGCTGCTATTTGCAGCTTTAATTTATACTAAAGTTAAAGCTCTTGTAATAGATACTCTTGACAAAACCCTTTAAATAAACTTTCTGTTCAAAAAACCCATTCCATCAGCCAGGTCCAGTTAACCGTGTGGACACTTTTTCTGCGTCATGACGGTCCTTTACAGGGGCTTTAAATACAATGCAGTCATTTTCCGTTATTTCAGAATATTTGCTATAATTTTTTTTATATTGGTGTTTTTGTTGTTGTAGTACCAAATGCTTCTCCAGCTAATGTCAGAGGAAACAAAGTAACCTCTACTGAGATTTTTGTACAGTGGGATGAAGTTCCAGCAGAAGCTCAAAATGGCATTATAGTGAACTATACAGTCACCTACGGAGAGTTGCCTGATGGTAGTCCGATACCTCAAGTGGTGATTGCTCCAAAACGAAATGCTACATTGACAGGATTGAAAAAATTTACCAACTACAGCATCACAGTGTTTGCATCTACTACCAAGGGGGGTGGTAACAGGAGTGAACCTACCATTGTCATTACAGATGAAGACAGTAAGTATAATTCTTGTGAACATTCGTTAATGATCATGTAAGGTGATCATTTCATTTCCCTGTGGTCTATTATGTATCAACACTACTTAAAACACATGAAACGGTTGTGAGGAAATATGAAGAACAAAAGAAAAGAAAACAAAAGATATAACTTTCTTTATTGAACTGTGACTTGGACTCCTTTCACCTTCTAAAAGTACAATTTTCAATTGTGCCTAGTGGGCTTCAGTTATGATTTTGCTATTGATTGATTTAATGCAATTTTCCACACTCGTTTACGTTTAGACACTTGTTTGCTTAACTATTATCTTTTAAAAATAAATTGCAGAGAATAAGCCCCATTTGTTTTTGTGGTGTCCACAACGAGACAGTTAGGCATTTTTTTCTTGAATGGCCACTTTATTTTGCCCCTAGAACTAATCTGCTCTCCTCTGCTGCTCCCATGTTTGCTGACAGGTGACTTCTATGTTTTAAGCACAAATTACATCAGTTTTTCTGGTTGGATCATCATTACTGTATCTGGGGCATTTACCTCGTGTATTGACACTTCAACTCTGTTAGGAAGATACATAGCTATAAAGCCAGATTATCTGGCAAAATGAATTGTGCTATTCCGAAAGCCAGAACAAAATTAATTGTGGAATCTTCAACATAAGTTTTCAGGGTGTCTAAGTCTGGAATGATATAAGTGATGGCATCAAGCTGCTTCTTCTGAAAAGAGTTTTAAGAAAAACCACAAGCTAATTCTTTCTTTATGGTTATTTCGGGCAACCTGTACTCCTCCCAATTTTTTGTGGCAATACGTTGGTTTTGGGGCAATACAATCGTATCTATGGTATCATCTTGGCAACTTTCAAATATGGTCAACGCCAGCTGGCCGTTATGAACAATTACAGAATTTATATATGCAAGGGTTGTGAGACGGGGCCTACGGTTTATCTTCCTTATCCGAGAAGACTAGAAAGTCTAACCGTTTGCAGATGTCTTTCCAAAGGCAGCACTTTCTCCTCAGTTACTTAAAGACCCTGAGTGTTGGTCTGGGCGGGACTTGAACCAGCGGCCTCCCGCTCGGCAGACCGGCGCTTATCCAACTGAGCTAACCGGGCGGCAAAGGGATTGGAGCGAATTAGAAACGGTAGAATATTTTGAATAAATAATAATCATCAATTTGGTAGCACTTGCGAATAAAAAAACTATCTTAAATATTTATTATAAAGTCTGTATACTTGAGTATCAGAGTACCAAGGTTAACTTTATACTTGTTTATCAGAACCGGATGGAAAACCACAAAACGTTAGTGGACGTAACACCAGTTCAACCAGCATTTCAGTATCGTGGGAACAAGTGCAAGCTGATCTACGGAATGGTATTATTACTGGTTACAATATAACGTACCAGTCACAGACAGAGAATGACAATGGCTTTGTAACAGCTGGTCCTAATGATCTTCAGGCCAACCTAGCAGGACTGAAGGAGTTTGTTGACTACAATATTTCAGTGGTCGCATTTACAGTGAAAGGAAATGGACCGCCTTCTGTTCTTATTGTTAAAACGGACCAAGATAGTAAGTAACTAATTTTGCCATGATTGCTATTGCGAAAGCCAGAACAAAATTAATTGTGGAATCTTCAACATAAGATTTCAGGGTGTCTAAGTAAGTGATGGCATCAAGCTGCTTCCTCTGAAAAGAGTTTTAAGAAAAACCACAAGCTAATTCTTTCTTTAGCCCCTATGGTTATTTGGGGCAACCTGTACTCCTCCCAATTTTTTGTTAATTTATTTTTGTTAATCATTATTGTATACTGTTGGGTATAAGTAAAGTTGTTGTTGTTGTTTCTACTTGCTTTAGGGTTTACTATGACTGGTCAGTAAAGAGGTCCACTTGGTGCAAGTCTTTGATATTATTTTCCCTGAAAAATCTGCAGGGATGCCAGATTCCTGCCCAAAGATCCTTTCAATCAAGGACGCCGTGTTGTCCCACTATTACAATCTCCCTCCAATCTATACTAGGGTTGTTCAAAGTCGATTCAGCTGTCGATTGATTTCTTTATTGTTGTGTAAACCTTTTTCAGCGCCAACCGCCGCTCCAGTTAACGTGCGGGGACGCAACCTGAGTTCTACCAGCATTTTGGTAGAATGGGGCGACATACCGGAACCTGGTAGAAATGGCATTATACTCAGTTACACAGTTACTTATGAAGTACCTCCTGATGTCCCTATACAACGCCAGGTAGTGAATGCTTCAGCTAGGCAAGCAACGCTGATAGGACTCAACAAGTTTACAGAATATAAAATTGCAGTGTTTGCCAATACTTCAAAAGGAGGTGGAACTGGAAGCGAACCTATCCCGGTGAAAACGGACGAAGACAGTAAGTAGACCATTGCAAAGGTTACTGCTGCAGCTTTTGCCGCTAGCAAAAGACACCCCTTTTATATGGTTTTTGTAATATTACCCAAATTTATACAGTCGAACCTCCACTAACGGCCACCTCTCTACAACGGCCATTTTTTGGGCGGACAGTCCATACATTCACCCTTGTTTCAAGCTCTCTACAACGGCCACCTCTCACAGATCACAAACCATAAGCTCTTGAGCCCGTTTAAGTGAAGTTCTGTTTTCTAAGAGATCCGTTAAGATGATTGACGGCACCGAAAAACCCAGACGTAAGTTGGCTTTTGAACTTCAGAGCTCGCGTGTCTTTGAAAGGCGCAGTAATTCATAATTGTGAAACCAGTGGAAGATAGTCAGCTACAATCGAAGAAAAACACCAAAGAGAAAAGTTTCTTTAATATTAAGATATTCATCAGGAGCAGAGACTAGCCACGAAGTTTTCAAACGGATTGCAATGATTCTGAATTCTGATTCTGATTCCATCCAAATTTAAGGTGGACAAACTATGAAAATGGCTATTGTTGCTCCGCAATGATTTTTAAATTGTTGAGCAATGATGGCAAGGTTGCAACCAATTAGAGTGGTCTGGAACACGTACGGGAATTAATGGGGACATGCCAAATAACTGTCTGTATAATATCATTGTCCCTCATTAGTGGGATGCTAGTGTATGCGTCATAGACATATTTTATTGGTATATGTACAAAGACCAGGACATAAAACGTAATTTCTTAGCAGCAAATCGATCCGGATGTTTTCTTTTGGGACTGTAACTTAAGTACAGGCCAGAAAATGAACAAGTAGAAAAACACAAACTATGAACAGAGCTCGTTGTAGTAGTTTTAAATTTGAAATTAATGTTCACTTAGTATTTGAAACACGTAGCTGATTAAACTAGGTCGTGATTTTTGCTTGGAAATTTGTAACGCAATGTTTATCCATACCGGGAGTACTTTTAACCATTTATTGGGCTGTATTACTGTTTTCTCGCTGGAAAAATGCATGTAGTAGTGCGCAGATTCCCAATGTCCGTAAAGCGCATGTGTTTGCCATCGGATGTCTTTTCACTCAGTCAAGTGCCTGTATTAACCACGGAACCATATATATCCGTTTATGGGAGAAAATATGCAAGTTAATATAAATTATTAGAGTGAGCGTCGGGAGAAAGAAACTGACTGTTAGAAGCGGGAGTCCACTGTACTGCCTGTAACTGTCAAATGCAGTTATTTTTCTACCCTTCATAGCATATTAACTTTGAATTTCTACATCAGAGCCGGATGGTGCACCACAAAACGTTAGTGGGCGTAACACCAGTTCAACCAGTATCGGAAAGCAGTGCGGGCTGATCTACAGCATTTATTGCTTGCAAATGCTAATAGGAACTCGCTTGAAATAAAACATCCCGATGTATGTAGTGTTTAAGTGGCCCAGAAATCAGGTACCAGAGATTTGCTACAAAACTTTTGCGTATTCTTTTTTAGAATACGATCAATCGAACAGCACTCTTACATGTAGTTCAAAGGTCTATTTATGAATAAATTAAGAGCTGCATCGGCCATACAAGGATGCGATTATGCGGGGCTAGCAATTGTTCAGTAAACAAAATAGAAAACAAAAAATTTAAAATTCGGCTCATATTATATTAATGTCCCTTTTGCTTCCTTGTTCTTTACTTTAGTCACCAAGATTAACTTTACACTTGTTTATCAGAACCTGATGGAAAACCACAAAACGTTAGTGGACGTAACACCAGTTCAACCAGTATTTCAGTATCGTGGGAAGAAGTGCAAGCTGATCTACGGAATGGTATCATTACTGGTTACAATATCACGTATCAGACACTGACAGAGAATGAAAATGGATTTGTACCAGCTGGACCTGATGATCGTCAGGCCAACCTAACAGGACTGAAGGAGTTTGTTGAGTACAATATTTCAGTGGTTGCATTCACAATGAAAGGAGATGGACCTTCCTTTGTTTTTATTGTTAGAACAGACCAAGATAGTAAGTCTTACAACACTTTTTTTTCTATTCTTATTACTATTGCAATCAGCTTTTGCAGGGGTAGCAATTGTTCTGCAACAAAATAGGAAAAAAAAATGTAAAATTCGGCAAGTATTATGGATGGAAGACCACAAAACGTTCGTGGACGTAACACCAGTTCAACCAGCATTTCAGTATCGTGGGACGAAGTGCAAGCTGAGTTACAGAACGGTATTATTACTAGTTACAATATAACGTACCAGTCACTGACAGAGAATGACAATGGATTTGTACAAGCTAGTCTGAATGATCGTCAGGCCAACCTCACAGGGCTGAAGGAGTTTGTTGAGTACAGTATTTCAGTGGTTGCATTTACAGTGAAAGGAGATGGACCTCCCTTTGTTTTTATTGTTAGAACAGACCAAGATAGTAAGTCTTACAACACTTTTTTTTCTATTCTTATTACTATTGCAATCAGTGTCAGCGTTTGTTTACTTGTTTGTTTTTTTGTTCGGGTTAGTATAGCAACGCTCAGGCTGATTTCATGATCTCGTCTATCGATGTTTATGTGCTAACCCTAACCTTTCTTGGAATACAATCAATCGAACACACTCCTACGTGTATTTCAAGGCTCTATTTCTGAATAAAATAGCAGCCGCATCGTCCATTAAAGGATGCGCTTTTGCAGGGGTAGGAATTGTTCAGCAACAAAATAGAAAAAAAAAATTAAAATTCGGCAAGTATTATAATGTGCCACTTGCTTGCTTGTTCTTTACTTTAGTACCAAGATTAGCTTTATACTTGTTTATCAGAACCGGACGGAAAACCACAAAACGTTCGTGGGCGTAACACCAGTTCAACCAGCATTTCAGTATCGTGGGATGAAGTGCAAGCTGATCTACAGAATGGTGTTATTACTGGTTACAATATAACGTACCAGACACTGACAGAGAATGACAATGGATTTGTAACAGCTGGTCCTAATGATCGTCAGGCCAACCTCACAGGGTTGAAGGAGTTTGTTGAGTACAGTATTTCAGTGGTTGCATTTACAGTGAAAGGAGATGGACCTACCTTTGTTTTTATTGTTAGAACAGACCAAGATAGTAAGTCTTACAACACTTTTTGTTATTATTATTATTGCTATTGCAATCATTGTCAGCGTTTGTTTGTTTGTTTTTCGGGTTAGTATAGCGGCGCTCAGGCTGATGTCATGATCTCATCTATCGATGTTTATCTGCTAACCCTAACCTTTCTTGGAATACGATCAATCGAACGCACTATTACGTGTATTTCATGGCTCTATTTCTGAATAAAAGAGCAGCCGCATCGTCCATTAAAGGATGCGCTTTTGCAGGGGTAGCAATTGTTCAGCAACAAAATAGAAAAAAAAACAATGTAAAATTGGGCAAATATTATAATGTGCCACTTGCTTGCTTGTTCTTTACTTTAGTACCAAGATTAACTTTGTACTTGTTTATCAGAACCGGATGGAAAACCACAAAACGTTCGTGGGCGTAACACCAGTTCAACTAGCATTGCAGTATCGTGGGATGAAGTGCAAGCTGATCTACAGAATGGTGTTATTACTGGTTACAATATAACGTACCAGTCACTGACAGAGAATGACTATGGATTTGTAACAGCTGGTCCTAATGATCGTCAGGCCAACCTCACAGGGTTGAAGGAGTTTGTTGAGTACAATATTTCAGTGGCTGCATTTACAGTGAAAGGAGATGGACCTCCCTTTGTTTTTATTGTTAGAACAGACCAAGATAGTAAGTCTTACAACACTTTATTATTATTATTATTATTATTATTATTATTATTATTATTATTATTATTATTATTATTATTATTATTATAATTATAATTATCGTTGATATTGCAATCAGTGTCAGCGTTTGTTTATTTGTTTGCTTTGTTTTTCGGGTTAATTAGTATAGCGACGCTTAGGCTGATGTCGTGATCCCATCTATCGATGTTTATGTGCTAACCCTAACCTTTTTTGGAATACGATCAATCGAATGCACTCTTACATGTATTTGAAGGCTCTATTTCTGAATAAAAGAGCAGCCGCATCGTCCATTAAAGGATGCGCTTTTGTAGGGGTAGGAATTGTTCAGCAACAAAATAGAAAAAAAAACAGTGTAAAATTTGGCAAATATTAAAATGTGCATCTAACTTGCTTGTTCTTTACTTTAGTACCAAGATTAACTTTATACTTGTTGATCAGAACCCGATGGAAAACCACAAAACGTTCGTGGACGTAACACCAGTTCTACCAGCATTTCCGTATCTTGGGACGAAGTGCAAGCTGAGTTACAGAATGGTATTATTACTGGTTACAATATAACGTACCAGTCACTAGCAGAGAATGTCAATGGATTTGTAACAGCTGGTCCTAATGATCGTCAAGGCAACCTAACAGGGCTGAAGGAGTTTGTTGAGTACAATATTTCAGTGGTTGCATTTACAGTGAAAGGAGATGGACCTCCCTTTGTTTTTATTGTTAGAACAGACCAAAATAGTAAGTCTTACAACACTTTTGTTGATTATTATTATTATTACAGGGCTTTCGGAATTATGCGCGGGTGCGAAATCGCATAATTTGGCTCTGAGCGCATAATTCGCCTAATTCCAAAAAAAGTGTATAATGGCGCATAATTTTCAAAAATTTTGAAAAATCTAAAATAAGCTATGTTTTTTTCATACCTTGAGAGATGTATGGAAATTTTTTTTCCCTTAAATATAGTACATTTTCGTAACAAATAGCCACCACTTCATTGCAAAAAGCGTTCACAAATATCGCAAGTCAACAAGACATTCCCGGCGTTCCATGCAGCTGGTCGTTGAGGCCTGTGCTCTAGTTTTTCAGATAACATGTGCCATTATTGAAAGAAATATAACCAATCACAGCTTGGAAAAGAACAAAAAAATGCGGTGCTTCGATTTATTTGGCGGCAAAACAACTTTTTTTCCCGTGTTTTCTTATTGAAAATGGATAAGTTTATATTAAAAACTGATAAAACCAAAGAAAAAGCCATGAAGCATTACACTACAAGAGCGGGATAAGCAATATCTCGGGAAGTTCCATGCAGATAACAATCTCCTATTTTGTTCAACTTATAATGTTGTTGTGGATCACCACCGAAAGTCAGTTCTTGACAAGCACCTTTCAGCTGTTTCACACCTTAAGCAAATGGATGAATCCTCTTCGAAGCGAGCGAAACAACAAACATTAAAGACTTCATTCAAGTGCAAAACTCCAGCTCACGAAAAAAGGTAAGTCTGCCATGAGTGGATAAGGGCCTGTGCTCTTGCAAACATACCGCTAAACAAATCAGAAAACCCACAATGTGTGAATTTCTTCTCTCCCGTGTAGTCAATGGTGGCGCAATCCATAGGGGCACACAGCTTGGGGACCACTTATTAGATGTTTATTAGATGTTTATTAGATGTTTCTGCTTCATTTACAAGCTTACTAAATTGAAACATTAAGAAGTTTTGCTTAAAGATGTTGTGCAATTCGCATAATTCGCCCATAATTCAGGATTTTTGGCGCATAATTCGCCAAAAAGTAGCGCATAATTTGCTGAAAAAAAAAGCATAATTCCAGAAGCCCTGTTATTATTGCTGTTGGAATCAGTGTCAGCGTTTGTTCAGCTGTTTGTTTGTTTTTTTTCGGGTTAATTAGTATAGCAACGCTCAGGCTGATGTCATAATCTCATCTATCGATGTTTATGTGCTAACCCTAAACTTTTTTGGAATACGATTAATCGAACGCACTCTTACATGTATTTCAAGGCTCTATTTCTGAATAAAATAGAAGCAGTTTCGGCCATAAAATGATGCACTTTTACGGGGGTAGCAATTGTTCAGTAAACAAAATAGAAAAAACAAATTTAAAATCCGGCAAATAATATAGTGTGCCTCTCACTTGCTTGTTCTTTACTTTAGTACCAAGATTAACTTTATACTTGTTTATCAGAACCTGATGGAAAACCACAAAACGTTCGTGGACGTAACACCAGTTCTACCAGCATTTCCGTATCGTGGGAACAAGTGCAAGCTGATCTACAGAATGGTATTATTACTGGTTACAATATAACGTACCAGTCACTGACAGAGAATGACAACGGATTTGTAACAGCTCGTCCTAATGATCGTCAGGCCAACCTAACAGGACTGAAGGAGTTTGTTGAGTACAATATTTCAGTGGTTGCATTTACAGTGAAAGGAGGTGGACCTCCCTTTGTTTTTATTGCTAGAACAGACCAAGATAGTAAGTCTCACAACACTTTTTGTTATTACTATAATTGCTATTGCAATCAGTGTCAGCGTTTGTTCTTTTGTTTGTTTGTTTTTCGAGTTAGTATAGCGACGATCAGGCTGATGTCATGATCTCATCTATCGATGCTTATGTGCTAACCCTAACCTTTCTTGGAATACGATCAATCGAACGCATTCTTACATGTATTTCAAGGCTCTATTTCTGAAAAAAAGAGCAGCCGCATCGGCCATAAAAGGATGCGCTTTTGCAGGGATAGCAATTGTTCAGTAACAAAATAGAAAAAAAAAAAACAATATAAAATTCGGCAAATATTATAATGTACCTCTTGCTTGCTTGTTCTGTACTTTAGTACCAAGATTAACTTTATACTTGTTTATCAGAACCGGATGGAAAACCACAAAACGTTCATGGACGTAACACCAGTTCAACCAGCATTTTCGTATCTTGGGAAGACGTGCAAGCTGAGTTACAGAATGGTATTATTACTGGTTACAATATAACGTACCAGTCACTGACAGAGAATGACAATGGATTTGTAACAGCTAGTCCTAATGATCTTCAGGCCAACGTAACAGAACTGAAGGAGTTTGTTGATTACAATATTTCAGTGGTTGCATTTACAGTGAAAGGAGATGGGCCTCCCTTTGTTTTTATTGTTAGAACAGACCAAGATAGTAAGTCTTACAACACTTTTTTATTATTATTGATATGGAAATCAGTTTCAACGTTTGTTTATTTGTTCGTTTTTTTTTTTTCGGGTTAGTATAGCGACGCTCAGGCTGATGTCATGATCTCATCTATCGATGTTTATGTGCTAACCCTAACCTTTTTTTAAAAACGATCAATCGAACGCACTCTTAAGTGTATTTCAAGGCTCTATTTCTGAATAAAATAGCAGCAGCATCGGCCATAAAAGGATGCGCTTTTGCAGGGATAGCAATTGTTCAGTAAACAAAATAGAAAAAAAAAATGTAAAATTGGGCAATATTATAATGTGCCTCTTGCTTCGTTGTTCTTTACCTCAGTACCAAGATTAACTTTATACTTGATTATCAGAACCGGATGGAAAACCACAAAACGTCAGTGGACGTAACACCAGTTCTACCAGCATTTCAGTATCGTGGGAAGAAGTACAAGCTGAGTTACAGAATGGTATTATTACTGGTTACAATATAACGTACCACTCACTGACAGAGAATGACAACGGATTTGTAACAGCTCGTCCTAATGATCGTCAGGCTAACCTAACAGAACTGAAAAAGTTTGTTGAGTACAATATTTCAGTGGCTGCATTTACAGTGAAAGGAGATGGGCCTTCCTTTGTTTTTATTGTTAGAACAGACCAAGATAGTAAGTCTTACAACACTTTTTATTATTATTAGTGCTATTGCATTCAGTGTCAGCGTTTGTTTGCTTGTTTGTTTGTTTCTTCGGGTTAATTGGTATAGCGATGCTCAGGCTGATGTCATGATCTCATCTATCGATGTTTATGTGCTAACAGTAACCACATTTTTAAGTATGATCGTCGCAGTTGTAGTAGCAGTGAAAGCACTAGACCATTTAATCAGTCCGAGTTGCCCTCAGCCTCTCTTTCAAAGCGGGGTTAAGCGCAAAGCCATTGATATTAAAAAATATATATATTTTTTTTATCTTTACGCAAATTTAACTGATGATTTTAACTGAGCCTCGTTTTGAAAACAAGAGTTTTTGGTACTCGGAAATGGCCTATCAAAAATTTCAGCACAACTACGTTGGACTTTGAAACTAAAGAGAAATTAGCTAGTCTGTTGCGCCGTCTTCGGATGACCGTGAACTCTTTCGCCATTTTTGTTTTTTTTTTTTGGCTGCTAATTTACTCAAGAACAGCTAAGCTGCTGCGTTGCTAGCTGGAAACGAGGTTTTCATTCATTGCATATTTGTGCAATATTATGTTGGCAACTTTCAAATATGGGCAACGCCAGCTGGTCGTTATGATGAATTAGCGAAGGGATTGGAGCGAATCAGAAACGGTAGAATATTTTGAATAAATAATAATTTTCAATAACTGGTCGATAATTTGGTAGTAGTTGCCCATAAAAAACTATCTTAAATGATAAAGTCTATATACTTGAGTATCAGAATCACTGTCATCTTGTTTATCAGAGCCAGATGGTGCACCGCAAAATGTTAGTGGAGGTAACACCAGTTCCACCAGCATTTCAGTGTCATGGGAAGCAGTGCGGGCTGATCTACAGAATGGTATCATTACTGGTTACAATATAACGTACCACTCACTGACAGAGAATGACAATGGATTTGTACAAGCTGGTCCTAATGATCGTCAGGCCAACCTAACAGAACTGAAGGAGTTTGTTGAATATAATATTTCAGTGGTTGCATTTACAGTGAAAGGAGATGGATCTCCCTTTGTTTTTATTGTAAGAACAGACCAAGATAGTAAGTCTTACAACACTTTTACTATTATTATTATTATTATTATTATTATTATTATTATTATTATTATTATTATTATGAAGATGATGAGGCAATCACGTTCTGAAATTTTACCATTTTTATATCAAACTTTGCTCTCCTTTTTTTATCAAGATTGAAATAATAAAAAAAAGGTTGATGATGCCAACAGCGAGGTAAACTGTCGATTAAAGGCCGTTGTATTGAATACGCAACCTTGGAGAGATATGGTGGTTCTTGTACTTTATAATTAGTACTTGCACGACTAACCGCCTTGAGAATGCATGTTTGTTTTCTCAACAGAGCCTAACGCCCCTCCATCTAATGTCAAGTTGAGCATTCGTAGTTCTACCAGTATTATGGTTGAGTGGGGCTATGTTCCCTCAGCTGATCAAAATGGCATTATACTGAGTTATACTGTAACCTACTGGGCGCTTCCTGGTGGCAGTCTGCAAATCAAGTTAGTCAAGGCCCCAACATCTAAAGCAACACTGACGGGTCTTAATGAGCTTACCAACTACAGCGTTACAGTTTTTGCCTCTACTGTCAAAGGAGATGGAAATGTCAGTGAATCTCTCACTATTCGAACTGATGAAGACGGTAGGTTTTCCAAGTGATTTTTCCATCGATAGCCGAAATACGAATTACGATTGCTATTTTACAAAGGCTTCTTTTCCACTGAGGGTGGCAGATTCGAGATCTTTTCTTCCCTCGCCCATTTTGTTGTTGTTGTTGTTTTCTGAGGCACAAATCTTTAACTGCCTAGGAAGTAGCTAAATGACATATTCTTATGTTAAATTCGATATCCTAAAACAGTGATTTTCTTGCAAAATAAAGCTGCTGTAACAAAATTTTTTACCAAACGCACTTTTCAAAGAAATGAATATTGGAAACATTTTTTCTTTAATATCTTGAATTTTACTTCTTGTTAGCTTTATCTTTGGTCCTTCGTAAGTGTTTTTAACTGATAAACAAAAAAGAAATCCATAGAAATGAAGGCATAATATGTTCTTGAAACAGACATGGAATTTCCCAAGTACCTTAGGTAGATAAAACAGAAGTAAGTTTAGAGAGATGACACATAAGGGAACATGGAAATTTCCATGTACCTTTACGGAGATAACACATAAGGGAACATGGAAATTTCCATGTACCTTTACGGAGAGAACACATAAGGGAACATGGAAATTTCCATGTACTTTTAAGGAGATAACACATAAGGGAACATGGAAATTTCCATGTACCTTTAAAGAGATAACACATAAGGGAACATGGAAATCTCCATGTACCTTTACGGAGATAACACATAAGGGAACATGGAAATTTCCATGTACCTTTACGGAGATAACACATAAGGGAACATGGAAATTTCCATGTACCTTTACGGAGATAACACATAAGGGAACATGGAAATTTCCATGTACTTTTAAGGAGATAACACATAAGGGAACATGGAAATTTCCATGTACCTTTAAAGAGATAACACATAAGGAACATGGAAATCTCCATGTACCTTTAAAGAGATAACACATAAGGGAACATGGAAATCTCCATGTACCTTTACGGAGATAACACATAAGGGAACATGGAAATTTCCATGTACCTTTACGGAGATAACACATAAGGGAACATGGAAATTTCCATGTACCTTTACGGAGATAACACATAAGGGAACATGGAAATTTCCATGTACTTTTAAGGAGATAACACATAAGGGAACATGGAAATTTCCATGTACCTTTAAAGAGATAACACATAAGGGAACATGGAAATCTCCATGTACCTTTAAAGAGATAACACATAAGGGAACATGGAAATCTCCATGTACCTTTACGGAGATAACACATAAGGGAACATGGAAATTTCCATGTACCTTTACGGAGATAACACATAAGGGAACATGGAAATTTCCATGTACCTTTACGGAGATAACACATAAGGGAACATGGAAATTTCCATGTACTTTTAAGGAGATAACACATAAGGGAACGTGGAAATTTCCATGTACCTTTAAAGAGATAACACATAAGGGAACATGGAAATTTCCATGCACCTTTAGGGAGATAACATGAAAGCTAAAAAAAGGATGGCAGTATCCCCTTGACTAAAAAAATCTTCTTAGTATTCACCAAATCAGTGGATAGCAATTAATTTTCGCGCGTTCTGATTGGCCCCCGTAACTCGGAATATCCGTTGATATTCACTGTTTTGGGACAGGATTCAAAATGGTTTATCGTTTCGCGACAGTTTCAAAAGATGAATTTTGGCGATAAATAAAGCAGCCGCACCAACAAATACCAAGAAAGAGACAAAATTTGGCTTGCGGGTGTTTACTGGTCAGAAGAAAAAAATTCTCTCACTGAATTTGCACCAAAATCATAAAAAATGATCCCCGAAACACTGTCAATTGAAACGATAAACAAACCCTAAGTGACGTTTTTTATTAACAAAAAGGCCCTTCTCGATTTTATCCAACTGATTTGGTAAATACTAAGACAAGTTTCCCCCTCAGGGTTGGTTCATAGCGCTAGATATATACCTCCAGTATTCACCTCCCTTTCGGGGGATAGTTGTATAATATCCCGATTTTGCCGTGGAACGGGCAAATGAAGACGGGAACTTAAAATTGATCGAGGTGAGCATGTTTAGCTTTGTTTTAGCAACTATGGATTATTTTTTGTGAATGATAACTATTGGATTCGGCTTTCGTATATCATGTTCGATCTGCGGCATTATTCTTCAGACCATACTCAACCTCACTGAATAATTGCTACTATTATTGATTCAAAATATTCCGCCGTTTCTGATTGCTTCAAATCCTCTGGATAATTCTTTATAACCAGCTGGCTTTGGCCAAATACCATCGATATCGTATATTGCCTAGGCTGCCTCGTTTCAAGGCAAATATCGCATTGATCAACCTCCAGGCGCGGCAGCCTAGCTGCATGTTTATTCCCGAGTGAACTTTAAAAAATAAAAATAAAAACACAAAACAAAACAAATATGGCGTCCGCGGGTGGCTGACGACGAAGTAGCTGACTTTCTGGCTAAAACTGAACGGAAGAATTCAAGAATTTGCAAAACATATTGCTCGATGGATGTTGTCTACCATTGAGGAGAATTTGTAAGGAAAGAAAACATCTTTTTATATCCTGTAACCGTGACAAAACTTTGAAGAAAGTCTATGAGGAGGTAGCTTTGTTTAGAACTTAGAAATAATATGAATGAATAATAGCATAATTGCCGAATTTGGCTTTCGTATAATGAGAAGAATTTGGCAGATATATTGAGAAGTGCGTTTCAAACCGAGGCCGAACATATCATACTCCGCCTCATTCGATAATTGTTATATAATCAAGGGGCAACTAATTCAAAACTTGGGGGTTTTTCTTTGCAGGGCCTTCTAAATCTCCGACAATAACCAGCGTGACAGTATTAAACAGCACCAGTGTTTTATTGAAATGAGAACCTGTTCCTAGTACATCGTCCCAGAATGGCATTATCAGACGTTACACCATACACTTCAGAGACGAGGAAAAGAAAGAAAATAGCTCACTGAGCGTCGAAGCACCCGCTATAAATGCAACTGTTAATGGACTGAGGCAGAAGGCAGAATATTTGTTTTGGATTGTGGTAGCAGCGATTTCCGCCACTTTGCAAGAGAGTTTTGTTCGTAGTAAATACGCCTAGTGTTTCTCAGTTTTTATTATATTGAATGAGAATTATTTGCTGTATTGATAAAGATTTTGTTCGACAACTGTAGGCATTTTTTTCGTCGTTCTGTAATTCATGTGCCTGTGAAATGTCCCCGGGGTGAGCGCATTTGATCACCCGAATGGACCCTAGTGTGGGGCATTTGAACGGGATTTTGGCTTGGGGAGGGGGGAATTTGAACACAAATTTTCAAAAAAGTCAAATGCCCGGGGGTTGCCCGGGGGGATGTTGAAGCTTCGATTTGACCGATACATTAAATACTTAAAATGTGACTCAAAGTTGAACGATCCTCTTTTCAATTCATGAATCTTTAAAATTTACTACGAACTAAACGAAAAGAAAACTGAACTTTCTAAGGCTCTCCCTTTTCAAAATTCACCTATACGTTGGCGTTAACTAGATTTTCCCGCCTTCGCTTGCATCAGGAAAATCTCGCATCGAGCTTAGGAAGGCAAACAGATCAATAAACACTCGGAAAGTTTCGTTTGTATTGTAACCTTATTTTCTTCCCGAAAATTACATCACAAAGTAAAACCGGCCGGACCAAGGACCACATACTGTATCTTAGCAGAAAACGATCGTTAGTGTAGAAAAAATGTTGAACGTCATAAGGCAATTTTCGTAATAGGCAATTTTCGAGTTTCGAAAACCCTCACTCACAAAATGAGGCTCTACAACAATTGCTCGGGAGAACTCAGAAATGGCATATTCCTCGCGCCGCATTGTCGACGTAAATTTAGATACGCAAAATTAAAATATAACTCATCAAAGAAACATGATTATGCAGTGAAGCTTGTTATTCAGAATGTTATCAACATTTTTTTTTGATGGCCTCTACTTGAGTGCGTATGAAGAAAAATTGATTAATTCTACACTTTTAAGTAAATTGTTTTTGTTTGTTTGTTTTAGCCGTGCCGACAAAATCGCCGCCTCAGGATGATGCCAGTGGAACAAATGAAGTTAAAGTGCCGTTTGTAAACAAGGAAACTTTAAGCGATGGCAAGCCAGTTAAGTAAGTCCGCTAATTATGTACTTTGCTTTACTCCAGAGCTGATCCATCCCGTTTCGTTTTATTAATTCAAGGTCTTGTGGTCTATACCCTGCATTAAGTGGTTTTTAATATAGTTGAGAAGCCCAAAAAGGAAAACGTCTACTTGTGCAAATTATGAGCCGTTAAATAGAATTTCTGCAGTCGTTTCTCAAACGTCATTTCGTGGTGGCTTTTACGGTTATCGGCAGGCTAAAATTTTGGCTCTTTTACGGCTACCGATTATTTTTTTTTTTCAGTTACGGTTAACAAAAAAGTTAAAAATTAATTTCTTTTGTTTCAAAGAGTTAAATATTAATAAACCTCTGTTTTTGTATCTTTAAAGCAAAATAAAGATCTCAGGATCATCTCGGGATGAATTTAGAGAAAATGTAAGGGCTGTCTTTCCCCAGGGACAAAGCAAAGTGTCCTTAAGGGACGGACCATTAGAAAAGTGATGGGGGGGGACAAAAAAAATTCATGCAATGAAGAAGTTAAAGAAAAAAAATTCATGCAGAAGGAAGGTCCAATTGTGACTTTTTCAGAAAGTCTGAGTTTCAGAAATCAACAATATTACCAGGCACAATATGAATAAACAAAAATCACTTTCTCTTATTGAAAGGAGACAATTAGTACCTTGTTTTTGTTTTACATTGCTAGTGTACCTACAACATACACTGTATACTGTATTATAATAAAACTAATAAAATAAAATAAAATTTGTAATAAATAAATATTAGAATTTAGTAGCTTTATAAATATTCTATAAAATTATTTGTGCCTACAATAAAAATTAGAGGATGGGTCTTATAATACAATGAAAAAGTGCATTCACACGTAGTAGTAGTAAGTGTTAAAACTTTAACTGTTACCAACATTAACTAGTCAACAACATAAACAGCGACACTGCCACTGTAACTTTTAACAAAAATTAAGAACCACAAAGTATGGGTTTCATTGGCAGCCAGACTATCTGCAACATACTTTGTATATTGCATTATAATGAATATCATAAAAACATTTAATTATCCAGAATAACTACTTATCACCCAATAATTACTATAAAGCCAAAATAATGAGTGCAACTGTATATTGTATTGTATTAGTCTTCAATTTCATCCTCGGTAGACCACTCATCTATGACTGATCTCTCTTCTTCCTCCTTGTTTGGTTCTTTCTCACTGCAAGTTGGTACATGTACTTGTTCTTTGCCCTTTTTTGCTTTCCTTTTTACTTCCTTCTGTGCATATTTCCTCTTCTTTTTCCATTTGCACTGTTGCTTAGCAACACTACTACCAAATCTCTTCAGTCACATTCACGGACAACAAGAAAATCGCTTATAATTATTCAGATCCAGGAGGCACTTTGGAGAAATTAAGCAAACTAAAATCCTTAATTAGCCGCAATGAAGAACTTTATATTTCAAAAGAGTTCAAAGACAAAATGCTGTTGCATCAGAGGGCAAATCATGCCGACCAGAAACAATGACCGCAGAAAATCCTTCATCAGCAAATGAGGTCAAAGCTGTTGTAGTTGAGAAACCCTTCCGGAAACCAAACTGCTTGTTGGACAATAAATTATTGGTAATCAAGTACTGATACAACTGCAAGTGTACCGCTCTCTCCAAAATCTTGCTCAGTGTAGGGAGGATTTAGATGGGGCGGTAGTTGGAAACGTTGGTCCTGTCACCTGACTTAAACAATGCCGTGATTTTCGCGCATTTCCACAATTTGGGAAATTGACTAGTGCGAATTGAAAGATTCAAAAGTTTAACAACAGATGGTGCAATTGTGTGAGCTGAGATTTTAAGAAGTCTCGCGCTAATTTTGTCAAGACCAATCGCTTTGTTTGCTTTCAATGACAAAAGCTGCTCAAGCACAAATGATTGATCCAATTCAGTCAACTCGAACTGGAAAAGCGGGTGTTTTGAAATGGAATTTAAATTCAAGACGGAAGTCTGTATTGTACTTGCTAGAATTCGGCCAATGGAAGCAAAGAAGCTATTCATTGAAGAAGCAATGGATTGGGATGTTATATGCTAAACACCATCAGAGATAATACACTGAATACTCTCTGAAGATGAGTTCCGATTGCATGCTTCGTTCACTGCTTTCCACACCTTACATGGAACAAGGAAAGCTTTGCGGGGCCATGTTCATCGATCTAACCAAGGCATTTGACACGGTAGACCATCAAATAATGTTATGCAAGCTACCCGAGATCGGCCTTTCTGAAACAGCTCTTCATTGGTTCCGTTCTTACTTAACTGGTAGACAACAGCGCACATCATGTGGAAATGAGTTATCTGAGGAACTTCCAGTCACGCATGGGGTGCCACAGGGTAGCATTCTAGGGCCTCTGTTGTTTGTGATTTACATACATAACTTGCCAAATGTGCTTGACTCCTGCTACGCGTCACTTTATGCAGACGACACTGTAATTTATTGCTATGGTAAATCCTCAGAGGAGTTGAGTGATAAGTTAAATAAAGATCTACTGGGTGTGGCGAAATGGCTTCATGATCACAAACTGACTTTAAATTTGGACAAAACTAAATGCATGCTTATCGGTAGTAATAGGAAACGCAAAAGCAAAGTAGATTTGACTGTTTCAATTTTAGATCATAGTATAAGTAATGTTCGCAGCTTTAAATACCTCGGTATACATATATATCTTCGGATTTCACATGGACTGATCATATTGAACACCTAACTGGGAAAATCAATCAGAGGCTTGGGCTTCTCAAGCGTATAAAGCATTTATTGCCTTTCAGGGCGCGTCTACTTTTCTATAAAAGTCTTGTTATGCCCCTTTATGAATATGCTGATCTATTATGGGGCGATAAACATAATATTACCCTTATGTCTAGTTTGCAAGTTTTGCAAAATAAGGCCGCTAAAGTTATTTTAAATAGACCATTGTACTCATCCTCCACTGAGGCATTAGCCGTTCTCAAGTGGCTGCCTCTAGAGAAAAGGCGATTTCAAAGAAGGTGTGTACACGTATACAAATGCATCAATGGCCTAATTAATCACGATATGGACTTGATTAGACAAGAAGTACTTCATAGGCATAATACACGTAACAAAGGAACTTTTAGATTACCACGTGTCAATAGAAATTGGGGGAAGCAAAGAACACAATATCATGCCGTTTCCGATTTTAACTCCCTCAGTCAGACGATCAAAGACTCAAGGAATGTAAATAGTTTTGAACGTAATGTTTTTAAGTTTTTAACATAGCCACTTACGTTTAATTTTTACTTATACTTATTTTTAATTTTTATGCATTTTTTGTATCTTTTTAATCCCTTTGCAATTTTATAGCTTTTTTTGTTTTTATAATATATATCTAGTTTTGAGGTCCTTTTTGAAATCCATATCTTTTATGAAAAAGTTTCCTCAGTAAAGATGATTATTATTATTAAAATCAATATGCGTGTCACGACCTCTCAGTCTGAAATAAGCGGCAAAAATCACATTTGATCAGTCAAAACGTTTTCCTCCAGAGCATAATCTACCCGTCAGCGAAAAAGAAAAAAAAAATATTGGAACAAGCAGCATTTTGGCATGAAGTAAAAGTCATGTGTTGCCTACCGACCCCCTTTTTTACACTAAGAATCCCAGAGGGCAGGGACTGAAAAAATGCACAGGGAAACCGTACACTCCAAGTGGCTTCCTCCTCTCTTACGGTGTGTACATTTTCGAAAAGATTTTGCATTAAAGTGGCCTGTATCCTTTGATCTGTTGTGAGTGTAGAATAATTAATAAAGCACAAAAACATAGGTAATGAATCAAGATTTCATTGTTAAAAAAAAAGCAATATTTGTCTGAAAAAAAATTCGCGCAGAGGGGTTCACCTAAAAAAAAAATTCCTGCACAAGCAGTGAGCGAAAAAAAAAATTCATGCAAGCTGAAACTTCCCCACCTCCCCATCACTTTTCTAATGGTCCGTCGCTAATAACGAGCTGTTTGTTTTTACGATAACAAAGGACTGTACAGAACGAATGTCTGCCGTTGCCTTGTCACTAGGCCTCATTATTCTGCGTGGCCAATGCGTTTCGGGTCACGTGGTCCGAGCGAGTTTTGTCTCGGATGCGCCATAGAAATGCTTTGACCAGGACCAGGTCAATAACGTTTTTCTTGAATGTTAAAAGTGTCCGATGCTCCTAGTGTCTGGCCTTGTATCTTTCGATTGACCTTTCTTCACCCGTTGGAAAAATACTAACAACAGCTTTCAATACTGACACCGATTAAGTCATATGTACACTGGATGGCGAAATCGGAGATCTAAAAACAAAGCGCTGTCAACTCGTCTTACAAAACGCAGGCCAAGTGAGGTCAAGCAAGACTCGTGCCTCGCGCGCTTTCTTTTTCTTTCTCCCAGCAACCTCTCTGCGACACAAAGAGGCCTCTGCGGGGGAGAGAGCGTAAGGAATCTAAGTAGCCGCGAAATAAGAAACGCAACCAGTCATAAGTGAGTTTAGCACCTTCCTTAAAATCAACAAATCCAGGGGATAATTTCTTTTACGGTTAACTCTTTTTATCCTATTTACGGCTAACGGGTTAAAACTTTTCAATTTTTACGGCTATCGACTAAATTTTTGGCCGTTTTAAGCCTATCGGTTAACCCCATTGAGACCCTCATAGAAGTGGCGTCGCGGACTGTGGGCCGTTTTCTCAGGCTAATAATTTGAGGGTCAAAGTTCACTATGACCCTCTGACGTCATAGCTCGGTGGGATGTTGCCTACTTAGAAACTTTGGTGTTAAACAGTTTCTGAGCTAACTTTCGTTTGATCCCCGAAGAAACCGCTTTCGGGGGAATAATTCCATTGATATCTAACTGTACATGATATTAGAGCGGTTAAGTATCACGTTTACTGGTACGTCAAATTTGTACCACGTGAACAAGTTTTCCCTTTTTGTCGCCTACTGTTCGTATTTCTACACATAAATTAGTAGTTTCACGCATTTTTTTTATCCATCAGAATTTTCTGAGCTGTTTTTATCTGCTCATTTTCTATTTTGAGAAAATATCAACTTGAATCTGACGTGTGCCGTGTACCGTAAAGCTTAAACTCTCTATTACCTTTCTGTAGCTATTTTCAGATAATTGTCACACCATTAAAAGAACAAAAAGATTCGGGAAGCACTGCGGATGCTAAATACGGAACAGTCGTCCTGAAATACGAAGATCAAGAGGAAGGAAAGCCTTACATTACTGCCGAGTTTCGAAAGGGTCTGTTCACAACAGAATTCCCAGTTGGAGACGGGAAATACTACTCACGAAATGGTGTGACCAACTCTAAAAGAAAACGCAGATATCCCGGTAAGTTGGCTCTAAACCTTGGGGTCAATCTCTTATTTGGTGTAGAGGGGTATGTAACACCTAACAGGGCATGGTTTTCGTGGTAATAGGGAGTTTAAGCAACTACGACGATGACGACAACGTCATAAAAACGATCGAATTCATGAGCAAAACAACAGCTCTGCACGTGCATCACGCTTTTTAGTACATTTCTTTGACGTCCACTGCACGACTACGACGTGAAACCTCCCAATGCGACGTTTTGTGGAGGACGTGGACATACGGCGACAGATTTTTCTTTCTCTATTTGAACATGGATAAAGCATTATATTTGACGAATTGAACGGTTCCAAGTAGACGCGATAAAGTTTAAAAGGACGCAAATTCATTTTTTTAGTGATGTTTTCACTCCCATCGTCGTCGTTGTTGCTTAAGGTGACTCGACCCAGTTATTTTTTGAGGGTACCATCATACTTTGAAGCTCTCTGGTATCCCCACCTTTACTTTGATCGTAAGTCTAAAATATAGCACGGATAACATATAGATCAATCTACAATACAGCATAAAATTTTTGTCGATCGGAGTAAATGTCACGTGGTTATAGTGCCACGCCTCTTTGGGGTCTGAGTCGAAATTCTGCTGTTGCCGGCATTTTTTCGTGACAATCTCTCGGCAACATATAGTGCGCATTAGTGCCTTGCGTTCAACGGAGTTTCACCAAAATCGCAAAGACCCAATGCGAGAAATTCAGCGGTTTCCAAATGTAGGTCATAATTTATGCGAAAATGATAAGCAAACTTTACACGATTATATCTAATAAATTATGAGATTTATCCCTTTATTTTGGGGATCTTTTTAACAGATGGGTCCTTGCAAGTCAGCAAAAAGCTTTAGGGCCTTGTAAATGCACGCGATTTTGAGCAAAGCAAAAATATAGAAATTATAGTTTTAGCTATTTGTTGACGTTTGTCGGCGTTTAAGAGTCCTCACGAAAAAAGCATTTTCTTAAAAATTCGTAGGTTTTTTTTCCTTCAAATTTTTTCAGGGCCACAATTGATAAACTAACTACCCGGATTCTGAATTTCATAGTGATTGAAAAACTGTGGCATTATCTTCTATAATCCCACACTTGAGTAAACATTCAAGATTTTTAGCGTTTTGGCTGAGTTTGTGCTTTGGGAGTTTTCTATTGTTTCTAGTCTGTCATGATACAGCATTCTTGTTTAGCACGCGTGCAATGACCGCGCTTGGCTGACTTCCGAATGCTCACCGAGATATGATAATTTTGGTGCGGTGAGACAGGCGATGGCGTGATACATAGAGGTTAAACTCACGATTTTTAATCAATTCTCGTGCTTCTTGTGCATTTGCAAAAAAATCAAGAAATGTTACACACTAAATCTACTTGCTATTAAAAAATATCCTTTTTACATAGGTTTAATGCAAGGCAATAATTAAACCAACCCATTACTTATCATTTTATCTGGTAGTGAAAAGATTAACTACACTTGTAAGCACCGTCGGTTTTTTTGTGACTCTTGGTTTCGCTCTAGAATCTTTCTTGCTCGTCTTGCTTAGAGGTAGGCCAGACGCTTGGCTGACTTCCGAATGGTCAACGACATATGATAATTTTGGTACGGTGAAAATAGAAGGGATTCCTGTGACGTAACGTCTAGACATGAACACCCTCAGCGCTTTGTATACCGCAGGAGGTACAAGGGCCTTGCTAACAATTTTAGCATTACCTCTAAGCAAGACGAGCAAGAAAGATTCTAGAGCGAAACCAAGAGTCACAAAAAAACCGACGGTGCTTACAAGTGTAGTTAATCTTTTCACTACCAGATAAAATGATAAGTAATGGGTTGGTTTAATTATTGCCTTGCATTAAACCTATGTAAAAAGGATATTTTTTAATAGCAAGTAGATTTAGTGTGTAACATTTCTTGATTTTTGTGCAAATGCACAAGAAGCACGAGAATTGATTAAAAATCGTGAGTTTAACCTCTATGTATCACGCCATCGCCTGTCTCACCGTACCAAAATTATCATATCTCGGTGAGCATTCGGAAGTCAGCCAAGCGCGGTCATTGCACGCGTGCTAAACAAGAATGCTGTATCATGACAGACTAGAAACAATAGAAAACTCCCAAAGCACAAACTCAGCCAAAACGCTAAAAATCTTGAATGTTTACTCAAGTTTGGGCTTATGGAAGATAATGTCACAGTTTTTCAATGACCATGAAATTCAGAATCCGGGTAGTTAGTTTATCAATTGTGGCCCTGAAAAAATTTGAAGGGAAAAAAACCTACGAATTTTTAAGAAAATGCTTTTTTCGTGAGAAGGACTCTTAAACGCCGACAAATGTCAACAAATAGCTTAAACTATAATTTCTATATTTTTGCATTGCTCAAAATCGCGTGCATTTACAAGGCCCTAAAGCTTTTTGCTGACTTGCAAGGACCCATCTGTTAAAAAGATCCCCAAAATAAAGGGATAAATCTCATAATTTATTAGATATAATCGTGTAAAGTTTGCTTATCATTTTCGCATAAATTATGACCTACATTTGGAAACCGCTGAATTTCTCGCATTGGGTCTTTGCGATTTTGGTGAAACTCCGTTGAACGCAAGGCACTAATGCGCACTATATGTAGCCGAGAGATTGTCACGAAAAAATGCCGGCAACAGCAGAATTTCGACTCCGACCCCAAAGAAGCGTGGCACTATAACCACGTGACATTTACTCCGATCGCCAAAAATTTTATGCTATATTGTAGGTTGATCTATATGTTATTCATGCTATGTGTTAGACTTACGAACAAAGTAAAGGTGGGGATACCAGAGAGCTTCAAAGTATGATGGTACCCTCAAAAATAACTGTGGGGAGTCACCTTAAAGGTCAAATGAACCAAAATTTTGACCCTTTTTATTTTAGTTCAATTCTAGTGAAATGTGTTTAATATGAACCAAATAAACATACTATGAAGTTTCAGCTCAATTGAAGCAAGTATCTCCGAGATATTCGCAATTAAAAATTGCTATTTTTTGGCCCTTATCTTCGTAGAGCGGTCGGAAAAATTGTCGGAAAAAACAGCTTGTGACGTCAATGTTGGTCAGGTGAAAAAAAGCGGGAAATTCAAAACAGAGTTTTTCGAGTCGACTTGGCGCAGAAGTGGTTTGTGCGGCCATAAACCTGGAAAGAACAGGCAATTTGTCTTCAAAGGTTGCAAGCTGTGTTTATAACCTTCTTATTATTTAATTTTCTCGAAGAAACATCATAGTAAAACGGACTTTAACGACATTTACTAATTTCTTTGAGTTGTACTGGAAATGTGCGTGCGTAAGTCCGATTCTTTTCAAGATGCATTCACAAAATGTGTTCATAAAAGGAAGTTCCTGGATATATAAGGTCCGGAGCTCCACCGTGGACACAAAAACAAAATATCTTTGTATAATAATCTGCCCAAAGAAATTCAAGTTTGCCCACAATGTGTGTTTGAAGTCACTGAACTTTGTCGCACTCAGCGAACTGATATTTAAAACCCACGCCCGATCGGACACTCCTAGCTTTGCAGATCACTAAAAATGATATAAACAAAATCCTCAATGTAGAAGTTTTGGCGTTGATATGTGGGCAGAAAAAGAGTTAATCTTTATCTAGTAAATCTTACCCAAGATCGGTTTCAAAGCAACCATAGTTTTTTAAACTTGGTCGTTTCGCGCAGTGTAATTTTGCTTTGTGTTGTCAAGTTGAACATGCATAACACCTGTCAAAAACCTACGCGTAAGTAAGATTTCCTTCAAACAAAGTTAAAGTTACATTATTGCACAAACGTCTTTCCAATTATGTATAAGATTTAATTACCGATTGAGGTCACTTAAAAAAAAGCTTCAATAAAGTTGCAAAACAACAAATTTTCATTAAAAAAACATGAGGCTTAAGGCTCTTATACCTGCTGACAAAGAAGAAGTGAATTTTCTGTACGGTACGTAGTCGGAATCATGGCTTGGCTGCGAAGCTTGCCACTGATCTTTTGCTTTTAAGATCTTTAGGTAGGTTGTTTCCATACAGATTAGCTAGCTACTTTTAATAACTGGTCCATGCGAGGGTCTTCATTCAAGCAAATTAAACTCAGCAAACTGAATCATTAGAAAATACAGAAAACTGCACATAAGGATTTGTTTTGCTCGCTTCAATCAAATCCAGCTCCAGCAATTGTTTACGGGCAAAGAGTCGATTGTTTTGGAGTCACTGCCGGCAATTGTCGTTCTCCGCTACTTCACAGCGAATGAAAGGAAGATTTGCGTACAGAAAGATAACAAAACTATCATCTTAACTATGTAATTAAAACTGAAAAAACTAAAGGAAAAAAACTCTGACTATTATTACTTGAGCAACAGAAAAATGATCGAAGTAGTCTTTTCTTCTCGAGTAAGCTTTCTGGCCTTCTAAAGTTCCGAGAAACTTTTTCAAACTTAAAAGCTTAAAAGCGAACAAGGTTGTTCACTCGCATGCGTTAGCCGTTTACGGTTCTTTGACTGAAGACAAGTATAAAGCTGGTTCTGCAAAGGTAAATAAATCTGGGCATGTAAAAAAAGTAACCATAACTACTAATAACAGAATACAAGCAGGTTTTAATTCAACCCGGCGAAAGAAGGCGAAGCACTGGGCACAAAATCAACTCACAAATCGAATCGGAAAAATACAAACCTGTTTGGAAATGTTCAAAACGTTTTATTCCACCTCAGACGGACCGAATGATCTGTTTTTACTCTAACATTGGTTGTTCTGAATCCAAAGTAATTTTCAAGTGACGAAAAAACAACAACAACAAAAACAAAACAAAAAAGCCTTTACAAGGAGCAAACGTTCGCATCTCGTGCATTCCATTCAAAACTCTCACTGAACGAGACAAACAAACGCAGGCGATAAGGGATGCGCAGAAACTTGCGCAGAACGGTTTTCCGCCCTGAAAGACCAACATTGACGTCATGTAGTCTCCAGTCTATCACGCGGCCATTTCAGAAACGTTTTCGTGAAGTCTTCGGAAATGCTCGGATTTTGATCTTTGTTCTTTCTATAAAGGCTTGGGAAGAAAAATCTTTACCCAAATCTCACGTAGGATGATTCTTTTTAGTGTTTGGTGAAGGTAAAGCGAAAAAGAAAATATGTCAATTTTTTGGTTTATTTGACCTTTAACCTCCCTATTGTGTCTTGAACAGCGTAATATATAGATTTAGCCACGGCTAAAAGCGAAGCTCCCATTGATAAATTTATAACTTAAATCAAACAATAATTTTGTATTCCACAAATCAGTTAACTTAGGGGCACATTCATGTGACTTTTGAGAGAAAAGCTAAGTGATTTTGGAGTGAAACAAATCTTGTATCGAGTTGATATAGCCTTGTATGTACACCCAAAAAATAGTCTTCGGTCACATTTAAGAGCAATAATGGCTCGTGATCACAGTAGATAAGGCGTGGAAAACAAATTCTTGGAAAACAAATCAGGCCGAATTTTTTGCGTTCGACAAGTTTACAAATTCTACCCAATAAATCTGGGTGCGTGCAAACCAATCTTTTATTATTTTTTTTTATACACCACATCTGAGGAGAAAGAGTACTATGAGGCGCTGTTTTTATCATACAGACCTCGTACAAAATGCAGTATTTCACAATTTTTCTAGACAAATTGAATTCATTCAATATTCAGGACCATCGAAACACGCGTGGACTTTCAATTAGCGAAACCGTTAAAAAATTTCCAGAATCACCTACACGGCCAGCCGGTTCTAACTTTTGACAAGCGCCAAATTTGCAAAGAAATTTTAAACGAGTTACGCTTCAACGTGATAAAGGATTTATTGAGTCTATTTTTTATTAATGGTTTTATAACGATGTGTAAACTTAAAAAGCGTTTGATACGCTCGGCACTTTGAGTACTCCTGCAGGCGATGTTTATGAACGGCTGAAAACAAACGGCAAAGCGATAAAAATTACACTTTTGAGACTACCAACAATCAATAAAGAAATATAATTCGGTAGAACATTTACGAAGACAACAATTTTCATTCACGAAAACAAATAAGTATTTAAGTGTCTCTAAGAATCCTCAAGTCTTTACTAGTAAGATTAAACATTAAGTTTATGTTTTAAGCCGCCGGTTTCCCGGTGTTTGCTGTTTTCAAAGATGAACTCACGACAAGAAAATCGCTCAAAGCTTTCTTTCTACAGCCAAAGTTATAACTAAATATTCTTCGGAAAGTATTTTCTTTCTATTTACGGTGAATTAATATCGACTAAAGGCTTTTTAAAGTTCTGTAAGCTTAAGCTTATATCAAACCTCATACTAGGTCAGATCAGTGTCTCAGTCAAATCTTAATACAAACGTGCATAAACTAGCTTCATAAACTGCGCCGCTGGACTTCATGAAATTAGATATAAATACAATAATTACTCAGGCTTACCATATTTCGAGATGCAGCTCCTGAAAGCTATCAAGTAAGGCAAGGATCGCTTGAGCCTTTATAATTCTCGTACGCATCCAGCAAGGTGAAAAACAAAAACGATGCCATCCGAAATCGGATTAGCGGCTTTGACAAGCGACGCATTTCTCAACCAAGAACCCAATAAACAAACCAGCCATGAATAAGAGAACACTCTTGATAGCAGCTGTATTTCACTTTGTACATCCAGTGGAAAAAGACAGTTAAAAACATCACAAGTTGACTCAAACTCTGACAGCTTCAGCTGTCAAAGTAAACATATGCTGCATAAATTTTACGCATGAACTCACCTGTCAAATTTTAACCAATCAGAGCATAAAAATTGGACGTGGAGCGTGACCAACACGTGACCATGGCAAGAAAAGGTCTTCCCCGCCTGTATTTTAAAAAAACCTGGCTGAATTTTTGCGTCTGAGGTCAGTTTGAAATCAAAATCGTAATATTGCGGGACGATACTGACACAAACACAACATATTTGATATGAATTTTTAAAAAAAGTAAACGTGAGCCTGCGATCATTTGAAAACGAGTAAATTGTCAGCAAATAACTTCAAAAAATACTCGACCTTGATGGTCGACACCTGAGCCCGCGATACGGTCAGATGATACTGGTCAGCGGATACCCTGTTTTGACAGCTGTCAAATGATGACATCATTGATGTGCAATCAGCTTTCTCCTGGGCTCCCAACGCAGCTAGAAAGTGTAAGAGTAAACATTGGTATGCCTGTGGTGCGGACGGACGGTCTGTCGGTCGGTCGGTCACGTGATCACCAAATTTTCTGGGATGGGTAGATTTATTTACCCATGGTGCTCCGCAGGCGCGCTTCGCGCGCGGAGCTCCGCTATAAAATTTCACTATTTAGGCTACGTTCACACTATATCGGATAGGGCTTCTTTTCACACATAACAACGATTGTGGCGGCGCAGTTTATGTGACGCTGACTGAAGCTGCGCCGCGACAATCTCTAAAGGGGAGAGTCACATATCGGATAGGTGTTCACACTATGCCTGATCCATTATTTTAGAGTCTGAAAACAATAGCTACACTTGTAAATTACATGTGCAAAAGTTTTATTCAATTTACCCCCGGTATAGTGTGACAATAACATTCATGTCTTGAAGAAGGTATCGTTCTTTAACGAATGCCTTGAACAAGGTTGAATATGATAGGGAGTACGATAGGGAGCGATCTATATGCATGGTGATATCTGTTTTTACAAGTCCAAAATGCATTCACACTCGAAATCAAAGAAACCAAGGAGATTTTTTTATTAAGGGACTGGTCAAAAAGTATGGGGGGTGGGCCGGAGCATTTGGAAATGTGGCTGATAAAAAACACATGACCCACCCCCTCCCTTCGGCACAAAAATGACTGACCCACCCCTAAAGCAAGGTTGGAAATTGCATGACCCACCCCCTAGTTAAAACATGGATGTTTGGTTTCCTCTAAGGCCATCCCCTTTTTTTTCTTCATTTACCGTCGAACGCGTTTCCTGATATTGGGTCGGTAGGTCGGATTGAAAAAAAAAAAACCTAAAAAACAAATCACAAGAAGTCTCGGAATAGTAAGCCCTGGTACCCCAGGACGACGTTCACATATTTGGATTAACAAAATGTACAATATACTGTGAAAAATGTTCATGTTTTGTTCCTGTTTTTCTCTATGCTGTTACTGTGCTCATTTTTGAGATTAAAAGAATTATTTCAAGTGAAAAATGGTGTAACTACGTCGTTCCTTTTTTTTGTTTTGAAAATGCCAAATATTTGGGTCGGTCGGATGACGGTAAACGGAGAAAGAAAAAGAGGATGGCCTAACCTTGTTCTGTGCTTGACAAAAATTGGTGATACACTGCTACAACCAATATCAAAATCACAGAAATCATACCTTTCACTGAAAAGACAAATGTGAAAAACCGAACATTTCTTGTTTCGATGGACGTTATGAGTCTTGACACAAATATACAGCAAAACGAGGGTATATTGAAATTGTCTGTCACAAAGCATATGAAAATTTCTACAAAGACAACCCATTCCTACACATTACTTGCCGGAAATTCTTAGATTAATCCTCAAAGAAAATTTCTTCCACTTCAACGGAAAGCACTACCTACAAAACCATGGAACTGCAATGGGCACAAAGACAGCAGTTTTGATTCCTTTGCCAATATTTTCATGACATATATTGAAACAACAATTCTAAGCAAAACTGTCTTTAGAACAACAGTTTGGAAATGCTACATTCACGATATCTTTTCCCTATGGGACATAAGTAAACCAGACATCGAAGCCTTCATTGAACAAGCAAACTTACATCACCCAACTATTAAATTAACGGCCGAAACATTTGACACTGAGATGCAGCGTTTTTAGACACGGTTGTATACAAAGGCAGAAGATTCAAGAAAATATCTATCCTTGATGCAAAGACACATTTTAAACAAACAGAAACCTTCTTGCACACACATTTCACCTCGTGTCACCCTCCAAGTGTTAAAAAAGGATTTGTCAAAGGAGAAGCCTTGAGAATCCTACGAAAAAACTCCTCAGAAACAACCTTTGAGGAAAATTTAAAAAAAAAACGCTCGATGGACAGAGGCTACCCACAAACTTTGATAGAAGACCTACTATCAGAAATAAAATTCACAAAAACGAGTCTAAACTCCCAAAACAAAACATACAAGGAGGAAAAAGAAATATTGCCAACCCTCAATGTCTACAATAAAGGAAGCTTGAATAATAAAAATGGGATCTTACACAAAACCAACCATACCTTCGATAACTTTTTAAGGAACCACCAATCATTTCCTTACAAAAAAGGAAAATCATTAAAGGACATGCTCGTTAAAGCCAAAAAAAAAAAAGGTTAACAAAGGGTTTCACGCCCGTATAGATGCATGTGCGGCCTGTCACCCGTTACATTTTCTCGCATAACAGGTTTGTGAGTATTTTAGCAATAATTCCAGCTGGCTGTGTTTTATATAACAAGTGTGCTCAACTGTTTCGTTAGTACTTAGTGCTTATCTATGTAATAAAATAGGGTGACCCACCCCTTAAGGGTAGCTGAAAATTGCACGACCCACCCCTTCGACAAGGCTCAAAACCTCATGACCCACCCCCTCTCTGCTCCGGCCCACCCCCGCCTATACTTTTTGACCGGTCCCTAATAAAGTATATTTGGGCTATGCAAAAAAGTCTCTTGTCCAATAAGGAAGCGAAATAAGCGGGTTTTGTTTTAACCAGGATCAGGGTTTTGAAGGCCTCGTCGACACACCCCGAACCAAATTTCTTTATTTAGTTCCCTACCCACTCCTCCCCCGGGCTCAAAACAAAAGGCTTGGCTGAGATAACGCAGTTACAGGCAATTAGCAATACCTGCATTTTGTGAATTGATTTCTGCATTGATAAACCGTTACTTTATTTCCACGGTGAAACTGTTAACTCATTGCCTTTACATCCTCAACTTTGCTACTTAAAAAAAAATTGTGTTGCATGTCTCCCTAAAATTTCGACTAAATAAAAAGCGCTCGGTGGATATGCTAAGAGCCCCTACGTGAGATATTCTCATGGCAAGAGTTAAAACACAGAACAATGGCTTTCTAACTAAGGCGTTTCTTTGTTTTTGTTTTTGTACTAGGTGTGAAGTATCTAAACTTAACAAAGATTTGGTTACAAATCCCGCATTCTAATTTGCTAATTCTAATTTGCCTCGGTGAGTGGAGAAAAACGCAATTTTATGCCAACAAATGCTTGAAAAAATCACAAGAAAGTTCTTTTATATTTAAAATAGAACGTTGAATTGTAGGATTCCATTGGCTTTAATCTTTAGCAAGGGGCTATCTAACGCCCTGATAACGTTTGACCCCCGGGGGGGGGGGTACTCCCTAATATGGGCTATATAGCTATGTGCGGCCCCAAAGGGTAGGGTTTTCCAGCCGTTTTGGTCATAAATTGGGTATCGATTTTGGCTATTTTGCCGCCATTTTGGTCATAAATAGGGTAACGATTTTTGCACTGTAGTCTTGAATGCACTTTTTTAGAAGAAGCTACTTCCTTATCATGTCCCCCTCCTCCCATCCGCGCTTTGCCTTCCTCTCCACCGGCTGCTTTGTAGGTCATAAATAGGGTAGGGAAAATCGCAGATTTTGGTCATAAATAGGGTAAGGGTTTTGGGAAGCGGGCCGCACACCCCTACCCAATTTTTCTGCGAGTACCCCCCGGGGTTTGACCTAAAAGACGTCTTTATTTCCAATCGGCAGGCAATTTACTTTTGACATAGTTTACCTTAAACACCTATAGGGGTTAAAATTTAAGTACAAAATGTCTGAATCTCAAACAAAATATGCAAATAAATTTGTTACAGGAAATAGTTCGCTGGAAAACACAATACAAAGCACATGTAAGTGTAGAACAGAAGGCAGATAGATACGATATCTCACGATGTACATTTGTAGCTTATTTGTTGTTTCAAAATTGAAAAAAAAAACGCACTAACTAAAAAATTACAGTACTCGCCTTTGTAAAATATGCTGGTGAACGTTATTTTAAAGTTTAGTTAGTAAGCGTGCTTTCATTTAAACAGCCCTGTTTAAAGAGATCTTAGGGTCTGTTTACATGTTTACATGGAGGTGGGTGACCCCAGCTACAATCCTGGACAAAACTACTTGAGAAAATGTTTTCATTAATGCGCACTACCTAACGCAACAAAACTATTCCCAAATCAACGGCTTTGCGTAAAGAAACCCCCCTCCCCCAGTTCAAAGTTGTTTCCTACAAATGCATAGGGATCCGGCTTTCTTTTGAAGACCCATTGCTTCCAGGGGGAGAGGGGGAGGGAAGAATCGGTCGGCTACGAAGTTTAGAAAAAATGACTCCCAAGAAGGCAATTTTCTCAACAGTTTTGTCCAAGATTGTAGGTGAGACAACCCGCTTAGATGGGAAAAAAATAACCCGCGTTTACATGCAATCTCACAACAACGCTATCCCATGGTGCACTTTCCCAAGATTATTGAATTGTCGCTAAGTACGTAAACAAAATAATGGCGGGAATTGACTTGTTTTGGCCGTTAATGCTCTTCTTCTCTCAATGGTTTTGGCTGAAACCTTTCAGTGCTGTGGCTTTCTATTGTCACTTTAAATTAATGATGCAAAGCCTTCGATACCCCAAAGGCAGTTGGCGCGAATTTGATGTAACACGAATCAGAGCCCGGCTAGGCTGGTTACCCAACCTCGAAACGTTTGCAAAGACAGGATTTGACCCCGGCTGAGAGGTTTTCCCAGTCTGGCAGACCGGGGCAATCCGCCTCGGCGGGTCACCCCACTTATCATGTAAACGTGATCAAATGAAAATTAGAGATGGACATGCATGTTACCTCATCTACCTGGATGTAAACAGGCCCTTATGTTAATTAACAATTAATGAATGAGGCTGAGTATTTTATGAAAAATTATGGAGATCGAGAAGGGTGTTGTCGATAACACCCTCCGAGATCTCCATAATTCTTCATATGATACGAAAGCCGAATTCAGTAATTGTTTTATTATTCATTCAAAATAATTCCTAGTTTAAAAACATGGCTAAAACAAGCTTACCTGCATCGATGTTAAGTTTATCTTCGATAGTTTACGTTTAGGTTTGTCCAGCTCCACAAATATCAGGGGCACCCAACGTCAATTTTCGGAAAATATCTGTTCGGAAGACGATTTGAGATCTAGAATTTTCGGAACATTCGTTGTAAAATTTCTTGCTTGCCTGCCTCTCCTAGGATTTTCGAACATCTACAAAATAGTATAATTGCCCATTTTTAACGGATTTTTACCCTAAAAGGTCCCCTAGAATTTTCGGGATCTTTTTTTCTGGCTGAAATTTTCGAAAAGGTAAGTTTTGGTCCCTATAATTTTCGGATCACTAGACTTTCAGCTAGGAAATCCGAACAGAAGAAAACTTTTTAGGGGATAAAAATATGCCTATATCAACAGTTTAAATACTAAAATACGTTTAACAATGCTATGTTTAAGCGGTTTTGAACTATATTCTCGTTGGGTGCCCCTGAATATTCTCCAAATAGCAGATGTCGCCCTCCGAGTTGTCTTCTTGCTGTTTTTGCTATGTTTTTTGCCATTATTACGCTTAGTTCCAGCTGTAGTTTTTACTCTTGAAACGAGTGAAGTGTTCCGCCATTTTTATTTTCACAACCAAAACAACTCAGGCTCGTTGCCACGATGCCTTAACCTGTAAGAACGCTGCATTTTTGACGTCATTTCCACGTTAAAGTCAAAATTCTTCCAAATTTGGTCATCAGTAACTGTAACGTGTTAGTTTTTAAGATCGCAAGAACGAAAATACACCAAAATTTCCTAGGATCGAAATGTGATATTAAGCAGTATTCTGACGCTACTTAAGAATAATTAGAGCCATTTATAACGTATTTATTAAATAATCTATCACGGCTATTGAAAATTTAAGGTTTCAAATATATTTTATATTTAGTCGAATTCAAAGAAACAGAATTTTTTACTTCTCACGGAGTTTATTTGCTAAACATCAAACTTTAAGTTCCTAGTGTTGGATTTTCAGTAGGTGGTCTAGATCGCGCAAAATTAGGCGTTTATCAATTTCAAAGTTTTTTGTTTATTGTTGTCATGGTAATATCGATTTTACTAAAACCTACAGTTTGACAAATTTCAATCTATAGTCAATCATTGGTGAAAATTTTATAGCGATCAGACAAGGATAAAATCACTTTTAAGGCGACTGAAAAATATCGTTATGACCTCTGAAAAATTATATCGAAACACCTTAAGTCGGAGCAGTGCTGCATCGCAATCCAAATTTCAGGCAGCCAACATGCACTACAACAAGAAAAAGAATCGTAATGCAAACGTGTTAGCGTTAGATGACACTCGCGTTAAACTCAGCGTTGTTACTGGCAGAAAAGGCTCTGACTACATCAACGCTAACTTTATCGACGGATACATGATGAGAAGAGCGTTTATTGCTACCCAAGCTACCTGATACGATCCCTGACTTTTGGAGCATGATCTGGGAACAGAAGTCTTCGACTATTGTGATGCTTTCTAAAGAAACGGAGAGTGGAAAGGTACTGGGGAAAATGTTAAAAAAATATATAGAAAAAGAGAAAAGGTTCTAGTATTCCCAAATGATATTTTCACACTTCCAGCCCAATTGGACTTCCCCTAGCATCAGTAAATTAATGACCAGCCAGTTATCTTATCGTGTAGTATTCGGCAACGTCGGTTATAAAGTGAATTCGAGTTCATTCAATCTTCATATCCTATATATTCCAACTCACGTACTTTGCCAAATGTAGGGGAACGTCTCTGAGATGAATTCCTAAGACCCATATCCTGGCAAGTTCAGTTATCACGTCGCAGCTTTGCAGTGACGTCAAAGAAATAGGCAAAAAAGTGTGCTGCACTTGCAGCCAACACCTTTCCTACACCTTTCTTGGCGTTTTTGCCGTCGTCGTCGTCGAATCTTAAGTTTCCTACTATGTGCGACGCAAACACTAGAACTTGCTCGGGTTGTCACTAGTAAACTATGGCCAAACGAGACAGAAACATGGAGGCTTCCTTTGCCTTTTTTTGGAAATCAGAGCTGGTGACTCCACGCTTGCCTTTTCGCCCAATTCCACCCCTCCCTCACGCTCCTTTGCCCTTTACTTCAGGTTAGCGGAATACATTTGATCATTCCTAGTGCCTGAAAACAGTGCCAGACTCTATTCATTCCACGAAGGAGCCTTTGTAGCAGTTAAAATCTGTATGGTTTCGCATGCATATATTTCGTTTTATCAGTATCTCACGAGTAAATTTCTGTACATCAGGTGAAAGTGCATCGGTATTGGCCCGGAAAGCAGCCTGAAAACATTGGCACTTTAATGGCTGAAATGACAAGTGAGATGGTTTATGAAGACTACGTCATGAGAGAGATCAAGCTCACCAATACTAAGGTATAGTAAGAAGCAAGGTAACCGCTCTGATAGTCACTGAGTATCGATTAGCGAGTAAAGCGAGCCGCGAGAGAAGGCTGCGAGCGGGTGACCAAGTAACCTGGGACCAGGCTCCGCAGTGGGGAAAAAAGCAAAACCGCTCGCCGATAGTTTTTATCCCTTTTCCCCCAATGCGGAGCCTGGTCCCAGGCTAGTGACAAAGCCGCAATGGGTTTTCTTTCTTCACACTTCGCTCTCGCGTATCGCTCGCGCTTACCCTTCTCACAATATCCTCAAATTGGAAAGTTCGGTGGATTTTGCACAATGCGACAGAAGCATCCACTCCTAATTTGTTTCACGCGATATTACTGGAAACAGATTTCTAAGTGGAAAAGCCATGTTGCATGCGCACATCATCTTCTTTACATGTAGGTAAATGGTGGATGTTGCACCTGGCGAAATCACAGACAACCTCGCGAGTTAGAGATTCACCGTCTGTGTGCTCTTCTAATCTGTTTCCTGTGATATTAAGTGCAGCAAAGTCCTCGATGCATGCGTAAATCATTTTCTTTAGGTGGATGGCGTAACAGAATCATAGCCTGTGTGTACTTCTAATTTGTTTCATTCGTTCGTTCGTTCGGTCGCTCGCTCGCTCGTTCGTTTTCATTTTCTTAGGACAGTGCGTTCCGAATGGTGCGTCAGTATCATTACACTGGATGGCCCCATGTCGGATCCCCGGACTCGGAATCAAGATTAATTCATCTAATTGGTCAGGTACAAAAGTGGCAACAGAAGTCAGGAAACACTACCATCACCGTGCATTGGAGGTATGGACCGGGTGCTACTACTGCTCATGCGCGCCACTAAACTTATCGCCCCATGTAAAGGAATCCGGATTCCGGAATCTGTCAATTTTTTGCTCGTGGAATCGGGAATCCAGCATCTTTTATTTTGCTGTGTAATCTGGAATTCAGCTGTGGGAATCTGGAATCCCATTAACTGTCGAAATTCCGGAACTCAGTAGCCAGAATCCGTAATCCCTGGCGTGAAATCCAAATTCCCAGACTGTCTTGGATTGCCTTTCATGGGGTGGCGTAAACTATTTCGCTTAACTTTAAGATGATTTTTATATCCCTTATCTGGTCTCCCCTTTTCACTCTGGCAATGTGCCAACGTCGTCTGAAACGATATTTCCGAAATTGTTTATTCATATATTTTAACAGTCGTGAAGTAACCAAAGATTGCCGGTAGCCAGAGATCTTCCCAAATTCCATTAGTCGGACAATGACTTCCGCTGTAACTTTCAGTTATTTCCGAAGTCACGAAATGTGGCAGAAAGTTTCTTTAACCGCAGGATTAGCTCAGTCTGTAGGGCGCTTGCTGCCTGAGTGGTAGGTTGCAGGTTCGATTCTCGGGCTGGTCTTAAAATAACTGAGAAGTGAAGGAACTGCCTTCCAGACCCTGCAAATAGCTAGATCTTCGTGTGGCTCGCAAAATAACGGTCTCGTCTCCACTGGGTAGAAAACGCAAAAATTGTGTCATCAGTTAGTACTTTCTTGACACCCACAAAAAAATTTCATTTTAAAGCCGAAGTAATGCGATTGCTTACGAATATAAACTAAACTCGCTCTTTTTGTCCGATTCTATTGGCAGGGAGGGTGTTGGCCGAACACGAGTCTTCTGTGCCCTAAGTGTGCTTATTGAGAGATTGAAGGCTGAGGGCGTACTTGATGTTTTTCAGTCTGTGAAACGGTTGAGATCTCAGAGACCTGCTCTGGTACAAACTAAGGATCAGTACGAGTATATTCACAAGGCTCTTGCACAGGGTGCAGAGGAGTTATTTATGACGGCAAGCGAAGCAAAAATTTTTTACAGCCTCTGTTTGCTGTAGTATGGACTGTGAACTCATGCGATCGTGTTACCATGGAATGAAACTAAATACCACGTGACTCGTTCAATGTGGACAGTAGCTTACTCTTCACGGAAACAGAAGTGATGAACGTCGCGCCAAGCGAACTGTTATCAACCGTTACTAATTTGAAAATTCAAACAAAAGCTGACTTGACCCGGTAAGTTTCTATCCACTCGAGTGTATGAAACACAGTGTTCTTGCAAACGGCAGTTTCCTTTTCTAGAAAAACAGAGAAAGCAACAAGAAACGTAAATTAGAAACCAAAGCTCTCTTAAAAAATTGGTAAGTAATTTCATGATCACTCGTCTCTATACGGTCCACATTGTACGAAAGTACGCATCCAACGCTAAAAAATCTGCCCCTTGGAAATTAGTTTTAGCAAAGTCAGTGTCCAAATTTCTGATGAAAGTGAAAAAAGGACTTTGTTTTGGTGTCAGCTGAGGAGAATGAGCTATGTGTTTTTCCTATATGATAAAGGGTCAACTTTTTTAAGGCAAGAAAAGACTTCGAAGGATTCAAAATGGCGTTTTTAAGCCATTGCGTTGTTGTTTGCGAAGTGATAAACTTGCGAATTGCCATGTTTCAAAATTCTGCAAAGATCTAACGATGACCCATGTATTTAGGAGGAGTGTTGCGTGACCACACTAAAAAACGGCTGTGTAGCAGACTACCATGTATTGTAATAGCGCTTCGCACTATTACTAAAAATAAGTTTTGCCACCTCACAGGTGTCCCAAGCTAACGTTACGAGTGTTATGTCACAGGCGGCCCAAGCTCAGTGTGTGAGTTTAAGTAATGATCCAGGTAAGAAGGGAAGCAATTTCTTTTGTTGTGGCGCAATACGCTTTCCTCACATAGAAATGTTTTCATTTTTACGCAGCGAATGCATAAATCTACAAAAAGGCTGTTTACGAAAGAAAATGTATTTAAACTCCACTTTTAAAGGGTGTATTTTTGTGTTAAAACATTTCGACCAATCACAAGAGTTGCAAACAATGGCCAAGAAATGTTCACAATTTTACATGATCCGCACATACGATTTCTGTGTTACTTAGACTCGGACGAGATTTTGTTATAAGGAAGTTAGATGGAAAAAAAGGGATTAATATACATGCTGCTTTGCGAAGATTTCGTAAAATTTGATGTTTAAACCAATCAGAACCTTAGTAGAGACAATAGTAAAGTTAGCACCTTTTTGCATTCCGACGTGTTCACTGCGTTTTGGTCCTTTCCTTCTTATCTGGACCATTACTTAATCATTAAAACGTGTGGTTTCATATTGCGTAATTTAAAATGGCCCGTGAATATAAAGGATTTGTATGGGAATTCAGGTAAAAGATTCAAGTAGATAAATACTCGCTAGAATGTTCAATAAAATGCAGCTTACAGTATTTACTTTGCTTGTTTTTGCTTGCTGTGTGGTTATTTTCCCGATCCATTGCGATTAAAGCGATTTTCTTTAACCCCAAGTTTCCACTGTAAGAAAAAGGACAAGCCTTCACAGCCCAGTTGGCGATGCCCGGGGTACCACACCGTCACTTGTCATCAGGGTTCGAATTATTGTCGATGACAAGTGACGGTGTGGTACCCCGGTGAGGCTTAGTTTGTAGAGGAGGCAGGGTAACGTCGTTTTGGTTCGGATTTTGGAAAACAAACTGCCGATTGGCGTCGGTTGCAGTGGCCGGATTGCTCGCAACCAGTTGCAAAAGTACTTGAGACACTGCACCGTATTTTGGCATAAATGGCCTGTCGATGATCTTGTGCTTGTGATCCCCCCTCCAACCCTTATCAAAGTTGCTACCAATACAAGACCATACTCAAAACTTGGAGGAACAACTTTGAATGGGAGGGAGGAGGGAGGTCAGTATTATATCTCACAGACCTGTGACGAGGAGCGATTTAAAGCAAGAAAGGTCGTGGGAGTGTCTCAACATTTTTGCAAGTGGTTGTCTGAGTCCTTCATACCCCTACAGCCGTGGTGCACGATTATTAAACGGGGTAAAACGTGGTGCACTCTTTGCACCTAAGAGGTTGGTTATAAAAAAATAGTATTTCATTTTCCTAGGTTTGCGTGTTTAAAAAAGGCGAGACAAAAACGGCAGTTTTTGGCCCTTTTGCTTATATGGTAATAGGCAAGAAATTGGGCTTTTAAAGGAAGGACGTGGCAAAAGATGCTACACCATCTTAAGTAAGCTGCAACGAAAGGGGTTTTTGGTCCTAAAACGCTACAAGGATGCGGAAAATAATATATTTTCTTCGAACTCGGTTAAAAGATGTTTATTTATCAAAGGAAAGTGACGTAAGATGCCCCGCTAGATGAAGGAGATAGCTTTTTGTTGTTGTTTCTGATAAGTACGTGGACGCGGTTCCTCTTTTATCGCCTGCCATTTTCAGGAAAGAAAAGTCACGCTAAAAAACAGCTGTTGTCGACTTTACCTTACTTAACACAAGTTTGGATTTGTGTTTACTCTTTGGTCGTCTTACAACTTTGTTTCGATTTTGAAGCCCGAGTGTGGCTATGCATCAAATAACATGAAAATTCACGCGCGTATTTCAGTAACATAGTCGCGAGAGCTCGCACATAACGTGGTTTGGCTTTGTAGTTATGTACTTGGTAACGAAATTTATTTCTTTGCAAAAAGGAAGACACTGTCTCCAAGCCAGCAATATGGAAGCGACGAAACGATGTTGAGGATGCTTGATATATACACATGTACATGCACGTACTCAAGTTGATTTACTTATGAAGTTAACAAAATAAAACAAAACAAGCAACGTGTACTCACGAAATTGAAAACGAAGTCATCAGATATCTTAATAGCTAAGTAATAAAAAAAATTGATGATAAAAAGTTCAACATCCTTACCTGCAACTAGACCAAAACCAGAAACAGGTAGGTCCATCTTCGATGCAATTAGAACGATTGATGATATTGTAGATTACACCAAACGGAACAGTTGGTCGGGATTTGTGATCGCAATCGACTTTGAAAAAGCCTTCGATACATTAGACTTTCAATTTCTAATCAGAACATTACACAAATTTAATTTTGGCCCATCTTTTATTCAGTGGATGCGTGTTCTGTACAAAAATGCATCCAGCTGTGTACTGAACAATGGCTTTACGACTGGTCCTTTTCTACTAGGTAGAGGTGTCCACTCTCCCCTTACCTTTTCATACTAGCGCTTAAGATCCTAGCTATAATAAGAGAGGACTGCAATGTACAGGGACTTAAAAATGGAGAAGAAATGATTAAATTGTCTCTATTTGAAGATGACATGACCTGTGTCATAAAAGACAAAACATCTCATACAAATCTGTTTCGTATTCTCAACTCTTTTGGAGAGTGTTCGGGCTTAAAGGTGAATGATGAAAAAACAGAAATCATGCCTCTACGAGATAATATCCTATAGGAGAAAGACTTCCCAACTCAAAGTATTTTTTAAGTCATAAAAGTCTTGGGGATATATTTTGGTTATAACGAAAGACAAAGGAACATCCTTAACTTAAGTCAAACTTTAAAAAGTATAAAGGAATCAATCAACGTATGGAAATGGACAGGCTTCTCCCTTTTAAGAAGAATACAGATAGTCAAAACTTTCGCAATCCCAAAGCTTGTGTTCAGAGCATCGGTTATACCAGTCTCTAAAGAACAAATTAAAGAGGCAAACTCAGTTCTCTACTACTTTATTTGGAATGGATAAGACAAAGTGAAGCGTCTTGCATTGATATCTTATATAGAAATGGGTGGACCCAAAATGTTGGACATTCAATCTATGATTTGCGCTAAACGAGAGAAATGTTTAAAGAAATTAAGGCAAGATTACTCAAGTCCTTGGAAAACAATCCTAGACAAACTTCTGTTACCAATCGGAGGGCGTTTTGTATTGCACTGCAGCTTTCAAACTTCTAAATTGAAAATGAACCTACCAGCGTATAAGGAATACTTCGATGCGTGGTCGGAGGTAAATGGGAAAACTCCAAGTTGTTACGAAGAAATCGTTAACGAAATTATCTGGAACAACAAATTTCTTTGTTATGACAAAAAATCGATGTACAGAAGAGTTATAGTAAACTTTGGCTTCGTAAAGATAAGGGATTTAATTTCTGCGAAAAACTTCTTCTCGTGCGACTTCTTTTCACTTTCAAAGCCCGAACAAAGATTTTTTCTTATGAGTATTATCAATTCGATTCCCGCAGAATGGCGCTCACTTATTAAAGCATCTACAAACGTAACATCAGCCAGCCCCATACTAATGTAGTGCCAATCCTTGATATCTCTCCTAAACAGATCTACATGTATCAAATCTTTCTGCGGCAAATTAGCAAATTGCGCCCACCGCAAAACAGAAATTATCAAACAAGTACTCAAATACAGAATATTGATTGGGAAAAGATTTACACTTAAGCCTTTCAATGCACTTTAGACACAAAAATCAGGGAAATTGTATGATCTTTACAAACGTGAAACTTAATTTAATTTGTGTAGTGGAATCGCCAAACTGCACTTTCTGTCAAGAAGCAGCGGAATCCGTCGAGCATTTACTCTTCTCCTGCCAGATATCAAGTCTTCTGACTTTTGGAAACACGTGCTGTCCTGGCTAAGAGATAGTGATGTTCATGTTGAGACAATTAATGAGTCAGATGTGATATTTGGAAAATTTGATATTGTAGAAGACTATATTCTAATTGATCATATTTTGTTATTAAGTAAATATTATATCTACTGTAGGAAGTTTCATAATAACGTACCTTCAATTAGAGGTTTATTGCTAGGGCAAGACGTGTCTTCAATATCGAGCTCCATATCGCCAGGGAGAAAAATAAACTTCTTTTTCATTTTCAAAAGTGGGAGAAGCTAACTACCGCACTTAATAGCAGTTGACGCACAGAGGTTCGTAAAAATGCCACTCTCTTCCTTAGCAGGCATCTTTACTGTTGTTGTAATATATAGAGAGAGAGATACTATCTCTTAACGCATCCCTATATTTACTGCCAGCTTTTAATTTTAACGGTCAATCGTTTAAGTTGCCTGATGAGTGTGGTCCTACAATTTCGGACCACACGAAACAGCACTGTCGCAATAAACGATCAATGATTACTCCTGAAGCCTGAACTCCTGTGATTATTAATAGTCAATGCTCTTCAATTAAATGAATTGAGCGCTCTACGAAATACGTTCTACCTAGAATACAAGTAGTATATATATATTTTTTTCTTTCCTTTTTTTTTCGTTGTTATTGTTATCCATTTTCTTTTTTCTCCTAGGTTAGTATTTATTTAAGTGGAATTGTATAATTTAATTTATTTAATTGATGTTTATTCTTACATAACATTGTAAAACTTGTCCCTAATTTAATTCAATAAAAACTATTTGAAAAAAAAAAGAAAGAAAGAAACAACTTGCCACTACAGCGCGAAAACTAGTTTGTCTTCCAAACTTGGCAGATGAGGTCTTGGTATAGGACCGTAGACTGCTAGAAGAGCTACCAGCAACAAAAATACGCTACCTGCTGCAACACCTCGCAAAATGAGCAACTGGTCTTCTCTCACGCTAGCTTTCTTTACTGAATCAGACGCCATCTGCACTCAGAAATGTTCGTAACATCGATCGTGTTTATACTCACACAAACTTTGCGGAAAATACGTTAAAGTCCGCCCACCAGAAAGACTCGACTATGATCATGATGGGCCCATGTGAAGCGTTAAGTATATAAACGCTGGTAACCAAACATTAAAAAGGTCCCCCTTTTTATCACAGAAAGACAAACAAAAAACAAATTATCGACATTGTCAGTAGTCGCCTTGAAATCGGATGTCACGCGAGGCGACAACGATCACGCAAGTTGATTTGTCGAACGTGCGTTTTTCATTAAAACTCGACGGAACAAAGGTTATTGCAAGAAATATCTCTGTTTAAAATGTTTTGAACAAATTGCGATGCTTTGTCGGTCTTTTTCAATTTCGTCCTACACTGCCAGTGTAAAAATGTGAAGAAATATGTAAGGCCTCGCTACTACAGTAAATGAGGTGAGTGCAATACACGTGCACATGTGCACTGTAGCCTCAGGATGGCAGATTTTGTAGCTGTGGTAGTCAGGACAACAATATTAAATATTTAGTTTTGAGGGATGTAATTGATAATATATAGATTTAGCCAGGGCTAAAAGCGAAGCTCCCATTAATAAATTTATATTTTAAATCAAACAATAAACTTGTAATCCACAAATCAGTTAACTTAAGGGCACATTCATGTGACTTTTGAGGGAAAGGATAATTCAAAGTAGACAGACTGCAAATAATCTTAGTTGATAAAAAATATATATCTACGTGTCGCAACTGTTCATCAGTAGGTTGCCTAAAATGCGTGCAATTCCACAATTGGTTTCGGCTCCATTAGAGTGAAACATCTTACATCGAGTTGATAGCCTAAATATATGTACACCCAAAAAATAGCAAACATCTTCTATCACATTCAACAGCCATAATGGCTCTTGATCACAGTAGATTAGGCCTCGAAAACAAATTCTTGGAAAACAAATCAGGCCGCATTTTTTTGCTTTCGACAGGTTTACTTTACAAATTCTTGCCAACAAATCTCAGGCTGTGTAAACCAGCTTTTTATACTTTTTATACATCACATCTGAGGTGAAAAAGTACTTTTTATCATACAGACCTCGGACAGAATACGGCATTTCACAATTTTTCAATATTCAGGGCCATCAATCGTGGGCATTTAGCGAAACCGTTCTCATATTTAGTGCGAGCTGTCAGTGTGATCGAGTGTTTGAATGAACTTTAATGGAGATACGCTTCAACATAATGACGAATTTAATATCATTATTTTTTGTTGTTTAATGGTTCCAGTTATAACGATGTGTAATCTTATAAAGCGTTTGATACGCGCGATGTTCATGAACGATGAAAACAAACACCATGGACAAGCGATTAAAATTGCAAGAGAGACTACTAACAATCAATAAAAGAAATATAATTCGGTAAAACATTTACAGAGACAACAATTTTCATTCACGAAGACAAGTATTAAAGTGTCTCTAAAAATCCTGAGTCTTAAAGCTTAAAGCTTAAGCTTAAGTTTATATTGTTTTACTTTCAGCCGGCCTCCCGGTGTTTGTTTTTTTTTCACAGATGAACTCCTCGAAACAAGAAAATCACTCAAAGTTTTCTTTCTACAGCCAAATTTATAACTAAATATTCTTCGGAACGTTTTTTTTTTCTAAATGCCGTGAGAAAATATATCTGAAGGCCTATTAAAGTTCTGTAAGCTTATATCAAACCAGATACTAGATCAGATCATTGACTCAAATCTCAACAAACGTGCAAAAACTTGCCGAATTAACTGTGCTCGACTTCATGAAATTAGATATAACAAAAACAAACATTAAATACAATAATTACTCGGGCTTACCATTCGAGATTCAGTTCCTGAAAGATGTCATGGAAGGCCATAGTTGCTTGAGACTTTTAAACCCTCTTACGCATTAAGCAAAGTGAAAGACGAAAACGATGCCATCCGAAATCGGATTACCCAATTTTGACAAGCGACGCATTTCTCAAACAAAAACCAATAAACAAACAAGCCATGGATAACAGAAGACTCTTGATAGCAGCTGTATTTCATTTTGTACATCCGGTGGAAAAAGACAGTTAAAAACATCACAAGTTGACACAAAACTTTGTCAGCTTTTGCTGTCAAAGTAAACAACTTTCAAGATGCTGCATAAATTTTCCGCATGACTCACCTGTCAAATTTTGACCAATCAGAGTACAAAAATTGGACGTAGAGCGTGACCAACGCGTGACCACGGCAAGAAAAGTCTTCCCCGCCTTTATTTTTAAAAAAGTGGCTGAATTTTCGCGTCCGAGGTCAGTTTGAAATCAAAAACTTGACAGTGCGGGGCCATAGTGACATAAACACAACATATTTCATATGAATCATTGGAAAAAAATAGACTTGAGCCTGCGATCATTTGAAACTGGTAATTTGTCAGCGGATAACTTCAAAAAAGTACTCGACCTCGATGGGTCGACACTTGAGCCCACGGTACGGTCAGGTGATACTGGTCAGCTGATATCCTGTTTTGACAGCTGTCAATTGATCACAACATTGATGTGCAATTAGTTTTCTATTGGGCTCCCAAACTAGCTAGAAAGTGTGAGAGTAAAAATTGGTTTCCCTGTGGTGCGGACGGACGGTCGTACGGTCACGTGATTACCAAATTTTCTCGGATGAGTAGATTACCACATTTCCTTAGCTATGGGGCTCCGTCCACGCGCGCGCTTCGCGCGCGCGTGGAGCTCCGCTAATAATTATTGTCAGTTCGTTTATCATGCTAGTGAAAATGTTTGGAACATCCTTGACAAGAAAGGAATGACCTGCAAAATTCATATTCTTTGCACTTTGATACAGGTACAGAATATTTAATCTGCTTTACAGACACTGTAACACCTGAGCCTGTAACACCTGAGTTTAAACATCATGTCACTGTAGCTGCTACTGTCTTTTTATAGTGACCAAAATCAATTTTCTCCTAACCAAATCAATACATAATCAAACAAGAAGGTTATGAGAGATAATAAATGATCACTCAAAGAAAATGCGGTGATCATTAAACAAATTCTCTCAACTAGTTCTGTAAGGAAATGTATGGAATCAGACAAGAGAATTTGTACGTGGATATTGCAACATACCCTAATCTCCCAGCTTCAGCTGAGAAGTGTCCACTCAGCTACCCTCCAGGGATGTATGTCATGGTGGACAGTCCTGTGTTTGCAACCAGTGTTCCATTGCAGATCATGCGCAGAAGCTGAAGCACTCTCACGTCATGTGACTGGAGACCACCATTAGGGACAGATACATTAGTCAGTCTTACTGGAACACCCATTATGGTGGTAAGAGTTGCACAGGTGCTGAGAAATATTCCACTCTGGTGTGAAAAAGAGAAAACAAAAACAACATGTTGAATACTTTTGCTAAAGAGATTTTTTTTACATTACTATCATATATGCATAACTTTAGGCCCAGTTCAAAGGTTAAACTTTTCATGTATCGAACCTAATCCCTTCAACTAAATACATGAGGAGATCGACATTTGAATCAATTACCGTAAGTTTAGGTCGACCCATGAATCAAAGCATTAGTGGCACACATGAGAATTTTGACTGTGGAGTGACTTGGTTAAAACGTCAAGCTTCTTATGTGCCAAACCTAATGCATAAATTACTACAATATACATTAGGTTCAATTTTACAATTTTATCCTTTGTTTTACAAATTTTACTTCCTTTTGTTTTATACTCATTATCATACATTACGGCCCATACCCCCACCCAAATAAAAGGGTAATAAAAGTTACACCAATGATAAAATTGAACTTATATACTCTCCTAGTTTAATAGGGTTTTCAATTAAAATAACTGAAAGAAACGTTTGACATTGCATTTAACACCAACAACAACTTAGCAAAACACTGTTACCTCTCTTGTCCCATTCATATCATTCTCTAACATTTCATCTGTCAGTCGCAGCATCATCTTCTCGCCAGCTTCTTTCTTCTTTACACTCCTCATCCTTGAATTCAAATTACTAAGCACACTGTATGCCTTGGTCAGTTCTGAAAAATACATAAAATATATATTACATAAACAAAAAAAGCACATCAGAGACTAATGTTTTGTAGAACCCCTCAAATATCATGCCTTTAATAATGCCCAAACAATTTGCATGAAACAATCAGGAGTTAAGTTTTCCTTGTCCTGCAATTTTAACCTCAAATAGAGCTTTCCAATAATAAGACATGTTTCCTTACGATTATTTGTATACAAAGGGTGCATTATAAATAGCCTGCAAGCAAACGAGAGAAAGGAGAGCTCCCTTCCTCGGCCTCTCACTCGCTTGTTCTCGCGTGGCTAGCTTCACTCGTTCTCGCATGGCTCGCTTAGCTTGCCCAAATAGGAGAGCTTGCTCACAGGCTACACTATAAATAATAAAATAATAACAAATAATGTCTTTAACCTCTCAAGTCTTAAGAGTGACCAATATCAATTTTCTCCCAACAACATCAATACATCAAAATTCCATGATCACCAACTGCTTTTATCTGTTATCAAATTCTCTAAATGAATCCATTAAAAAAATGTATTGAGAAAAGTGATGGAAATTTGTATGTGGCTATTGGGGCTGAAAGGGTTAACAATGCTTTCTATTAAACTAAAAGTGCAGAAATGTCAAGAAAAACCCTGGTCTGGCACCTGCACACCTGTAAATTAAACCCTCTTAGAGTTTTTCCCCTTATAGGAAATAAAAGGGTCAAATTCCCAACAGAAGACAGTCCCTGATTCGGAGACAGGGGGATGTTTCTTTGGACCAAAGGTATTGAAATACATTGCTACTGCTTCAGGAATGACTCATTATACATCTATACATGATCTATCACTCTATACATCACTGGGAGAGAGCATGGTGGGCAAAAAACCTACCCCCAGTCCATGAACTACCCCACGGACTACCCATATGGACTAATCTAAATTATAACATAACAAAAGTAAATCGCGTGCTCTGATTAGTCAGTTTGCCACTACCATTTGCCTGTGGGTGCATGCGAAGAAATTGAGCTAGCACGGTAAAATTTAGGCAAATTCAACAAATCTCCTGTCCTGACAGTAAAATACGCCGATGAAATGCACAGATGAAAAGTGGAAGTTGAAGAAAATACTAAGCTGTCGTTTTGAAGGAAAAAAGACAAAAGAACAAGTGACAAATTTGTCCTGGATGAATTAATCACTGTTTTTCTCGCGGCTAGAATCGGCTGAAGGAAAATCGAGCGATCAAAGATTTAAGGTACATTTTGGGTGTTTTTTATAGAAGAGAAAGTCTGTTTGAAATGTAAATTTATCAATTAGCATTGTGTTATTGACTTTTTGGTCAAGCTGATGCTAAATTCAAGCAAATATTTTAGGAAACACTCAAATTCGAGACAGCTTTGTTGTGAAGTTTTCATCACATCGATGAAAAATGTTAGTTGAGTTTAAACAGGCACATTACGCTGGAATAAGTGAATTTCATTTGAATACAGAAACATTTGGGTTTTCAAATAAATTTTTCAAAAAATAACTTCTGTGTGTATTATTTTGTTCCTCAGTGTTCATTCATAACAGTGGTTCAGAGAATGGTCGAAAAACAACAGCTTCAGCGCAGACTGTGTGTCGGCGAATTTCAGTTGCAACTTTGACTTTCATAGCTGGATTTCCCCAGACAGTTTTCGATAAAAAGCTAGTTAATTTCTTTTTAAAATTAGTGTTACCTGTTATTCTAAAGGAATTACAGTCAAATTTTCTCATTTCTACTTTACGTTTATTTCAAAAATTGTCACATAAATAAGCTTGATATTTATTTCATTTATTTAGTTTTAGCTTATTTTTTAGAGTCTTTTTAGTTGGTGTTTATAGTTGCAGCTAAAGTTTTTCCCTCAATATTAAGAGCAAGCAGACAGATGCCATTCAGAATAACAACGAAAAACATTTTTCAATTTACCGGAAGACGGAGAAGGGTTGATTCAGCGAAAGAAAAACTCAAAGGCAAGTTGTTGAAAAACATAGAACATGATTTGTTTACGTGCAGGCAGATGGCAGCATACATGAACTCGTACCAATGACTCAACCGAAGGCAAATGGAAAATAATATTTTTCTCTTTTGATTATGTTATAAAAGAAATGGTAAACGTTGCAGCGGTGCAACCATGGAGTTATGGATGCACTTGGGAGGTTTGCTAAGCACTCAAGAAGCTAGAGTCGAACAAGGCAATACGCTTATTTCGTACTTAACAACCTCCCGCGTGCATCCATAACTCCATGGCTGCACGCTGCACGTTTACTATTTCTTAAATGGATTACACCACTGAGGATTAGTGATTTGGGTTATGAAACTTAGTGAATCAAGCTTCATGTCAGTTTGTCCAAATGAAACTTGATTCACTCACTTTCCTAACCTTAAATCACTAGACTTCAGTGGGGTAGTCGATTTTAGGGTAATCGATATGGGTAGTCCATGGACTTGGGGTCAGTGTTTTGTCCACCACCAAGAGAAAGAGGGGTGCAGATAATTATTAACTGTAATGGTCCAAAAGACTACAAGGAGCGTCATGCTACACAAAGCTCCTACCACGTGGGGTTCATTAGCTTGTCTACGCCTTTACACATCGACTATAAAGATACTTTGAATGCTAACAAACCTGTGAACATATGCTGGGCTTCTTCGCTCTTGTTCACGTCTGGATGATATTTCAGCAACAATTCATAATACGCGGCTTTAATTTCAGCCTGTGTGGCGGAGTGCGGCACATCCAGGACATCATAAAGTGATCGCTAGCCTGCTTAGCAAGCGTTTCCAATCGAGTTATTGCGCGAAAGTTAGAGCGGAAGCAAAAAAAAGGTCCCCCGTCATTCTTTTTTTTTTTTTTTTTGCTCTTGTCCCAGCTTTCTACACGAATCTCGCGAGGAAACGCTTGCTACGCAGGCTAAGTGATCGCCGTTTGGAAAATGTGCGGCGGTGAAGACATCTTGCAGTGATGGTTTTCACAGGACGAAATGAAGAGAGGAACGAGAGTACATGACGTCCGACGTTTTGTGCCTCATTTACTGCATATTTTGTCCAGCAAGAGCCACACTTCAGTCCATCGTGAGTGTTAAATTTGTAGGGAACATGGATAAAATCTTAGAAAAATAAAGTTCATCGACGAACTCGAAAGAAATGAGGAAAAATTACGATAAGTTTCATTACCAAAGGTCGTGATGCAGCCGCCATTAATTAAAAACATAAACTAATACCCAGATCTCCCGCTCAAAATATCAAGACAACTCTTTCCTAGTCTCGACTCACCTCTGCTTCAGGATGAGGCCATGAGGCTAAGCCATTGGTGCTCTGGAAGGGTAAACGAAGCCGTCCATAGAATGAGACTCAACCTTACAATCCACCTCGATGTGACGATCTGTTTATCCTTGCATGAGCCTCGCTTGTTCCATTTCGGTGGGGTCAGACAACATAGCAGGGAGCATGCAATGAATATAATTATGGACCTTACGAAACTTCGACGGCGAAGAACGGAGAACGTCAAAAAAACAATAGGTTTAATGAGCAAAATAACAACTCTGCACGTGCATCACGCTTTTTTGCACATTTCTTTGCTGTCTCTGCACAACAACGATGTGACATGACCACACTTTAAGTTTACTTGAGTACGGGAACGACGAGGCGATAAATTCTACCATCTCTGTCTGAACTTGGGCGCGGCCCCCACTCTTCAGCTCCAACCAAAATTCCCTTCTTTTAAGTTACAGGGCGAATTCGGATAATCGCAAAAACGTCTAAAAGGATGCGAAGTCTATTTTTCAGCAACGTCTTAATGGACGTCTTCTGAGGACAACAGCCGACCGCAGAGGTATCATCTCTTACACAGTCGAAACGTCGCGATAAAGAAAGGACGCTTAATGTATGAAAAAATAAGAATAATAATAAACAAAGCCTAGCATACAGCAACCATTTTCAATGATAAAACTTCATGATATTAATTGTGATTTTATATGATCTGAATGGTTCGATTTTACTGATAATTAATTCACACATTTATGGCACTTTAAAGACTTTTTTTTTCCAAATAAAATAACTGGTGACTGATTTGACTTATAGTTTTGTTTTATAAGTACGTTGAGGCTGCAAAGAGAAAATGAAAAAAAGACAGCAACAGGAGCCCATAACCCGGAGCGAGAAACTTCCATGCGCTAGTGTCACGGCGTTTTTACGGAGCAGTTTACTTTGAGAACGGTTTTAGAGCGAATTTTGAGTAGCTTCTAAATATCCAAACCAGTCAGCCAAACCTTCAGACCTAAAATGATTTATATATTTTTTCCTTTTAAAAACGTTTAGTTTTCCTCTTTGATATCTTATTCTTCGAATGCTCTCCATAGACATGGTGGAGATTCTATGTTTGCGGGAAAAAGTGAGTCTAAAAATAAACTGGTCCCTAACCATTCAAGGTCACCCAGTGACTCAAACCAACGCGAAAATGAGAACAGTCTGGAGCCCATAGAGCGAGATTTGCAAAACCTAGCCAGGACGTCTACTTCATCGGCGACAACGCATAATTCACGCAAAGGGAATTAAATCGAAATTATCTTCGAAATAGCCGACTGTGAAAAGGTCCAAGCGAGCTACTAACAGTCTTAACGACGATCAAATTAAGGAAATGATCTCCTGGGACAGTTATTTTTCGCGGGAAAAGATTATCTAAAAATAAACTCACTTGTAAAAACGCCGTTGCACGCATTTATGGCAGTTGAACGCTCCGGGTTATGGGCTCCTGGAACAGTTAGTCTCCTCAGTCTCAGTCCCCCCAAAAAAATTAATTAATGTATCCCTTCTAAAGTCTGGCAAGAAGGAGTCGACGCATCGATGAGCAAACGTCTAAACATCTAAGAGACCACTGTAAACAAGAGTTACACAGCAGCGAGCTCGCCATTTTTCAATGAAAAATTTAAAACAATGCTTACAACCCCTAAGATGCGAGAAGAGGTGTTCAGTTACATTGCTCTTTTCGCGAGTTAAGTTACGAATCGACACGAGGCCGAAAAGGTTTCGAGCCAAGGACTTCCGGACCACTAATTACTGAGTTCGTCTCAGTAATGGAGGAGGGGTTGGGGGGATCCTTTCAAAACTGTACGGGAGTCAAAAATGATTGTAACTTAGTGCGTTGTATTGTAACAAAAAATTCTTCTCCCCGTAGGATTTTTGAGTAATCTTAATCCCAGCTCTGCCTAAATAATACCGAAAAAAACCTGCTGACATTTTTTTCTGAACTATGTCTGATTGTAGGTTGTAGCAAGTGATACGCTACAACAACTCCAGGTCAAGATTAGCCTACGGGCAAGCTCTCCATTTAGGGGTTACCGTGAAAAGTACACGCGCGAGTAGCGCGCGAGGGAAGACAAATATATGGAGAGCTTGCTCGCAGGCTAGTGCAAGATAGTTTTGCTTGAATGTAGCGGTATTTATTGCTTTGCAAACAAATAAATACTTCGATCATAGATTAAACAGATAGATTTTGTAGTCTGGGAGCCCATCATAAGCCAGAGAATTGAACATAATATGATTATTGACCAGCTGACTTGAATTTCTTTTTATATCCTGCCTGGAATAAATCTCGTTCTTAAATTTCTAGTACCTCACCCTTATTTTAGGAGTACCCACCGGTTTTCTGAAAATTCAGGCTGGCATTTCCTGAGAGTGACTTAAATAACTAGTATTCATTTCTAACTCATCGAATTACATTGGAATGAACTAGGGTGTCTAGAATCATGTCGCACATTTGTTCTCAAGTTCAGTCGTTTTATGGCCAAAAACCGCGGATGAAACAGTGTTAAGCAAGGACAAGTTTACCAAATACGCTTTGAGTAATGTCAGAATTACAGAATTCTTTCTTCTTATTACTGTATGTTTATTCACCCCAACATGTCAAAGTAAGAACTGCAAGATCATGTTTTCTCAAAAAATAGATAACATGCTCCTAATTTGCTCATTTTCGTTGTTTCTACATAGATGTGTCAATAAAGAAACTAATAACTCATTGAAATTGTCCACTTAGCCAAACGGGCGAGCTTGTGAAAATATTGAAGGTCGAGAATTTGGGATAAGTATAGTCTTTATGCCAACATGACGTCTGTTTCCTCCTTCATATCATCTGTATCATTATCGCTACTAAAACGTTCCTTTAATTTAGGTTTATTCTGCAGTTCTTTCGGGCATTCCTACAGAGGAAATTGTTGACTTTTTGCGCATTTTGTACAGTTAATTGTTGCTTCAGAATTCAGGCGAGGCTTCTCGGATGTTTTGATAAGGTCTTAACCTACCATCAAATTCTCGAAATAAATAATAATTAAGTGTATAATGTGAAGGGGTATAATAGGGTAGTTTGACATCGTAATTTTGAAAAACTGACAAGTATGTTAATGATCAGCAGTACTGAAATAGGAACCATTAGCTAGATAACACTTATTTAATCTATTCATTATTGAATAAAATTTAACTTCCGCATTTTTAAGGACTCAGTCTAATTGCTCGAATGCATCTTTAACTGAGACCTTCGGTCACTGGCAAGCAAGTAACTAGAAATACATTTTCTCTTGCTTTACTCGGCTACAGAAATAAGTCGTCGTCCAAATAAATTAGAGCCAGTGGGGCTCGGTCAATAGTCTAGCTCTGTTTGACATCTTACTTTGTCTCTTTTGTTCGACTGCTTTGTAATCGGAAACAGCATGACCTTTGGGGAGTACAAAATGATTCTCTCTTTTTGTTTCGGTTCCCTAATAAGGTCTAATTAATGCATAAAAACTGTTTTTGGCATGTATCAACACAATTACGATTAACCAAAAACTGTGATACAGTGGAATCTAGATATAACGAAGGGCATGGCGACTTACAAAATATGTTCTTGGTTCGCCATATCGAGGCTTCTCCTCTTACAAAACCATTTCAGCAGCTACAAATAAGGGACAAATTATAGTGTTGAGACACTTCAATAAAATGGCTCCTTTTTTGCACAGTGGGCATACCTATCCCCTCCCCTTGTGTATCCCCACCCATCCCCAGAATCAATGTTGTATTTAGACCTTCATGTCTTTTGCTAAAAACAAACAACATTGAGTGGGAGATGGGGGGATTTAGTTTACGTCGTTTAAACAGAACTAAATGATAAATGAATGAAATCATGGTTGATAAAAGCGCGCGTGTTAGACAAGTAGAAAGTGTGCCAACTACATTTGTCCCTAATTGTACATGTAGCCCCACTTAAAGGGGCTGTGTCACGGCAGTCCAGTTCATTTTGTTTAATTTTGCTAATTACTCGCCCTCAATCTCTATGGAACTTAAAGTAAGCAAAGAAATTACATGTGTAAATGACAAAATCAGAGATCCGTTACAAACAAATATTTAAACAGCATTATTTTTTAAGCTGCAAGCAGCAGGGATCAACTATGAAAAACTGTTAGGCTGAACAGTTTTCAAAAACCCTAATTTCAATCCGTTTCAGTCTTCTTTAGTTTTGCCCATCCGTGGCATCTGTTGTTTCTGTTATCTTATTTTAACCTTCCTATAAAGTTTTAAGCGATTATTTTTATATTATAATAATAATAATAATAATAATAATAATAATAATAATAATAATTTTATTTATATAGCGCTAAAATCCAATAATTGTCCAAAGCGCTACCTAATTACAAAATAGAATATAAAAAATCTAAATTATAAGATATCTACAATATACAATATAATTCAAATATAGCCTAAGTTACCTACTATGTAAATCAAAAACATCTTAAAACAAAAGGAATCTCATAACCTATATGCTAACTTAAATAAAAAAGTTTTAAGGGATTGCTTAAAAGTTGCCACTGAAGCACATTTCCTAATCTCTAGAGGTAAATCGTTTCACAATTTAGGTCCTGCAATAGAGAAAGCTCTGTCTCCATATGTTTTCAATCTGCTTCTTGGAACCACTAAATATTCTTTACATGAAGAACGCAATGACCTAGAGTATGTTTTAAAATTCAAAAGGTCAGAAATATAAGAAGGTGCAAGGCCATGAAGGGCCTTGTATACCAATAAAAGGACTTTAAAAGTTATTCTAAACTCAACTGGTAACCAATGAAGATTAATTAAAATAGGAGTTATATGAACATGCTTCGGTGTCAGCGTGACAACGGGCATTTTGTAATACCGTATCCTAATCTGGCTGAATTTCGTGACACAGCTCCTTTAATTTAACGGGCATTTTGTAATTTCCTAATTTGGCTGAATTTCGTGACACGGCTCCTTTAACTGCATGGACACTTCCTGAGGGTTATATACAGGGAGTTTCTCTTGACTTACACATTTTTTTCCGTTTCAGTGTATTTGCTATGATTTTTTTGGCGAAGTTTTATTGGTGTTTTTGTTGTTGCAGTACCAAATGTTCCACCAGCTAATGTCAATGAAGTTCCAGCAAACAATTCAAAATGGCGCTATAGCGAACTATACAGTCACCTACAGAGAGTTGCCTAATGGTAGTCCAACAGCAGAAGTGGTGATTGCTCCAAAAAGAAATGCTACATTGACAGGTTTGAAAAAATTTACCAACTACAGGATCACGGTGTTTGCGTCTACTGCTAAAGGAGGTGGCAATAGAAGTGATCCCATTATTTTCATTACAGACGAAGATAGTAAGTACTATTCTGCTCTTTATTAATTTGTACTGTAGCTTCCTTATTTTACATACTTAATCGGCATTAAAAGTTCTTTTAAATTATGAGGTGGAAACACTTTATCTTGAAGTGGATAACACTAGTCTCCCAAACTTGTACAATGACATGCAAAACTAGTAGACCCGCAATGCCAGTTTGGGATTTTTGTCTTTTGTCTGTCCCATTCAACTAGTTACGTTAGAAGAAACCTGTCCTCTAAAATACTACTTACACAGTACTTACATAGTTAATTACTTGGTACACTAGCTAAAGACCTGATCATCTTTCAACTCCCACTTATCTATTACTAAGGGGCTTTTAGTAATATGGATCGATTCTGCTTACCTTTTTTTGCGTTGCTAGGTTTTAGTATTACTGGTCATTCTGTAATAAGCTGACAATTGTCGATTTTAGACCTGTCCCTAGTTGTTCAAATGGTTGTTAACTCTATTCAACGGATAAATCTCTATCCACTGGATAACGCAATTGGTTTCGCCAACTGCACTTGTAACATGTATCCACTGAATGCTTCAATAAGGGAAGTAACGCTGACAGGACTCGATAAAAATACAGAGTATAAAATTATGCTGTTTGCTAATACCTCAAAAGGAGGTGGAAATGAGAGCGAACCTGTCACTGTAAAAATGGACGAAGTATACCACTGCACAGGTTACTAGCGCAGTTTTAGTTATGGAATGCAATATTAACCAAATTTAAACTGATATGGAGAGGAAAAAATATTCATCTATTGATGGTAAACTTCGTCTGGCGTTAAACAAGGGAGTCTTTCATTGGATTTACGATCGTTTCGCCTCCGAATAAAAATAAAAATAAAAATAATAATTGTTTTAAAATAATTTTTCCTAGTGAAACACACACATACACACACCTACAGAACAAAACTACAGCATCACGTTTTGCTAGCGGCAATAAATAATCTTTTGTCTAGAGAGTGTACTTTTATTCTTACCACAGTTGCCCCTGAGTTAATGGAATATCCAAAGAATCAATTGACGATTGAAGGATCTAATGTGACCTTTTCGTGTATTGCAGGTAGTGTTCCTTCGCCCAGGATCTCATGGACCATAAATGGGACCGCTATAAATGTGACTGCTAATCCGAGAATCAATTTAACAGCAGACGGCCAGCAACTGATCGTAACAAATGTGAACAGGACGGACAGTGGAGAATACAGATGCGTGGCTAGCAACAAAGTTGGCAACGTGACGTCCATGGCAGCTAAGTTAACTGTACAATGTAAGGATACTAAGAAATGGTCCATCTACTTAAACGCAACACATTTAAAACAGAACTTCCGATGAAAACAATTACTCCTTAAGAAACACACACACCTAAAGAACATAACTACAGCTGTACAGCATGATATTTTACTAGCCCCTAAATGATGATTTGGCTAAAGAGTGTAAGTTTTTCTTATCGTAGATGCTCCTGAGTTCTTGAAAAATCCAAAGAGTCAAACGACGAATGAAGGATCTAATGTGACCTTTTCGTGTATTGCAAGTGGTGTTCCGGAGCCCAGTCTCTCATGGACCATAAATGGAACTGCTATAAATCCGACCGCCAATCCTAGAATCGGTTCAACAGCAGACGGCCAACAACTGACCGTAACAAATGTGAAGAGGACGGACAGTGGAGAATACAGATGCGTGGCTAGCAATAACGTTACCACAGTAACGTGCAATGCTGCTAAGCTAACAGTACAATGTAAGAAAGGATGCTAGAATATGGTCCGTCTACTCAAACGCAAAACATTGATGGAAATTAGAATTAAAACAATAACACACTGTTAAACAACAAACACACCTTTAGAACATAAGTAAAACATCAAAGTTTACGAGCCAATGAATAATCATTTGGCTAAAGAGTGTACTTTTTTGCTTCTCACAGTTGCTCGGGAGTTCATTACAACTCCAAAGAGTTAGACGACAAATGAAGGATCTAATGTGACCTTTTCTTGTGTTGCAACGGGTGTTCCTGTGCCCAGTCTCTCATGGACCATAAATGGAATTGCAAAAAATGTGACTGCCAATCCTAGAATCAGTTTATCACCAGACAGCAAACAACTGACCGTAACAAATGTGAACAGGATCGACAGGGGAGAATACAGATGCGTAGCTAGCAACGAAGTTGACAACGTGACATCCTTGGTAGCTACGTTAACAGTACACTGTAAGTAAAATAGTAGAAACTTTTTTTTCGTATTAGTTTAATATTTATATATAACCGGTTTAAGATTACTTTCTAAAATTTCTTGGCAACTACATTTAATATGATAAAAGGGGAAAATTCGGAAAGAATCCAGTGGTATAGAGCTCCTTTAATCTTTGTGAAAAACGTTACAGTTTTGTGAAACAATCCTGGTTCCTTAGGCAGCTGCTCAGCTCTATGTCATATTTCAGTAAACATTTTACAACGCTGATATTTTTCATGAACCACAATCCAAGGATAAGTGCCGTATTCTAAGGATTTTCTAGAACCACACTTGCGTGTGCGTGACTTGATGTTTAGTCAACGTTTACCCGCATACGTCATGCACACCATCTAAAAACGATTTTTGGCCTGTCATCAGATTACAATTCACTGAACGGAAGGTCGAGACGAACGATCATATCGCTCACGTGAAATTTTACCAATTTTATGTCAAGAAAGTGACGATGGGACACTGTTAAACAAGAAAGACTGGTGTCGATAGCACTGTATATACCCTGTGAATTATGTCGTCTGTACAGCACCTCCTTGTCTTCTGTTTTGTTTGTATATTCAGCGTCTCGTGTCAGGGTAAGTGTTTCGCAAATAGCACTTATTGTAGTTAAAGCAATCTTATTATTTGCGTTGTTTTAAAATCGATCGTTCAAATAACAACAAAAAATGGAACACCACTGATGCAATGAGAAAATTGTCCTTTCAAACAATCAGATATCCCTGGCTGTGAAACTACTACATGCGGTCCTCGAGGAAGGAACTTGTGGCTCATAGTCTGCGACTACACCTTAGTAGCCATCACGGAAACTATTAGCGATTTGGTCATTCCGCGTTTTTTACGGATTTCGTAATCAAAGTAAAAACGTTTGAAATTCTTTGCCACAGTAATCAATGTCGTTGTCTTAAAACATTGGAGCAAAATTCATTGCCAAACCTTACTAGTAACGAGTAAATAAATACCTTTGACCTTATGTTTTGATAAGGTCTCATTTGATCTAGCATGAATTTTTCCAAACAACAAAGATCGTGAAAATCGTATGTAGCAGGCAAGGGAGAATGAGTCTTCCCTAATACTAAAGAGTGGTTTCACCGCGCACTGCATACCACCAACACACAGTGTGGGCACAACGCTTTTACTTCGTACAAGGCCGCTTTCGATACCTGAGATAACCCCATGATTAATGGCACTTCCATGCCATGGTTCTTTCTACTTTTACCTCCTCTTACGAACAACCCTGTTAGTCCCCCAGATATCAAAAGCCTTACAACTAGTACTTCTATCGGTGATAATAGGAAATCCACTGTCATACTGACACTTGGCTGCATCTCTTTGTCGCCCTTCATTTGTTGTCTCCTGAAGGAAGGAGTTCTGCATGTGATGTTAGTAAACAGAATGGAATACATTTTCGAATGATAATTCGAACGACCAGTTTCGAAGCAAGTACACTTTCTTTCCTAATTTAGTTACAGATGTTTAAAAAGTTGCCGTGTGGATTGTTCTTCTTGTTAACAGGTCTTGATTCTCTTTAATTTCTCTTCAAATCATTTTGGACTTCCGCTAAGTCAAATGCAAGTTTTTGACTAAAACAATAGTTATATTTCGAATGATGCAGTTTTGCACAAGTCTCATGTCGTTTTTTGAGGTGCTGTGCCATAAAATAAAGCATTTTAAAAAATGGCCTTCATTTTTACTTCTGTACCGGCATCTGTGTCCCGGACTCTTACACCAAGTCCAAGGTTTATAATTATATTATTCAAAATGCATGAAAATTCAGACTACTTCAGACTGCTAGCTAGTCTTTCAGTCTATAAAGTTATAAAGAGGCACTAGTCCACGGGTATGATAGTGAGGTCCGTTTAGCTCATAGTAGAAAGTCCATGAAAAATAATGCTGAAGTGATACCAAGCGAATTATTGCAAATTATATAATTATGTTATTGTTAACCTAGAGCTTGATTCAAAAGTTTGTGAACTTATGCATTTCTACATTTTAAAAACGGGACAAATATGTTCGGGTCATGAAATGGTTGGTATTTTCTTTTAGAATTTTTTTTTCGCCAGCATTACATTTCACATAGCCTGCGAACAGCAAACGCATTTCCGATCGTCGCCTCTCTCCCTCCGAAAAATAGCTATTTTAATTTGGAGGGAGAGAAGCGACGACCGGAAATGCGTCTGCTGTTCGCAGGCTACATTTCATAGCGAGTGACCGACTAAATATGAGCCATTTAATATATTATTTTTTATTCACTGTTGAAAATGTATTAAAATGATCTTTAGTGCCGTGACGCAGTCCCTTTCGACATATTTTGGCTCCTTCAGAAAGATTTTTCCCATTTTTGGTGAAGGATTCATGTAGGGGTTTTATTGAGAAAGGAACTCATTTTTTGTGGATATCGCCAACTGTTCAACATTCGAACAAAACAGGGAATTCTTACCCCACTTCCTTGTTTGTCGACTTGTTTGTTTACTATTTTTATTTTGAAAACTGAAAGGCATTGTGCATTTAAATAGCTTCCTCACGAAGCGTTTAACAAGATTAACAAATTGAAATAAAGATGTCAATGTATTATTATCAAGATTCCCTTTTAGTTTGTCTAATGGTTTGTCTTACAGCATAGAAGGATTTAATAACAGTTTATAAGCGTTATAATCTGCAGTTTGCATGACTCTCTCTTCTATGATCTGTTTCAATGCTCTTAACTCCTTCCTTTTAAACTCAAGCTTCTCTTTTGAGCTCGCGCAAACTACATACTACATGGTAAATCTATCATCAGTGTTA